TCTTTTATCTATCCCTTATTTTCTAGCCTACTATTATATACTAATTTCCTAAATAGTCTATAGTAATAGATAATCTCTTTATATAGGAACTTCACTACTATCGCACTATTAGCGGAGGTAATACCTCTAGACTTGACCTAGCCGCTTATATTACTCTAGGCTTCTATAAGGTACCTTTTTCCTTACGATAATAGTATTAGAGTATAGTTAACGTTAATTTATTCCTATTATATATCGACTAACGTAGGAAACATCTTATTATATAGCCTTCTACTTTCCTAGAACTAGTATTTAGGGTAAGTCTTTATAAATACCTAGATATCTTAATACTAACCTTCCTAGAAATAGCGATTAGATACCCTCTAATATATTACCTTATACCTAAAGTATCTAGAGTTATTATATATTAACTTAAGGATCCTCTTCCTTTTAGTACTACTATCGATAACTTATTAACTTAGCTTATTTACTATTAGTTTTCTAAATAGATAACCTCCTTAGATGAAAAAGTATATAGAATTCTTCTATAAGCGTTTAAACTCTTTATTACTTATCCCCTATAGATATTACTAATCCTAGAGATATTTCGTAAGCTACTTTAAACGTTCTAAGTATTTATCTTCAAAGAGCTAGACTACGTATAGTTCTTGTGGGTCTATAGTCTGATCTCTCACGCAAATCACTACTGACCTTACCATTACGAAGTCTCTTCTAGTAGTAGTCTATTTAATAGGCTAAAGGCTCCTACGTATAAAAAGCATTTGGGCTTCAATCTAATCATTAATGTCCTCCTCCTCCTCAGCTTCCTTTAGGTCTTCTTTAGTTAGAGGACGTTAGGATAGTGTATTAGCGACTATATTCTTATTACTAGGCATATATCGTACTTTAAAGTTGAATTTTCAGATCTATACTAACTACTAATTCACTACTACCTCTAGGAGATCTATAGACTACTAGTTAAGCTATGCCGTAAGAGTCATTACGTCCGTCTCCACTATGAAGTAGACGGTATATAACTACCGTTTAAACTTCTTTAAGGCCTTTAGAAGCCCTTAAGCTTCTCGTTTTAGAGTATTGTATTCTAGTTTAGCTTTAACCTAGATACTGCTCTCGTACTAAGTAGCTCTCCGTTTTTACGTTGCCAGATCAATCTATATAATTACCGCGCCCTATCTACGTCTATTAGCGTTAACCGCTAGGATAATAAGATTAGCCTATTCCCTATAGTTAAGGCTTACTAAGGCTAGAGGAGAAGATAGCGTAAGTTTAAGGGCTTTTATGCCTTAGTCTTAAACCTTAGTCTATTTCTAGGGTACGTTTTTCCTAAGTAATACGTATAGGGGCTTAGCTAGTATTATAAAGTGTAAAATCTAGATATAGTAATAGATATAAATCCTAAGGAACCTATAGAGTTCTGACTGATTAATTAGGACTAACTAGGTTAGGATTTTATAAGTCTTCAATTCTTAAGGATATTATCCGTCTCTATTATAGACGTACCTAACTACCTCTATTTCATTTATATAGAGCTATAATTTCTAGCCTATAACTATAGCTCTAGCTCTTTTAAGATCAAGTATTACCTTATCAAGGTTAATTAAGTACTCTAATATAAAGAGACGTATTCCTAGCGCTACTTCCTATTATTAATAATCTATCTTTAGGCCCTTTACTGTAATATCGTCTAGAAACGGATGAGTACGCTTTAGGATTTATTCCTATAGAATATAGTTCATAATCCTCACGAACTATACTACTAAATTCGTAGCCTCTTAAGGTAAGGTTACATATCGAACTAACCTAATCAGAGTCTAGATAGCCATAAGGTTATAACTCTCCTTTATAAGTTCTATTTAGTCATAACTAGAGAGCTAATCTAGTAGAGAAGTTATGTATATCCCTAAGAACTCTTCTATGAAGTCATCTAATAAAGGGGGTAGATTCATATCCCTTATAGTAACTTAGTTAATATTTTAAGTGGCGATAACTAGCTGATACTCCCCTAGCTTCTTCTTCTTAACTAGGAAGAATAGGTTTCTATATAAACCGTAGCTGAACTTAAAGAGACACTACTAGATCTTATCCTTAACTAGTTTAATTATAACTAGTTTAAGTACCTTAGGAACTAGAAAACTCTTCGCCTACTACGGGGTGTAAGAAACGGTCTAAATAACCTACGGTAGTATAACTTTATATTAGACTTAACCGATTTTATTAACTTCCTATACTAATACTTCTTCTTAATTATATAGGATTTCTAGAAGGACTTCCTTCTTAGAGAGTATTAAATCAGACTTAATCACTAGCTTTTCTAGACGTTCTAACGTTAAATATTCTCTATAGGGGAAAGATACGAATCTTAGCTTTATCTATTACGAAAATAGATATAGCTATCTATCGAAGGTAGCTTATTCCCTTAAGATCGCCTATACTCTCCAGTCTGAAAGACTACTAGGCGTTGAACTATCTTACTAGTCTATATCTATAGGCTTCACTTTATCTACCTTTTTCTTATAGAGAGTATTAATTTAAGCCTTAAAAGGTCTTTCCGCTTAATAACGTTTATAACGTTACTCATTCTCCAGATCCTATCTTAATACCTTAGCATCCACTAGTCTTAACGACCTTATGAACTAGCCGTTATCTTATATATTAAAAGGCCTAGTCTCAAATTATAAGTCCTAGAGATCTTCGTCGTCTAATTCAAAAGACTTACCTACGGAGATTAGTTCATTATTTTGGTCCACTTAGAAGTCGATAGCTAGGGTCCTAGGTTTCCTCTGAGTCCTTATAGATACGAGTACGGGCTTCTTTATTATTCTATACTCGCCTAGCCTTTTAAAGATATTAAGTATATAAGTTTGAATATCGTAGATATATCTCGATCTTTAGTAAGGTTAGGAGTAGTCTAGGTAACTATCTATACCCTCTTACTGACGTAGCTATCTGTTAACCTAACGATATAAGTATCTTTATCCTTTTCCTAGACTAACCCTTACGCTACCTTCTAGAATAATCTCCCTAAGATAAAACAGTAGATTAGATCTATAGTATTCGTCACGTAGACGTTTATTAGGACCTTAACTCCGGCGATACTAATAACGAAGTCTTTAATTATACTTACGAACTTTTCTCAGTCTCCATTAAACCCTACGGTATTATAGATAAACTTAGCCTTCTATAGATACTAAGATAGACCTATCTCTTCTACTAGAGTAAGAGTTATTAGGTTAATCTCTACTCTAGTATCTAGTAAGGAATCTTCGTATCTCCCTCTTATTTTGACTAGTAGGTAGGGATATCCACTATGATATAATTATAGTTAAATTAGACGGTCTACTAATGGATTTATTTATATAGTCCTAATCCTAGTAGTGGGCTCGCCTTCTGCCTACATAGGCCGTACGCTAATACCTCTTAAGGCATAACCTTAATAGATTAACTCCTACTTATTTTCGTTATAATGCTAATGTTTATAAGAGAACTACTCGTCTCAAACTTCCTTTATTAATAGTAAATCCCCTATTTAAATAGAGACTTCTTAGTTTAGTAAGTGGTTTATAATTCTACTAACGCCGTTTAGATCTTATAATAAAGCCTTTTGGAGAGGTCTAGGTCCGGGTAGTCTATATGTAACCTCTTTTATAGCCTAAGGGCGTAATAATACCTAGCGAGGCTAGAAAGGCTCTAATAGATCTTCCATTACGGTATCCTAGGAGAGTAGGTTACGTAATCAGTTATCCTATATATTATATAGGGAAATTCCTAGCCTCTAATTAGTTAAGTTAATTAGTCCTAGTGAATTATCTACGATCCCGTCATATACGATCTCTCCGGTTAGTCTCGCTCTCTACGTTATATATTATCTTAGTCCCTTTATAGGTGGTTTATAAGCTCTAATCTAAGGGTGTTTTACCTACATATATCCGCCTTATTAAGGGGCTGGGCGCTTTCCTAGGGTATTAATATAGACTTCGCTCTAAGGCTGATCAATGCGAATCCCCTTTAAGTCTACTGCATTTAGGGCTTGGGAATCATCCTTAGAGTTATCTAGGGTAGTATAATTAGGTTTCGATCCGGCTACGCGGACGGCGTTCATCCTTACGCCTAGCGGTACTAGGTTAGCGTCTCTTGTACTATACGGCCATCTAGACGCGACACCGGAATTCAGATCAATTTCCCTTATAATCTATTCTAGCCTTTCGACCTTTATCTCTTTAATAGGGATCAATAGAGTGGGCGAAGGATAGTCTTAGCCTCTAAACTTCCTAAGGGCGATTTTATAGTCGGGATTGAGGTGTAACGCTCTAGTAGCTTTCTAATGCACTCACTAAGGGTCTTCTCGTAATATATGTCCCAACTACCTATAAAGGAAGTAGTTAGCTCTAGAGTTACTTAAGTTTAAGCTTCGCCTACTTAACTACCTACCGTAATACTACGGTTTCTGTAAGGGAAGCGGTGGATAGACAGGTTGATAGAAGCGATAACGCCTAGTACTGATAGCTCTAGCCCTATATATAGAGACTCAAAGCCTTGAAGAGGGTTTGAGTAGGGTGCGCGCAGTATACACCCCTAATATGTTGTGTAACCTTGGCGCCTATACTTAGCCGGTTTGTTATGTTTAGGGAGGGATCCCTAATAACTACCCCCTCCCCCTAGGGCGCTTGCCCTCAAGCGCTGGGTATTCGTTGGCCGCCAGGAACAACGTACAGTCAGTCTTGGCGGGTCTCGTATGTGAATCTGGTGCACCTCGTGAGTGCTACATACGCCGCGCTAAGACACCTTCCATTATTTTAGTGTTTGTTTTATTGGAGGTCCTAATCTGGACTAGCGCCTAATCACCGAAACTTTTCCCATAAATCTCTCTTCCTCTTCCTCTTTTGTTTTGTTTTCTCTTCTTCATCTTCGGATCTGCGTCTCGTGTACGCCGCATATGCGCTCTCCATCCGTTTTGTGTCCGTTTCGCCTGCTCTGCGCCTGTAAGGCTTGTTCAACTCAAGATGCCTCCTAAGTCACGCCCCGGTGAGTACTCTGCCCCACTTCTGCAAGCGCAGCGGGTACGCTAACCCTGCGTTTAGCCCACGTGCTGCCTCCGCGCCCGTTGTTCACCACAACGTACCAGCGCCGCCATGAGTTTTGTCAACGTTGTGTCCGCGCCCTGGGTGTCGACGCTGATGCTGCCGTCTGTTCTGTCAACCCCGGTTCCGTCAAGTGCACCCGCTGCCAGGCCGGTCATGCCGATTGTCGCACGGTAAGCGTACCCGAAACGTATGCGAAACGCACTCTAATTTTTTCCAGGTCCCTGTTAACTGCTGGAGGATTGTTGACGAGCTTATCGATAATTAGTTATCTCGTGATGAAGATTAACCCCCCCGGTCCTATACGTTTTTCCTACGCTTCGCCTACGCTTTGTGTGCGCTCCCCCTACTGACCGCCTACGCAGATCCCAATCTGCGCCAGGCCTCCGAGGCCGTGTCCAAGGCCATGAGTACATCTGGCAAGGTGACCGCCGAGCTCCTCCCTCACGCCGGCGACGTCCCAGCCACCCCCCGCAAGGGGAAGGCCGCCGCGTCGGCGGAGGCGGCCCCGGCCACTACGGCTGAGGCAACCATATAAATACTGGTCCATGTAACTCGCACTATTGCCAAGGTTAACGCTCAACGTGTACGTACCCGAAGCGTATGCGAAACGTATGGCTAATTTTCTTCTCAGGGTGGAATCATCCTACTAACCTAGCCCGATCATATCCAAGTGTCTAACGTCACCCCATACCGCGACTGGCCTAATGGAGACCCTGACTATCCTGATGTTACTAGTAATAATGCTATGGCCTAAGGGTAAGGTGGTTTGTCTGCGCTGCGGGTGCGTTTCTGCCCCGATATGCTTGCGCTTCGTGCGCGTCTGCAAGGGGTTGTGGTGGTGGCTCTGTCTCGCCTGTGTGGCATCTGTGCGCCTTGTGCGCTTAACCTGCGCCCTGTGTGCGCTGCGGCTTGGCCGCCAATGATACTTTTTTCCTTGTGAATTCTTCCAGTGCTTCGCTCGCGTGTGTGAGATGCTCGATGGGTTCCCAGGTGTCGCCTTCCTCGCCGTAGCCTTTCCAGCGGACCAGGAATCTCTCCTTGCCTGCCTTTGTCTTGACTACGTCCAGTATGCGTTCCACCTCCCATTCCTCTTCGCCCTCGATATCCAGAGGCTCCGGAGTGACTCTGCCCTCTCTCTGGTGGTACGGTTCTAGTAAGGATATATGGAAGGTATGATGTAAGCGCCCATATTTTACTGGTAACTCTAGCCTATAGGCATTCGCACTAAACCTCTCCAGTACCTTGAATAGGCCGATAAAGCGGTCTGAGAGCTTAGGGCTAACACGGCGGGTGCGTATATGCTTCGCAGAGAGGAACACCTTGTCCCCCACTGCGAACGCCATATCCTTCCGTCCCTTATTGTAATGCCTCGCGGCGCTCTCTTGACTGGACTTCCAGGTATCTTCGCTACGCTGCTGAGACTCGGCCATTGCCGTTACGTCTCGCCGTGCGTTTTCACTGTGAGTGCCTTCCTCTGGGGGTGCGGTGTTGATCCGCATCGTAGGTGTGAAGGTGTAGACAACTTCGAACGGCGCCTTTCCTATGCTGACATTCACTGCATTGTTGCAGGCAAACTCAGCGCTGGCTAGGAGGGCTGCCCAATCGTCCTGTTCGTAGTTGGTGTAGCACCGGATGTATACTTCCAGTGTTTGGTTCATCCTCTCCGTCTGCCCGTCTGTCTGCGGGTGGTATGCGGTGGAGAAGCGTCTGCGAATCGCAAGGTGGTAGCATATGCTCCCCCAGTATTCTGCAGTGAAGGTGGTGCCTCTGTCGCTCACAATGGAGCGAGGCACTCCGTACTTTGCAAAGATCTCGTCGACTAGTAGCTCTGCCATCTCTGGGGCATCTGTTGACCCAGTGCAGGGGATATATCTGACCATCTTCGAGTATCGGTCGACCACGTTCAGTATCGCGTCGTATACTCTTCCCCTGTGTTTTGACGGTGGCAAGCCCACGATGAAGTCCATGGAGATATCCTGCCAGGGTCTCTCAGGCTGCGGTAGTGGTTCCAGTAGACCATACGGCTTGTGCCTTGGTGCTTTCATTCTCTGGCATATGATGCATGAGCGGACGTAGTCCTGTACGTCCTTCTGTAACGTTGACCACCAGTAGAACCTACGTATCACCTCCGCGGTCCGCCGGTTACCAAAGTGTCCCCCCTGCCATGGGTCGTCGTGATTGACGCGCAGGATCTCTGCCTTGATACGGGGATCGTGAGGTACATACGCGGCGTTTTGGTAGCGTACTAGGTTCGTACTGTCGACGGACCAGCCCCTCCTCCGAGACCCATGTGGTGGTGTTGCATCTGGTACCTCCCACCTGCGGTCTCTGCACCATTCGTCCTCTGCCTGCAGCGCCCGTAATTGCTCGGTCACTCCTTGTGGTAGTTGACCGTGGGCCGTGTCTTCTGCAGCTCCTGGAGTACTCCCTTCACCCTTTGCGCGTAGGTCCGGCGGAGGGGGGACGTATACTCCCCCTTCACGCGGAGCCAGGGTGTAGTACTCGCTCTTCGTAGGGTCTTGAGGTCTCTTGACTTGGCTACGAGTCAAGGCCCCGATTGTAGCCATAAACATCCCTATTTCCACTGCCTGCGGTGTGTCCCCTCCCTGTAACGGGTCCTCTTGTGGCACGTCTGCCATACGCTTCAAAATCAGTTCGCGTAGAGGGTTCCCTCGAGGTTCCGCGGTAGTCATCAAATCTGGACGCCTAGACAGGCCGTCCGCAGGGTTTTCTTTACCCTTTCGATACTGGATTGTAAAGTCGAAGGCTGCTAGGTATTCTGCCCAGCGAACTTGCCTTGGATTCAGTTCCTTCCTTAACATAAAGGACTGTAACGTCTCGTGGTCTGTGAGCACAAGCGTAGGTGTAACGGGGGCTTCGAGGTAGTGCCTCCACTCCTTAAACGCCATGATGATCGCTAACATCTCTTGGTCCCCCGTTGTATAGTTTCTCTGTTCCTTCGAGAACTTCTTCGAGAAGAAGGCCACTGGCTTCCATACGGGCCGGGTATGTTCACCCTCCGCTTCGTGTAACTGTGAGAGAACGCCCCCTGCGGCTTCTACCGAGGCGTCCGTCTCGACTCTCGATGGCAAGCGAGCGTCGAAATGGGCAAGGAGTGGCGTATGCGTAAAGAGGTCCTTTAGTAGGAGTAACGCATCGTCTACTTCCTGAGTCTACTTAAAAGGTCCTATCTTCCTCCCCTTTTGCATCCCTTTGAGGAGGTTGGTAATCAGTGCTGTAACGGCGGAGTAGAGTGGTATGAACCTACGGTAGAAGTTCGTGAATCCTATAAGGACCTATATATCTCGGAAAGAGGTAGGGATAGGCTATTCTAGGATTACCTGGACTCTCCATTATTTAACCCCTAACCTATTCACTCCCATACGATAGCCTAGAAAGCTGACCTCTACGGTGCGGAATTCGCACTTATTAAGGTTGACGAAGAGCTTCCCTATCCGTAGCTTTTGTAATACGGAACGGACGTGGTTCGTATGCTCTTCGGGGTCTTCGCTATAGATGAGGATATCATCCATATACGCAATGCAAATCACGTCGACTAGCGGACCTAAGACTTCGTCGATATAATCCTGGAAGGTTGCTGGGGCGTTCGTCAGGCCGAAGGGCATAACTAGGTACTCGAAGTGTCCGTATCGGGTACGAAACGCCGTCTTCCATCTATCCTCCTCCGCTACTGCTATGCGGTGGTAGGCGTCTCGTAGGTCGAGTTTCGTGAATACTCGCGCCCGAGTAAGCCTATCCAGGATCTCATGTATAAGGGGCAAGGGCCGCCGGTTCTTGATCGTGATCTTGTTTAGGGGACGGTAGTCTACGCAAAGGCGGAGTTTCCCATCCTTTTTAGGTGCGAACAAGACCCCTGACCCCGCTGGCGACTCACTCTTTTGAATCCAGCGTTTTGCCCGAGCCTCATGAATATAATCTCGTAATACCTCCAACTCCCTCGCGCTCATAGGGTAGATGGCTCCGAAGGGGATGCTCTTCCCCTCCTCTATGGGTATGAAGTGCCTCACCTTTAGGTGCTCCGGCAGTGCTTCGCGAGATTTCTCTTCTGAGAAGACGTCCTCATAATCCTCGTATTCTTCGGGGATCCGACGTTCGCTGACGTCTACCATCAGAAGGTACTCCGTTCCGGGTGCGTCCTCTATAAGAGGTGATGGCACTAGGTAGAGCATATATAGCTCCGGTTCTCTAAGGATTTCCTCTATACTCACTTCCTCGACTACTGGCTCTTGTTCACGGATAAACCACTCTTTGTCAGCCCAATTGATACAGGGATTGACCTTCTCTAGCCAGGGATATCCTAGGATTATATCATATCTTTGGATATCAGTCGCGATGAAGTTCATCGTACACGAAGCGTATGCTCCCCGCGTATCTTGCGCCTCCACCTTAAGGGAATGTATTCCATATACCCTTAAGGTATGACTATCGACGCTCCGCGCCAAGGTCAGTTGGCCCCCTAGCTTGAGCCCTTCGTCTACTATCACTCTTTATGACACGAAGTTCTCTTCCGCTCCGGAGTTAACAAGTACGTTGAGGGTGCGCTTCCCACCCGGTGTAGTTATATGTGCAATAATGTTGAGTACTCGAGATCTACGTACTTTCTCTTCAGGAACTCCTAGTGCTATAGACGCATTTATAGCACTAGGTTCTAGTTTTTTGACTTATCCTGTTGAGTCGAGGTAGTGTCCTTATCGCGCTGTTTTTCGCTGCGCCTATTGCGGTGGCATTGATAGGCCTTATGTCCAGGCCTACCACACTTGTAGCATATAATGCTAGAAGTGGTCTCTTCGGTAGTGTCTTTCTTCTCCCGTTGGTGGCCCTCCGTCGATACGCGGTGCTCAGTGGTCCGCTTCGTATGCGTTGGGGTGCCGGACGACCTACGCCCTGGGGTGTAAGATCGTTCCGACCTCTCTTGCCTCGTCTTCTGGCGCGAGAGCTCCTCTTGCCTTTGTGCTGCCGCGAGGACCTGCTCTCGGCTACGGATCTCCTTATTCTCGCGCATGACCTCCGTACGTATATCGGGGCGTAAACGGTTGAGAAGAAACCACGCGTCTCGCTCTTCTGCCGATAGCTCAGGAATATCCCTTTCCAGCGCCTCCACTTCGTCCAGGAATGCTCGCGCTCCCTGGTTATCGCCCTGCTTCTTAAAGGCCAGCGATAAGAGTGCGTTTGACATACGATTCGTAGGGTCTAAGATGATACCCTTGCAAAAAGCGATAAACTCGTCCCAAGTATTGATTGGATCCTTGTGTCGCACCCATGAGATCGCGGCCGTACCCTTCAGGTAGGTGGCTACTTTCTGGATACGTTCCACCCACTCAGAGGGTGTGAAAGGCCCATCAGCCTTGTTTCGAATCGACCACTCGATCTCGAATGTTTGCAACTCTTTAATGTTTTTGCCTGAGAAGGTAGGGGGCTCGGCCATTTTCAGCCTCGTTGAGGAGTGTCCGTGGACGTCGCTGGATGCGTTTCGCTTATGAGAGGGGTACGCGGCCCCTTCGATGCGCACTGGATTCCTAGGAGTCTCTCCCGCGAGTTCGAGTTCCATAGCCTCTAATTCCCTCTCGCGGTTCTCCTGGTGCCTTTTGGCAACGACTAGGGCTCGAATGCGCTCATAACGCTCTTCGAATGTCTCCCTGCCCTCCTGCGCAGGTTCGGTGCTTGAGAGTATTTCGTCCCCGCTAGGCGTAGCCGTCGCGGGTACGTTCCCACTATGCTCACCAACCCCTAACTACTGGCTACGGGTTGAGGGAGCCATTATCGCTTCCGTTAAACCGTATCTAGGTGAAGGCTTTGAGAATTATAAGGGAAGCGGTGGATAGACAGGTTGATAGAAGCGATAACGCCTAGTACTGATAGCTCTAGCCCTATATACAGAGACTCAAAGCCTTGAAGAGGGTTTGAGTAGGGTGCGCGCAGTATGCGCCCCTGATATGTTATGTAACCTTGGCGCCCATGCTTGGCCGGTTTGTTGTGTTTGGGGAGGGATCCCTAACAGTTTCTCTCTAAACCGAACTAAACGATCTTAAGCTAACTAACCGCGCGAGGGCTAGATTACTTCTTAAGGCACCCCTTTTAGTGCTTTAATCAGCTAACTTATGAATTCTAAAGTAATAGCGTCTCGTGCCTAGACTAGTAGTATTAACGCTCCTATTAGACGAGTTAATTCTTTCACTAATTAGTCACTATTTTTCGGAGTAAGTAGTCGATTTACTAAAGACGACGAAGTATTCCTATCTATCTTTATTATGTCCATATAGTCATCCCGGCAGCGTTACTCCCTAGGGTCTTCCTTTCGAGCGGTTAAAGGTTAAGTCTCCCTCTCGTACACTAGCTCTTAGAATTCCTTATTAAGCACCCCTTATATGAATTTCTTCGTCTTATTATCAGTATCCTATAGCTCCTTTACTTATTCCTAGTATTTCTGGAAGTTCGAATTCTCTAGTTTTCGATCCATTAAGTTTTGTTTCTTCCGAATCTTATCTATATAGGCCTTTAGTAATCCGGATAGAAGGAGCCGATAGTACGCATAATTTATCTTAGCCCCGGTCTAAATTAAGTGAGTTATAGCCTTACGGAATTGATAGAGATATAGTTCTAGACTCTAGGACTTTTCTTACTGATACTTCGTGAGTACCTAAAGATATTAAATACTTAATATCCGCTACATTTTATCCCGGTCTTTATATTTATCTAAGACCTTCTCTTTAAACTTCTCCTAATCTATTATATTAAACTCGATAAGCTCTTTATAATGCTCCTTCTCTACCTTTAATATAAAGCGAATAGACCTACGAATACGTTCTCCGCTTACTATTACTTAGTTATATTCGTATAGCTCTTTAAACTCCTCAAAGAAAGAAGTTATATTCTTTCTATTGAAATATAGAAGATTATCACTTCTATCCGAACTCTAGGGCATTTATCTTATTAATATTATAGAAGGAGGGATGTATAGCGGCTACACTATAGAATCCGGCGTTAATAGATCTTATAAGCTAACGCTTAACATTATTAATAATCCTAGCTTTCCTTTACTATTTAAGCCTCTCGCGGATAACATTTCGTTATTTTTATGTTTTTATATACGTTTTTCAGTATTTTTATCGGTTTTATTAGTTATATCTTCGTAACTTCTCTCCTCTCCTTCGTTAAGTCCCTTACCCTTCTCGTTCCTTATCTCTACTAGTAATTTCCATTGATACTATAGCTTCACTTCCCGGCGATAGCGCTCTAACTTTACCCGCCTCCGTAAGCTTAGCCTTCCTATCCGTTATCGCTATTCCTTAAACAGTTCTACGTTTTATTAGCTTCCCCTGAGCTCCTTAGCTAGGGGTTTTTAGGGTCAAACGCTTTCCCTATCCCTCGAGGGATATATCTCTTCCTTAGTTCTTCTATATAATCTAAATAGTCGTAAAGTCGTTAGTTTTCCACCCTATATAGTAGTAGTAAACATACATAGCCAGTAGTTCTAAAGGGCACCCCGAGTAGCGGTCTCCATAAACAGCTAACGTAACCCGTCCTGTACAGCGGGACAGACTTACTTAGCTAGTAATCCCTAAGGTATACCCTACGTAGCGGTTCTACATATATAGCTAGCGTTCTCCAGATTCAGTTAGGTAGGTAGGTAAGTAAGTAATTCTTCAGTTCCGTTAGTCCAGTCGTTCATCGTGGTTATGTTATCGTTTCTTCTTCTTTAGTTTTGATCTTCTTCTACCGCTCGTAAAGAGACGCTCATACGTAAGCATTTTTCCTATTAAGTATTAGGTTCTTATTGGAGGCACTAATGAACTGGGGCGAGGCTTCTAGCTATAGGCGCTAACTCGTACGGCGGTAGGTAATAGGCGCGTTCACATCTTGTCAAGTAGTTGATTGATTATCTTGTTGTTTTTCTGTCTACCTAGGCGAATAATAAAAGAAAAGACTACTAAGCTAAAGTGGTACCCTCGAACTGACCAATTAGAGAGTGGTAACGTTTACCTGTACAATGTATAGCTAAAAGTTGACCAATCACCTTACTCGCCCACCTTGCATCTCAGGTCCTCTCTAAACCTTTCCCATTACAATATAGACGTGATGAGGGCGAGGAGATCTATCGATTAATGCCAAAAAATATAGATAAATCGAAAGTCTTTGCATAGCGTTGGGGTTATAGGTTACCCTATAGAATAATGGTTGCTACTATATGCGAACATCTACTCGGAATAGGTGACGAAAATATATATGGATAGTCTCGCATCATATTGTATGAACTTCAAGAGCTTCCTACTATACGCGCTGGTCGAGAAGAAGGGTGCTATTCCCCCGCGAATTATTCGCCGAAAAGAATGTGACGGATCGCAATAGGTAGGAATACTGACTTTCCTTCATAAAGTGGCACAAAGGTCAAGTAAGACGGAAAAGAGAAATTTTCAGTCTAGATAAACTTACTGTAAGAATGTCCTGAAATTGTTACTTCACTCCTATTTCTAATGATGGATTTTCGAGTTACCATTGAGAGTCTGGGCGGACTCTATTCAAACACTCGCTAAAGAAGTAGGTAGGAGTTCATCGCGTTGTTTCACAGTATATTGTGCAAGATCGACATTCCCGGGCTGGATCGCGCAATGATACAGTCATAGAGTTAGGTATAATGCCGGCATCGACAACCCTTACACCGCATGATCCCACGCTCGTGCTTGTCCACATATGAGCCAAAGTCCTTTTCGCAATTTCGACACCTGTCATATTTCTCCAGTAATGTAAGTATGCGGTCTCTGTCCAGTGTCATTTCTTCGACACTCTGCCCCAGAGTCTCAATAGTGTCTTGCGAAGTTTGTAGAGTCTCCTCAAGGGCTAGCTGCGTTTTAGCGAGCTCTTCAACTTGACATGCGTGTTCGTGAGCCTGCCGTGATAACATCTTCCAGGCAATGGGTTCGTGCTGTAGGAGCAGCAAGGTCAACTCGCCATCTGGCGGGAGATGCTCAGAGTTCTCCAGACAGAGCTCAAGGATTTGAGCTCTTAGTCCACTGTCACCGTCACCACCATGGTTGAAAACTCGAGAAAACGGTTCGACAAAGGCGTCGGCTCTGAAGTTTTTCTTGGCAACGCCTATGAACCTGCTTGTCGCATGTCGCATAAGCTCGCTGATGTCTAAGTACTTGGCTAGTAGATAAACCTCAGTATGTTCCATGAGCTGCTTCGACTGCTGGCGGAGGGATGCTGTCTCGTCTTCGTCACTTTCTGGCGCTCCTTGATTGCTAACACTATCAGTGTCGTCGCCGGCTGCAGCGTCGTCGCCGGCTGCAGTCTCATCGCCGGCTGAAGTGTCGTCGCCGGCTACATTTTGGTCTTCGGTCGTGGAAGGGTCATATTCTCCAGTGTAGACGAACTCTAGGACTTTCTCGAAAATATCGGTACTTGCTTCCGGGAGCGTCCCGCGACCTTCGAGTCCTTCCTATACGTGTGTTAATTATTAATGTTCCACGTCATATGATATGCTTACCTTGAAATTGCCAGCACATAGACGGTGCAACACAGTTGACTGTGGACAGACGATACTGCGATGAATCTTGAAATCTCTTTCATCGACAGTCAGGATAAAGTCAGAAAATTCGCCTGTCCGTAGAAGATGCTTTTGTCGCTCTGCAAACGACATCCTGACTATCAAATCAGTGTCAGATCATGAGCTCCTAAGTATATTTATAAACGAAAACAATGCCACAGCCTCGTTCTAGGCAGGTCAGGTACTATAAGAGTAATCAAAAGGACGCGGATTTCAATCAGCGGGTCTCATCCAACAGAATAAGTTCTGAGACGAATTGTAGCACGAGGAGGTCAAAGTGAAGCGTGCAAAATCGAATGATCGAGAGTGGCATCTCCTTGGCGAGGCTGGTGTGTATGCTCCAGCTGTTAACCAATGACGTGGCTCCACGTCAAGACTTCAAGGCACACTACGAAGTGCTTCTCGCCTCACTTTATCTATCCTACAGCTCGCCAAGCATCACCCTGCAGTGCGATAATACGCACCTCCATAGCTTAATATACACATCTCGATCACTTAAACAGATGCAATATCTATTACCGCACGCAAGACGCAACAAGATGTGCGCGATTGAGACGAAGACGTATCGCAATTGCAGAGTCACTCCTCAACATTGTGAACGCGGTCAGTATCTGTGATGCGCCCTTGCCGAAGCACGTCCAAACCGCAAACTGTGTGTACCTCCAACCGGGAAGCTCAGAGACTTACTATTGTCCCTTGATGTTCAAGACACTAATCTACTGAGAGACTACCTAGCTACTATATTCTAGCAAAATCAAGTCGATTACTTACAGTATAATAAATTATTCTTAGTATATTCTTTGTACTTAATTTACTCTCTTTATAAATTATCCTCTAAAAATGTAAGGGAAGCGGTGGACAGACAGGTTGATAGAAGCAATAACGCCTAGTACTGATAGCTCTAGCCCTATATACAGAGACTCAAAGCCTTGAAGAGGGTTTGAGCAGGGTGCGCGCAGCATGCGCCCCTGATATGTTGTGTAACCTTGGCGCCCATGCTTGGCCGGTTTGTTGTGTTTGGGGAGGGATCCCTAACAAAAAATCTCTAGAAAAACTATAAATTTTTAACCTTTAAAAAGTAAACCTTTAACCTCTTAGTCCTACTAAGCTCTAACTACTCTAATTAGTCTATTTAAACCTTAGACCCTACGATGTTTGTACAATAATGTTAGGACCACCTATAAGTATAGACCTTATAGGTTTCGATAGCCCTAGTGCTTAGGCTCCTAAGCTAGGGAGTTAGTAACTGGACCACCTACTAATTGGGCATCATAGGCTTGGGCACCATTATTATTTTATGAGGTGCATATAGTCCATCCTATGCTCTGTTTATCGAAACAAGGTCACTTTTTAAGTCATGTCCATTAAAAACGTTGCCAATCCTGCGGCATGTTTGCAACTTCCGGAGCCAGCCAATACGTTAAATCCATGTCCACCATGCAGTCCGGACCGCCGATATCGTTTCCAAACAGATTTGGGTCCTCGGAACTTTGAGGTGCTTTGCTTGAGATCCCAAAAAAGGTCAAATCAAGCGGACCTTTGCCCTGAGCTGTTGTCTAGTTAGGGATTGAGCTTCACAAAAGAAAGCGATGGGATACATACCAAGGTCTGAATTGGAAGACATTCCATCCATTTTGTACCGTTTCCTCCATATCCACAGAGCATCATGCAGGACACTCGCACCGAGCCTTGTCTTGATACGAAGCGTTGGTGGAGCGGCCTTGATTTCGGGCGAAGATTGGTGAAAGTGCCATAGCTGACTCAAAATCCGGGTGTGCAGTCCAAAATTATCGTTGTCTTGCAAGGAGTAGCGGCGCAAGAGCTTGATGATAGCATTGAAGTTTCGCTTGCCAGAATCATAGTCCACCAGACTGGAGTAACTGGAGTTTAGAATTTTCAGAATCGTAATTCCCGCGACAATCAACCACCGATACAAATGGGTCGGAGCACAAATCGGAAAATTCGACTTGGAATCGGCCGAGACAACGCATTCGACCAGTCTCAACGCCGTCTGGAAGGCCTTTAACAAACCAGTCTTGCGGCAATCTTCGTCCCCCATTTCGAAGAAGTGGAAGACACGGAGCTGGAGCCGAGCAGAGTGCCGCTGCACACGGTTATAATCTGTATCGCTTCGTTAACAATGAGATCAAGGGTACAAGGGCCTCCCTAGACTCTGACCTGTAGCGTTGGGCGGTATTTGACGATCGAGATCATCTAATCCCGATTCAAGCTGTTGTATGACTCGGTCATAATCATTCTCGGCAGGAAACCCAAACTGAGTGTTGGTGTTCTCTGACATGAGAGCGCTGATCCGCACCGAGAAATGCGCCATTCTCAGGGTGTCGTGAAGGCTTGGAGGCAGCGCATAGATGTTATCCAACTGGCTGGCGCGATTGATGAGTCGATCTGGCTTGAAGATGGATTCCTGGCCAAAAGCAGATGTGATGCTAGCCCTACATTAGCACTTTGACGTTTCCTTATAACAATGGAAGCCATCAAAGAGACGCACTCACCGTTGGCTTGCAATATAACAACTCGCCCATAGCTTGACCGAGTCCTGGATGCCTTCAGGACTCAGTGATCTTTCATCCCGTGAGAAATCCTGAATACACTCCGGCCGGTGAATTCCCATCTGCATGGCGGCACTTTTGGCCGCCGTAATGAGCATGAAAGATGCATCGGTCCACATAGATGTCGTGGGGAATGGCCATGTACAGACTAGAATAATCGCTTGAACCACGAAAGGTGTGTGAGGTAGTGCCTCGATCGACCTCCACGCCAGAGCCAGCACCGGCCCAGAAAGGCTCCCGAGAAGTGAAGGTTCTTTGTCATATCGACGGCTGGCAACAATAATGATGGCCCAAAAGAGAAAGCGTGAACGAGAGTAGTAGTCATTGGGTGTTGCAGTTGGATCCAGAAAAGGCATCAATGGATGGTAATCTGCGAAATATCTGTACGACGACGATTAGCACGTGTCCGGGAAGACGGTAATGAACGATGTCTCCTCGGAGTGGTAACAGAGTAACAGACATTTGGAACAGCTCGTTAATCGGCTCCGCTGTGAGCGTAACGGTGTCGATTGTACGAGCCAAGGTAACGCTGCGTATCTCCGGGGAGGGTGGTTCACACGATGGCAGCTTTGAAAGGGAATAGTTCTCTGAAAGAAAACTGCTCGGCATGGTTGGATCCTGGATGCCAAGCGCATCCGTAGTCTCTATGAAGGGGACACGGTCGGCACTTTTGAGGAACTGGCCTGTCGACGGCGATCGGACCGTTTGTTGTATCTGCAAGGCTTCGTTGTCCAAACCATTCGAGCTGAGCCAGTTCAATCCAGCGACTCCCACTTCCCCCTCAGCAGCATTGGACGAGATAGGAGGGCTCCGGTTGGATTCCAGAATCGCCGACTGCAGTCGTTGCACTTGCTGAAGGAGGTCATCATATCGACTAAAGTCTGAGAATTAGCAATTGTCCGGGCCTCCAGGTAATCGGTGGATTCGTATACGCTCTCTTTGCATGCCTCTTGAACTTGACGTCCACTTGGCATTCCTGGGACAATCTCTCACACCGAGAGCAGGGAACTGAACGGCTATCCGCATCGCACCGCGACTAAGACAAAAGGTCAGACCTGGTAGAGCGGCAAGAAGCAGACTCCAGAGATACTCGACGCGTTGTATCTACGGATCATTCGTGAAGCTGGCAACAGAGATGCTCACCTTGGCCTGTCTGCATGCTCGACATGCAACCCGGGCTATCTTCCGCTGGCCGCTTGTCTCCGTGAAGCCCCTGGCATCTGTTGAATGGGGTTGTGGTTCGTCGTCCAAGCATTGAGCGATGTCCATCACGGCAAAGATACAAGATACAAGTTACAAGTTACAACATGCCTCTCTCCGGGCCGGTCGGAGTGTGTACGAGATGCGCTGCGGGGAGGGAGGCGGACTTTATACACACCCTCGCCGGCCAAGACCAGAAGCGAGCTGCGAAATCTGCGAACTTTGGTTGGTGCAGGGGGGAGGGACGTGTTGGAGGCCACGAGTCAACGACCCGCTTATTGCCGACTACTGACGTTACGGCAAACGGCACCTTTTGAATTTTGAAGACTGACTATTACTTGCCGTTTGGGGTACCATCCACGCTGATCTCCCCACAATTCTCAGAGATCTCCATTCGTGCTAGCACAGCTGCGCTCTAGAATCCGCCACCACCCATCCAAACCAAGCCCCTCGGCCCTGGCATCAACTGTAGCTCCGTACCGCTCGGCCATTTTGGCAGAGAGGCCCGACACGCGGGACAGCATCAACGAGCGGAGTGTAGTCATCGTTCGTCGGCGAGAGCTCAGCCTGATCCTGATCCTGCCAGCCCTGGACACGAGATAATGCTCCGAAGAGGTCGTGTGCTCAAAGTGGTTTGAGTCTTGGCCCCAGGAAACGAAACGACGTTCTTTGCTTATCTAAGGCTGGTCTGCTACGGTAATCGATGCGATGCGCCACTTTCAAAGACTGGGGAATGGGCACCCTTGTTAGCGTCGCTCTTTATTGCTTGAAGATTGAGCTCCCACGTGGCATGTATAACTTCAGACAATTATTCAACCTAGTTATTAGTAGTAGCAATGCTGCAGACCACCGACGCTGCCCATGAGACAAGTTACAACCAAGGACAATGGCCATTCCAGTGCTATAGTAGTGGTAATGAAGGACCCAAGATCAAAATTGTGCTCATTTTCTCTACATATAGATATCTTGTTTCTCTTCTTATTAATGCTAGTAAGCTTAAGCAAAAGCTCCATTGAGCACGGTTCTACCATTGCAGCTCTTCTACTGCCGCAGACAATTCGAGCACCTCTGTCGTTGGTCTTTCCGCGAACTCGTGGCCCTCGTGGCCCTCGTGGCTCTCATTGCCCAAGGCCTGGAACAGTCGATTCCCAAACTTTCTGTATGCCTGTAGCATCCCCTGATTTCGCGTGAGCGACAATTCCATATCTGTTAATGAAAAGTCGAACGCAAAGCCCGCGACCATGATCGTCCTGTCTTCTAACCTGATCTCGATGTCGACGTCGTCCTTTGCGAGATCATAGAAATGATCGTCCGTGATGGTGATCCCCAGTAACCCTAAATTGGGTTGATTGCGGCCATAGATGAAGGCGAAAGAGCGTGCAATGACACATTGGACGCCGAGGCCTAATAAGCAACTCTTTTATCAGCCTCCAGGAACATGTTACATTAGGTAGAGATTGTTTATCGCGACTCACCATTGAAAGCTCTCACCGCCGCCTCACGCGAAGAACCAACTCCAAAGGCTTGTCCTCCGACAATCACGCGCTGGCCATTGCGGACCTTGTCCCTGAATTCCGGCATGACATACTTCATACAATGCTGCCCCAGATCCTCGTCGGTGATTGCTGTCACAAGACTTTCGGCCGGGGCAATCTGGATTACCGGATTAGAATTTAGACCCAGTTGTCACTGATCTGCAAAGGTGCCAATGGAGGAACTTACCGCATCCGTGTCAATAAAGTCGCCCAGTCTAATCACCTTGCTACGAATCGGGTGATAGCTCTGAGGCTCTTGGCCGTCATTGGAGTCTGATCTTGCATCTCCTGCCGTCGCTTTTGCTGGTCCCTCCGGTAACACTGAATGAGCATCATCCACTCTGTCTGGAGGTTTGCTCACGAAATTGGGCTCGACGTAGGTCAATGGAGTTGTTGGCACTGGAGCGGACTGAGAGGACTTCAGGCTCCTTTTTCCTGGCTTCCGCAGATCATCATAGTACCTCATGTCGACTTCTTCCAAGAATTCCGCTGGATCTGTGACCGTCATGCTGAATGAGGATGCTGCCACCGCTGCGGCCGAAGCGAGGTTCCCGATCGATCCTGTGCGTATCGTATCAGCATGCATGAATGTGGCGATGAGACGAGCCCGGACACAGAGAGCAGACCTTTTCCCATTCTGTTTTTGAAATTGCGATTTTGGGACGAGAGCCACACCTCACCCTCTTGGGCTTGATCGGCGCCCATGCCGACACAGAAGCTGCATCCGGGCACCCCAACAACGAACCCAGCTTCACGGTAGAAGTCCAACAACCCTAATTTATCCAGGCGCTCGGTGATCGGTAAAGAGCCAGGGACCACATGCTTTTTGCCCCGTTTTCTTTTCAATCCCTTCCGCAGTCCAACTTGCAAGACGAGAGCACCCAGAATCAAGTCTTCTTCGGTAGTGGTGCAGGCTCCGATGAAACAACCGTCCAACGCTCGTCCGACTTGCTGGGAGATCGGCACGACATCATCCGGTGATGGGTAAATGGCCACGTACGATTGAACCTTGGAGAGGTCGATTTCAAAGGACTCGGCGTATTGGCAATCGGCGTCGGGGCGGAAGTAGAGCGGAGACGAGCGCCTGGACTTTTGCTTCCGACTGTCGATGTAATTTTTGACCAACGCATCAGGAACAAACACTCCCGTAATGGCACCGAATTCCTAAGTCCGTACATTAGCATTCATACAAGGGTTAGGCGGGAGGTTGAATTGACATGACATACGGTACACATGTTCGAGATTGCAAATCTCGCATCGACGGAGAGATGTTGAATTCCCGGGCCGGAAAATTCCACAATACGGTTTGCCGCGACAGTGTTTCGCTTTAATTCTCCCAGGATGTATAGGATGACATCTTTGCCACCGATTCCCAGTCCAGGTCGGCCGACGAACCGAATGTTGATACATGCTGGGACCTTGATCCAACTCTCTCCGGTGGCCAACGCAATGGCAACGTCAACCGCCCCGAGGCCAATGGCGAGGCATCCTACAGCTCCCGAGGAACAAGTATCTATATCAAACATTAGCCAAATTTCATCCGCCACAGGCCATTGTCGAAAATTTACGAGAATCCGCGCCAAGGACAAATAATCCGGGCTCTGCTCGTTGACGCACAAACTCGGTGTGTATGATGGTGTACTGCGACTTCAATGTCAGAGATATGATTTCTGATATCTTACCATAAGTAATGAAGTTACTTACATTGGGACCCTTGTAGTCGGTCAATTTGAAGTCACGGGCTGCATTGTCCGTCGCATCGATCAGCCGTCGATTCAAAGGCGTTTCGTACGTTCTAGGATCCACGACGTGATCGGCGGCAAGCCATAATCGATCATTGCGCCACGGTCTGAAATCAGGGAGATAACGCAGTGTTTTACTCATGCCCTTGACATATATCAGTCTCTCTCGGCCGTGTGATAAAATACATCAGAGCCTTTGGTGTTGGCAGAATAGAGCTTACAAACCACGAGGATTCGGAGGCGATGATCCAATCCACGGAGAGGCGAACAAAGTCCCCTTCCTTGACGCCTTGGAGTGGAAGCGGGTCGATCGAGTGATGAGCCAAGATCTTCTCGGTCAGATTCATGGGCCTTGTGCCCATCGACTTTGCAGTCAGTGGTTTCAGGAGCCGTCTTGCAGCTTCGGCCGCGTTGAGTGATTCCAACCAAGCCTCGACGGATGCCAACACCTTCTCTTGGGATTTAGGATCCAGATCCTGCGTGCTTTGGATTCCCAGACCACCTTGCATTGTTGATTCAGCCGCATATTCCGCCGCCCTTCCTATTGCCTCGGCTTCATGGTGCTTGTCCATGTCGACCAAGGCCCTTTTCACCTCTTCCAGCGCGGCAAAGTAGTCCCCAAATGCTGTCGAGTGCTCGGCGGTGGGTAAAGAGGTCAGAGGTAATTCAATGTTGCGTGTATGACACAAGATCTCCAAGGTCTGATCCAGCAACCACTCCATGCTGTTGTCGCTGTTGTTCTTCGCCATGATGATTTTCTCCCGCGAAATAGTATTTTGTGGTGACCCAGTGTCCATGCTGTTACGAACAGACCCTCTCATTTTCTAAGTTCTTGCGTTCCACCCTTCGAACCCATCTTCTCCCAGGGCGCTCTGGAAATGACCGTCAAAGAATTATTATCGGACCTTTGTCGGAAGCATTGTTGGCCTGACGAGCACCCGAAATGGGGCGCGTGATAATAATGGTGCTCCGCTCCGCTCCGCAACGGAGTTGGCGACCCACTCGCCAACACTGACTGGTGCCAGAATCTGCGCACGGGTGGCCAAATTTCTGGGGTAAATGTTAGGCCCATCCAAGAAGAATTCCTGAACTCGGCTCGATTGAGATATACCTCGCTCTAGTCTGGGGTCAGAGTTGAGGCGTATCACGAATATACAGTAACACAGCGCAGCGGGGAAATGCCTGCCCCTGAGCGGCCCGTCGGCCGCGCGGCTTTGTCTTGACCGGCAGATGTGATCTCCTCCGGAACACTATATGTCCTTTCGCCCAAGATCTCGACTCTCTAGTAGGCATTGACCCAATCGCGTCGAGCGTTCTGTTCTGTCTGATAACCGACAAACACTACCACAAGAGCATCAATCATGGTTGCCATCAGAACAATTACCCAAATGACAGCAGCAGCCCGACTTCGAGGGTATCTTGCAGACCCATCCAAGACATTGATGTGTCCAGGAGTCTATGATGGGTTGTCAGCAAGAATGGCGTTGCAGGAAGGTTTCGACTGTTTATACATGGTAAATTGGGAATCGCTATAGCTTCAGCAGTGAGATTCGCTGACTCGAATTTATTACTCCTCCAGACGGGCTCCGGTACCTCCATGTCAAGATTAGGAATGGCAGATCTAGGACTCACCACATTGAATGATATGAGAGACAACGCGGCAATGATTTCCAGCCTGGATCGGAGTGTTCCCCTGATTGCTGATGCCGACACGGGATTTGGAGGCAAGAGGGCATCCCCGATCCGCCTTTCACTCGAAGTCGAGCTAATTAATTCTGTGTAGGAGCTGTCATGGTCGGTCGCACCGTGGCCCAGTATATGCAAGCCGGCGTTGCAGCCCTGCATCTCGAGGACCAGGTGCAGAACAAAAGATGTGGCCACCTACGGAACAAAGAGCTGGTCTCGGAAGAAATCTACCTGTCACGGATCCGAGCGGCCGTGAACATGCGTGAGAAATTACTGGGAGACATTGTGATCATCGCCCGCACCGATGCGCTGCAGTCCCTCGGGTTTGAAGCATGCATTGAGAGGCTACAGAAAGCGGTGAGTGTCGGAGCAGACGTGGTCTTTCTCGAAGGCGTCGAGACTAAAGAGCAAGCCGCCGAACTGTGCCTACGGCTTCATCCCACGCCGGTATTGTACAATGCGGTATCAGGAGGAGTCTCGCCCAACATCTCCGTGGCCGAGGCGCGAGAGCTGGGATTCAAGATTGTCATTTTTCCGTCGGTGTCTACACGGCAGGTTGTCGAGGGCCTATCGCAAGTCTTGAGAGATTTAAAGGAGAATGGTGCTCTTCCCAAGACATCGACGACACCCAAAAACGTATTTGAACTGTGCGGCTTGCAGGAAGTGATTGACTTTGATACGGCGGCCGGAGGCAGTATGTATACGAATGGTGTATAGAATCAAGCTTGTGTTTCAGTTCACCAGCACACCATCACATATCCTATCCTAGACGTAGGATATCTTGTGTACACTTCCCCATTTGATTCTGCTAGGCGTAGTAGGCTGGAGGCAGTAGGAACAGTAAAGCAGAGGAAGCCAGAAGAAAGCAGCGGAAATGTCTGTCACGGGGCCAGGTAAGGTGTATTTTCTATTTCGCAGATCATTATCATGCTCGATGGTGTATCTCTGTATCAGGCGCATACTCATCGCCTAATCCAGGACGACATTCACGCTTTTGATGTGTGTGAATGACAACAATTCTTCCACGCTCTCCTCCTTTCCCACTCCCGACTCCTTGGCTCCTCCAAACGGGACGCCCATGTAGTGTTTAGAGACGTGGTTGATCCACAGATACCCGGCCTCAATCTTCCTCGCTATAGTCGTTGCTTTGGCCATATCTCGTGTGAAGATCGATGCCGTGAGGCCATACGAGGTATCGTTGACTCGCCTTATCAGATCCTTCTCATCTTCCCATTTGAAAACCGACATAACTGGTCCGAAGATTTCTTCTCTGGCGATCCGCATGTATGGTTCCACGTCTGCAAAGATGGTCGGCTCGATGAAATAGCCGCCCTTGATGTCGGGATTGTCAGTTGGGACTTTAGCCCCAATCACTAAGCGAGCGCCTTCGGTCTTTGCGGATTCAATGTAAGACATGACTCGGTCGTGAGCGGCCTGACTGATGACCGGACCCATAGTGGTGGACATTGCAGTCGGCACCCCCGGCGCAAACTCTCTTCGAATCAACTTTACTACCTTCTCGAGCACTTCATTATAATGGGATTGATGCAGATAAACTCGCGAGGTGGATCCGCATGATTGACCCGCCCAGGTGAAATTCATTCCCCGTGCCACGCCCTCTGCCAACTTATCGATGTCGGCGTCGGGAAAGGCAAGGAGAGCGTTCTTTCCCCCCAATTCGAGAATTGTGGGCTTGAGTGAAGCCGCGGCGGCCTGTTGAATAGCTTTACCGGTCCGTACGCTCCCAATTAGGGTGATCTTTTTCACCAATGGATGTGTGGCGAGAGCCTTTCCACATTCCACGCCCCCCGATAGAATGCTGACCACACCGGGAGGAAATATCGGTTGTAGGATTTCGGCTAGGAGAAGACAGGATAGCGGCGCTTGATCGGGACTTTTGACGATAACCGTGTTTCCCGCGGCCAATGGTGCGGCGAGCTTAGCCCCAGCAAACTGGATGGGGTGATTGAACGCAACAATCCGTCCGACTACTCCCAGCGGCTCTCGCGTAGTGTAGTGGAACGTCGCGTCACTTTGCGGAATGGTCTCCCCTTTGAGCATGGGGATGAGACCGGCGAAGTAATCCAGGCTGGCGGCGGCGACATTCGCGTCCGACAGCATTTTGGTTATTGGGTTTCCGGTGTTCAAAGAATCGAGGAAGGCCAGTTCTTCCGCGTGCTGACGCAGCGCATCGGCAGCGCGGCGCATGTACGTTGCTCGTTCGACGGGGGGGACAGAACGCCACGTCAAGAACGCCTCGTGTGCCGCTGCCACCGCGGCGTCGACATCGGCAACTGACGCGACAGCGACCTTGGTGATGACCTCCCCATTGCCTGGATTGAATGTCTCTTGGTATCCCCCTTCCGTCGGCTGGTGCCAGGTACCGTTATAGAAGAGCTCTTTATGAGGCGGGAGGGGGTAATTGATGATGGCCATGGTGGTGATTGATCGTACTTGGGCAAGATGTAGTGTCAAAGTTTCATAGGTTCGGCAGGTTGTTTTTGATTTTCTGTTCAAAATGAGGTACTCAGCTGGAAAGCGGCCGTTCATCTGCTCAAAAGGGCATCACACCATCCCTACGAAGGCAATGCTCTGCAAAGAATTCTAGAAACCGACAACGCCGGCGGGCCTAATCGGGCACCGGGGCGGCCTTTGCAGCGCACGCCACAGATCTGTCCAGACTCTCCCCGATCTTTCAACTCCGCTGCGCACCTTTCAGGAAACCTTAGAACTCATACCTTCTCGAGTCACACTGTTCTGATTCATAGGCAGGGCTGCTCTTAGAACGTAGGCTCTGCAGGTCGAAAATTGAAATCTTCCATCAAGTCAATGATCAGTCCCATTTCACCTTGCCGTGGTTGGTTCTCTAGTATGGTCTGATCATTCGGTGCACTGAGAAAGCTCAGAAAGCCGAGATTGATTGTTCTTCTAGTTCTTCTACGTGGAGTAAATTGTAATACCGTCGTTGTACCAAAGTTTACCTCTCATCTATGTAACTCCCTGCTTACTCCTCAAGACTACCTTAGGGACGCCTGTTGTCATGATACCTATTATCTCTTTTGGCTCCCTCGGCAAGGCTATTCCACAGGCTGCCTAGACATGGTACTTTCTTGCTTTCTCTTCAATTGTGCATCTATCTCCATCCCCTCTCTCAACCTCGCCTTGACCCACAGCTCTATAGGCGTGGTTACTACGGTCTCGTTGTATTCAATCGGCTTATTTGGGTCGCTCAGCTCCCAGTCAAAGGCCATTACGAGCGCCGCAATGGCGACCGAGAGGTCCAAATATGCTATATTGCGGCCAATGCAACCTCGGCCGCCCATGCCGAACGGCTGGACATAGGTTGTGAGGTTCGCACTTTCGGCCGCGGAAGGGATGTAGTCTGCATCCGAACCCTCGAGCCATCGCTCCGGAATGAACTTCCAGGGATCTTTGAAGAGTCTCTCGTCGTGGTGGATCTCATGTAACGGTGAACTCACGACCACTCCGGGAGCGATGTAATGACCGCAAATCGTCATGCCCGGATTGGTGACCAGTCGAGGGAGGCCGAACGTGACGGGAGGATTGCATCGAAAACTCTCGTCGAGACAGGCTCGGAGCATGGGAAGATTCTGTAGGTCGGTGTAAGAGGCAACTGGTCGGGACTCGGGAGGGATGGCGGCGTAAAGACATTTCCGTAATTTGTCTTGCTTGTCTGGATTTTTCGCCAGATGATAAATGCAATTGGTGAGCGAAATTTGCGTGGTCCCCTGACCGGCGAGCAACATCGTTGAGCACTCGGCGAGGATCTCGTCGGCGGACAAGGTACTCTTGCGCTTTTCGGTGGGCTCCAGCGGGAAGCTTGAGAAAAGATCTGGTTCTGTGGGCGGCTTGTCTATACGCTCGCGGACGATGTAGCGAGCCATCGATCGGAAGTTCTTCATCGATCGGCAGCCGGGAGCCTGGCTGAAGATACGCAGGGCGAGCTCCCACCACCTTTTCGAAAGTTGGACCAGAGGAAAGGCAAAGTTCCCACTCCTGTGCTGGGTCTCGATTGCGCGGACCTTTCGGGCTTCACCCGATGCAGTCAGCGCCATACATCGATCGTTCCCGGTCTTCAAGAATCCATATGGTTTGGACCAGAAGACTGAAGTGATGACATCGTAAGCGAACATGTTCATCCAGGGTCGGACATCAAATGCTCCCTGCACTGCTGGGTATTCGTCGGTGGTTGCAATCTGGCCGCCCGTGGATTTAATCTCAAAGGCCCGGCATAGCTGCATGACCAATTCCGTGACTCGAGGTTCCATTTGGTTGATTTGTTTGGCCGCAAAGACATGCGATAATAGCTTCCGTCTCTGTCCGTGTGGCTCTTTGTCTACAATCTGAAACATCGACGGGTTTCCCAGTCCGAGGTTGGCATAGAGTTCATCCTTGATCACCGGGGCACTGTGACCATAGATTTTCTTGTATGCTTGTGGGTCCGAGAACGAGAGATGACGAGGTCCCAGTCGGACAATGGGACCCAACCTCTTATGAGCCTCGTGGACTGCGACAAAGCGTTTTCGGCCCAACGAGTGGTAGATGGACCATAATAAGCTAAATCCAGCAGTGCTGGGTGCGGGAAATCGTCGCAGGTGTAGGGGATCCCTGAGGTACGTAAACAGAGAATGAAAGAGGACCGCCACGATGATCGCCAGGCATACGTACAGGGGGGAATAGTCTTTGAGAAACTTAGCAATTCAAATTGATATTGATACTCATGGGGAGAAACATACCGTTCGTGGTCAACGCAGAGGTGAATGCCAGCATCTTGTCTAGATGTAATACAAAAACTCCTTCTTTCCGTCACAACTTATTACTCAATACAAACAGCGGGAAACAAGAATGATCGATGCTCACGGTGATATAGTAGTCCACGCATACTTACCCCCATGCTCAAAAAAATAATCCCACGGGCCTTGAATCGGCCTTCCCCGCCAATACCCCAGATTCTCGTCGGTCGGAGAACTGGCCCAAAAGGCCCGCCCGGACTTGGAGCGGCCTACTCTCCACGAATCACCGCTGAAACAGCAACCAATGGCTCCCTGCTCCGGCGGCCTTTGGAACACACGATCATAATCAGACCATAGCACCTGCCTGGACACATATCCACCATCTATTTGAATCGGCTCAACCCCTCGTCGAATTCTTGTGAGTCTCAGTCTCTCTTGTTGCTTTACTTCCGTCTGTTTGTAACTTGAAACGGCCCACAAGCAGTAAAATGGCAGACAAGAACACGATCGAATATCTTGAAAACAGCCGTCCGCATGCTGAATTCAAAGCCGGAGTGCTGACCAGCCTTGGAGACCTTGACGACGGTCCAATTATACCACAATTCGACGCTCATGAAGAGCGACGCATTGTTCGCAAGATCGACGTCCGCTTGCTCCCTGTTCTGGCTGTTCTGTATCTGTACGGTCCATCCTCTCCTGCAATTTTTCCTGATGCCTGATTACTGAGTTTTGATTCAAATAGGTGCTCGTACCTCGATCGATCCAATATCGGCAATGCCAAAATAGCTGGCATGTACGAAGATCTGGAACTCTATGGACTGAGATACAACGCCGTGGTGGCAGTGTTCTTTGTCACCTATGCGCTGTTCGAAGTCCCCTCGAATATCATGCTCAAGATGGTCCGCCCCTCGATCTGGTTGGCGATTCTTTGCTTCTCCTGGGGCACGGTCATGACGCTCATGGGCGTGGTCAAATCATACCATGGAATGGTGGCTGCGAGACTGTTCTTGGGTCTGACCGAAGCGGGTTTCTTCCCAGCAGCGACCTACCTCTTATCCTTGTGGTGAGTTTGGAAACGAGAAGAATCAAAGAATCCACAGGAACGCTGGTAACTGACCGAGATTGATTGAAGGTACAAACGCTACGAAATGCAGACGCGCATGGCCATTTTCTACTCGGCCGCCTCCCTCGCTGGCGCATTTTCGGGATTGCTTGCATTTGCCATTGAAAAGATGGATGGAATCGCAGGGCTCGCCGCGTAAATTTTATCAATACATGCCGCCAGATTTGTACTGACGAGCTTGACAGGTGGAGGTGGATTTTTATCCTCGAGGGTCTTGTTCCCGTCGCCATATCCTTCTCGTTGTACTGGGTATTGCCTGATTGGCCCGCGACGGCGCGTTTTCTCACTAAAGAAGAGCGTCTTTTCGCCACGAACCGACTGAATATAAACACCATCGCCGGTCACACCCAGGCGATTAATTCCGATAAGATCGGGATGCGTCACATCAAAGCCGCCTTTGGTGATTGGAAGATCTGGCTTTCGATTATCCCATACTGGTCATGCTCCATCGGCACCTACGGCTTCACCGCGACCGCCCCGACTGCAATCGAGCAGTTGGGCTATACCTCCGCCCATGCACAGTTGATGACGATCCCGATCTACACATTCGCTCTCATCATCACACTTGTCTTATCGGTGTGGGCGGACCGTCACAAGCAGCGCACTCCCTTCATCATGATCGGCGTGGTTATGGGACTGATTGGTTTCCTGGGAGAATTGGCCGTTCCCCATCCACGACTGCCGGGGCTCACGTACTTCTTTTTCTTCTTCATCGCCGCTGGTGTGTACGCCCCACTCCCGAGTATCATCACGTTTGTCAGCAACAACACCGCGCCATCGTCCAAGCGTGCGGTAGGCATGGCACTTCTCATCGGCATGGGAGCTCTGGGCGGGATCTGTGGAGGCAACATTTTCCTGGCGAGACAGGCTCCCAAGTATCCTGTGGGCTATGGTGTCCCTCTTGGGATTAGCGTTGCCGGACTCATCTCGACTTGGATTCTCAGAACAGTCTATGCCAAGGAAAACAAGGCAAAGGAAGCACTCTTGCAATCCGAGGGAGAAGAGAGCCTTCGGCAGAGGTATACTCCGCAAGAACTACTTGACCTAGGTGATAAGAGCCCTTTCTATCAATACACCTTGTAGTCGGGGCTGAGCGGAACACACTCGTAAAGGAACACACTTGTACAATGTAACTGTGGGAGATTTAGGTACGAAGGAGGCACAAATACCATCATACTCAGTTATGTGCAGGAGCATCTCAGGTTGAAGTAGCCATGCTCAGGGCCATGCTCAGGGCCACGCTCAGGTCCAGAGATGGAAAGGGAATGCCCTCGTGTCGAGATTCCGACGTCGAATTCCATGTGCAATCCTCAGAATTCTGAGGTATTTCATTGCGGATCAATAGGGATATGAACAAAGTGCGTCGATCCATATGAAGTCCCCAAAGTGGCTATTTTGCAATATTTGTACCGTAGCCTTTAAGTTAGAGATGACCGTGAGCGGTTTGGTACTGCAATTAAACTGCTCAGAAGCCGGGGCTGTATTGTTGAAGGTTGAATCAGTAGGGTCTTGATAAGCTGGTCCACAGGCGTAAGAAAGTGCCTTGAAGGCTGGCAGAGTATCGAGACTGTGAATTAGGATTTGTAGGAATATTTCAGGCTCCTTCCCATTTTCCTAGAAGCTTGACAAGTCTTGTATGGGGGTGTTCAGGAAGAGATGTGAGTCGAAATATTGCTTCATTAATGAATGGAAAATCCTTGAAAAGAATAAAAGACATGCTTAGTCGACGTTGTTGTAACATCAAGTTTGTTTGAAACCCCAGCTCCGGTACCTCAACGAACAACCACGCTGTTGTAATCAGACATAGTATTACAGAGGCAAATTCCTGTGGCCAGCTCTGGGCTTTGTCTGTACGCGTGGGGATTTCAATGCTTGATACTCCAGGCGGCGAGATAACAAGAACGATTTCCCCCAGAACTAAACCTGTTCTTAGCGTTACCGCAGCTTGGGCGAACACGAGCAAGGTCAAGATTCGTAAAGGGAATGCTCTTTGAGGGTGATATTCCTACGTGCAACATGTATTGACCCAAAAATACTCGATCTTTTCTCTCGGGAAGAGGGTATCGTGCTGGATAGGCTGAAAGCTCGGGAAGGGTGGAAAAGACGGTTGGTAAGTGCAGGACACCTATAACCACCACTAGTCATCACCTACAAGAGGACAACACGAACGGAAATGGGAGATTAGCATAGAAGTCAATGGTCTTAGAATCAAGCCCGAAGTAAGTAGTAAGAAACGGTTTAGGCAAGTGCGTAGGCCAGCCCAGCTAGTAGAACATGAACAACCGAACCTCAATACTTTCCGGTGCATCGTCTTCTTGCCTCGTATCCGGGTGTCGGAAACCCGCATGAGGGACCCCTAATGGCTTTAGCTATATTTCTTATTCGGCGACATGAGTTACCCTTGAAGTCGTGCTGGGCAGTGTCTGACTGCTGAAAGACCATAAGCTCCGAGGGCAATTGGCCACTCAAGTAATGCCACTCTTGACTTAGATTGTGATACACTTGGAAATTTTCCGTATATTCAGCTCTCCCCACGATTTCACATGGAGTCAAGTCGTTGATGTGATCAACCGTCTCTGCATTACATATCGAAAGTGGCCAATCCATCAATGGTCCTTTGAGTGGTTTCCAGACGCTGCTTCAGGCCAGTGAGAATGAGCGAGACGAGCAGGCCGGGAATTACTCACTTTACTGTACGCAACTGGCTGAATTCTTCCGGATTTATGCCAAGCTTCGATTTGGCTAGGCTGAGTGTGGCTGCCGGCGTATAGTCTGAGGAATGTCAGGCGGCCCCGTCTGGAACCATTGTACGGATCTTACTAATGTGGACGATCGAGGCCGGCTGCTGAAAGTCGTAATCTTTCCCCGTAGCGATGGGGTATGAGGGGTGGCGTTTGCGGATCTGCAACCGATACATTTTGAGGCCTCGTTAACGCTTTGATCTGCGGAACTACTTACGATGTGTTCTAGTATCTCGATGCGGCGTGGTTTGAAGCGTGACCGCAACAAGGCCTTCAGTTCTGGGTAGTAAATTTTTTCGACCATTTCGTCCGAGTCAAAGTCTGCATACTGCATCTCGGACTCTAGCTTTATGATCTCAAATCCCTGTTTCTCAATACTGAATTTGTTCTCATGTCCTCTAAAGTCTCTAATCAATACAGTTTTGCCAGGACTGCAGTCAGGCTTGGCACCTTGGCAGAGCCCACAAAATACCGTTTAGTACCTGAGACAACTGTTTTATTAGCAAATTGTGTGTGAAAATGTCGGAATCTATAGAACCTAGATCGAGGAGGACTTGATAATTGCCGATCGTAATCGCCTTTTAGCGAGGTCTTTTGAGGCAGCGTAGTGCCTAAAACACTAGATTGATTAAGGTCTATATCAGGTCGCAGATCCAAACTAGTTCCACCAATCAGATCACTCTGTTTTCGGATGACTAAGGGACTGCAGTCAGGACTGGTGAATGCAGTCCTTGTCGCTGGTAGGGCTGCAGTCTTTAGTCGGACTGCAGTCCTGGCATCACTGGATCAATATGTCGGATTTGATTAACCGAGCACAATTAGTTCGAAGTAGTGTTTCGTCATTTGGTTTATATTGAAGGTTGTACGGCTTCTCTGTTTCGAAGAGGTCGTTCTTTTCCAGGTAGACTAGCTGAGCGTTAAAATCGTCTCTTGCAGCCATTGTTGTTCACAAAGTGGCTAGGTGTGAAGAAAAGAATGTACAATATATTGGGGGCAGAGCTTTGTCCCCTTAAATAGACAATATGTTTGGGTGGTACTGCGGCTCCGCTAATGCAGACCCTCGATTGATAGCTCGTAGCATGATACACTCCGGGCGCGAATGAGCGCGGACTCCAAGTATGAACAAGCAATCTATTCAGAGAGGTTTGCAGAGATACGGAAAGTCATCTGCTTAAGATTAGGTGATTTATGTGATATGACTATTCAACGGTCACTTTGTGAGGCTTCAACAGAGGACGGACCTCTTTGTTATGTGCTATCTGCTTATATTCTGCAGAATTTTTACACAGACTCAGCATCGGCGAAGAGTACGTCGTAACGAAATGTGCTATCAGCTTTCACTAGATGTGCGCAGCTTTCTGTTCAAGATGTCCATCCTCAGCCACCCGAGTTTCACAACCTGACATGGTTGGTCGGTGTGAGACCTTATTTGAGAGGGGCTTTTGTGCCTCGTGGCGAGCGCCTAAGCAGCAAATATGCAAGTCCACCAGCTTTGCTTTTTGCCCGATTATTATGTGCCAGTAGTGGTGCATGAGGCTTGCTCCGCCACCAGACATTGCGCCGTGCCTTGTCGAAAGTCCAGGGAAATGCCACGACTAGTGACCACACTCTTTCGCAGGATCTACCTATCCTGCTGGTCAGGCTGTGTATGTGCTCGGATGATGGACACGCCTGGGACAGCTCGTATGCCGGGAGAGCCGCAAGAAGGCTGGTGTAGCAATCGCGGTCGGATAGCTTTGCACCGTTACCATAGTATTGACTCGGCGGCTCAAAGACGCGAGATGGATTGAGGACGGTCCCCGACCTTCGCTTGACGAGGACAGCATTGTGTTCATCTGTTGCAACCTAGGTCTCGGTCTCTGTGGTGTGTGGGCGCGCATGATTCGATTGGGCTGGGCTGGGCTTGGGGTTGGAGTGGGGTTAGCTGGCGGGGTTTGAGAAACCAACGGTTTTGGGGCGCTAAGATTAATTGACCCCTGCACATGTCAGGCAGCGCCCACTGTTACTGCATGCGCGCCAAGACCTACGCAGCCTGGAGGAGTGTTTTGTGGGACCCAGTTAAACGGTCTAGGGAGGCACCTGTCCGAAAGGCAGACGCCAAAGAGACAGGATAGATATATTTGTGAGGCAAGGCTCACTTGTCTTTCTGCGCACATCGCCACATGTCGCCCTCTGCTTGTCTTCCCGGCACGACACGGTTCATGGGTATCCAAAAGCTCATACTCTATATCTTCTTCTCTGTCGCGTCCTTATGGATGGGCTTTGACTTGTTTACCAATTCCGCCATGTCTTCTGAACCGCTGAATCGCGGACACGGTGGACACTTGGAGCCCTCCATGGTCACTTGGGGAGACAGAGCAATTGTCGTGAACGGCGCAAGGTATCTAGTGTCCTCTAGCCCAAAGGTAAGCTTAACCGTTCAGCGTTGAATTGATCTCCACTGATAGTCTCAGGCCGGCCCAACCTTCAACAACAGAAATAGACATCTCGTGACAGTGATTGAACAACAACCGGGTCATGCTATCACCGTGGAATCCATCACAGACATAATAGCAGAGTACAAGGAAATTGACGATGTCTGGCAAGCTGCGTTCTTGTCTGGCGTCATCTTCCTCGTCGACCACACTACCGCCTCCGACGTTGACATCAAAGTGCAGAACTACCTCAAGAGCTTGGGCAATAGCTGGATCGACACCCTTCCCGTGGATACAATCTCGTCCGATATCCAGCCGGGCCCTTACATCATCCTAGAAGGCAAGCTCTACGACACGTTCAAGTTAGTAGATGACATGCATGGCACTTTCATGACTGCTGTCCGACCCCCAACAAGGTATGCTCTTGTCCTCGTATGAAGGTTCATTCTTCAGTACAGTCACGCTGACAACCCTAAGTGACACATTCGAGGCCCTGCGGCTGAAGAGTAGCACAGACGAATTCTCAGCGGTGGCACTTCCCTCTCGCATCAAGTCCCGATCATGCTTGAACAAGCCATTCTGTGGATTCAGGATCGCTGTGAAGGACGTCCTGTTTCTGAAGGGAATAAAAACTTCTCTTCAGTGTCGAGCATTCTACGATACGTACGGTCCGAATACGGAAACGGCCAAGTGCGTCACGAAGCTCCAAGACGGCGGAGCCCACATCTTAAGAACACTCAAAATGAATCCGATTGGTCACTGGGTAGAACCAGTCGAGTATGTCGATTATCAAGCTCCGTGGAATCCTCGTGCAGATGGATATCAATCTTCGGAAGGCAGTAGCACAGGGCCAGCCGCAGCTCTCGCTGCCTACGACTGGCTTGACTTCACCATTGGACCAGATAGGAAGTCCGATCTAAATATGCTCGCAACTCTGACTCAAAATCAATAGCCTGGGGTAGTGTCATGAGACCAGCGCTCTGGTGTGGCCTGTTTGGTCTTCGACCCACAACCGGCTCAGTCCCTCTTGAAGGGATGAGACGAAGTATACGGTAAGTGTCCTCGTCTATCAAGCCGAGAGTTGCTTGCATGCAGCAGCGGCACCTTACCTCATATCCCAATGGGAACTCACTGATCATTTGCAGCTTCATGGACACACCCGGTGTGTACGGAAGAGACTTAGGGAAAATGAAGTCATTCGTCAACTCTTAGCTTGATCATGGCCACCTCCAAATGCATCCAAAGGTGAGTACCAATCTTGTGGGCGCCCTTTATCTGATCTGACGACAAGAAAGCCATTTACGTCGGTCGTATGGGCTACCGATATCTGGGAAAGTGTGGACCAAAATCAGCGCGACTTGGCCAAAGGATTTTTCGAGCTGCTGAAGTCGCAGACGGGTCTCAGCTCAAGCGAGATATCCTTTGTTCAAAAGTGGGCCGAAGACCCTCCCAAAGAAGCACTAGGGCAATCGCTCGACGACTACATGGTCAAGGTATGCTCGACTCAATATAGTGACTGACGCATCTCGAGTAACTTTGGCTTCAGGCTATACGAGATTTGGCTTACCAGCCTGGAAAGAATATGCAGCAATTCCGTCAGGATTACTACAAAGAAATTTGGAACACAGCCTTACCTGAGTCCTCCTGTCCAGCGGAACTTGTAGGTTGGCGGCACGAGCTCTCGTGCGTTTGCTAATCAGTTTCCAGTGACAATATTTCCGACGTAACAGAAAGTGATTTCAATGAAGCTATGGAGCACATGAGGGTCTATCAAAACTGGTTTCACGCCAAAATATGGCAGTCAGAGACCTCGCATCCCCTCATACTGCTTCCGATCGAGAACATGACGCCGAGGTATAGAGACGAATTTCCGAAGTGAGCTTTCAAAATCAATCTATCTGCGCTCATGATCACTAACAATGATAGCTTCCGACGACCACCCCCAGGAGTCAATAGTATCTTTTTGTCCCCTGTCCTCGGCGCCCCGGAGCTGCTTGTTCCAAGTACGTTATTAAGACAAGATGGCTCGACACGGCAGGCTAATGATGACAAAGTTGACGAGATACCTTATCAATCAAGAGTGACTAGACAAGAAGAAAAGCTACCATTCGTCATTGGGCTCATGTCTCTGCCCGGTAAGTTCTTGATCGAGGTTCCAGCGGCGTTCCTTCGAATAAATATGGCTAATACATGTAGGGACTGATCTTCTGTTGCTGGAAGAGGTTCATCGAATCCTCACCAAATCTGAAAAGTATCATGCACAAGTGTATACGGGAACGAACATGTTTTCCAAAAGCAATACCTGACGCCGTAGTGATGTCCTTGGCGGCTACGGCGACGTCGCCGGTGTGTCAGGACCGAGCCAGTCGAGGCGACAAGCGAGTCACGCCCTGCTATTATGCGGATAGTAAGCCAAGGCCTTTGACTTTCTCAAGTCAGATATGAATACTGTGGACTGAGCTCTGTGAGGGACAAAGGTCATGCGTCGGACGTGGTTCTTGGTCGTCGAAGGCTAATGCTATTCATTCTCGCTCTGCAGTCCACTCTTTCCTCTGCTCGTCCCACATGAACATCCTCACACTCTCGCCTTTGCCTCGGCCCGCCACTGGTGAATCAGCGCCCTGCGTTCCTCGCTTCTCATACCCAACCATCTGAGTTCTTCCTCTGTGAATCCTTCGTATTCGTCGCCATCATCTGGATCATTAGTATCATGATCACTTTGCCAACATCAACTTGTTCCTCAAGCCCAACCAGCTGAGGGCCAGTCTTATGATGTCGAGGACAACATCATCACTCCAAGAGTCCTCCGACCGACCCTCTTTCGAGCATATAGTTGCCGCCTCTTCAATACTCTAGACCTTTATCTAGAAGTCTCTGATCTCGGAGAGCGAACGGCGATGATCCTCTTGCTACGTAACTAGATCTAAGTTTCGTCTGGTAATAGGATATCTTTCCAAATCCTCGCGCATCTCCTTGGGTATATTTACTATAGCCTTCCTTATACGGCCAGGGAGTGCCCAATCCTCGTCTATAAACATCCTTTTGTCCTCATTGAACGTGATTCGGGGGTACGTTATATCGAAGTCTATTTTCCGTTTCATAGGGCTGCGACTTCGACTGGAAGTCGTGCTACTGCTGGGTTTCGGAAGAGACCGGATGATAGGATCGACGAAAGGATATTGAGGTCTCGGTGTAGAGTCATCTTCGAGGGCTTGGTTTCCTCCCCTTCCCTCGCCGCCCGTCGCCATTGGCCTTCTCCAAGAGATGGACCTGACTCTTTTCTTGATCCAGCCTCCTCTGTCTTTGTCCAATCTCATTCCAGTTGAGTGTTGCCCACTGCAGCACCTCGTCAAATTTCCCTGCTTCGAATGCCGCTCTGGCTTCGTCTAATCCTTCAAGCTTCTCCGGCTCCACCGATTGTCCTTCGCGATGTCCCACAATCTCTCTCTTCATGCCTTTCATGACGTATCCTATTTCCATGCCTTCTATTGGCAGGCTCCTCCTGATATCAGCCCACAATTTGTCCACCTTGATCTGGCGGACCATCTTGTTCTTCCTCTCTTCAAACTTGTTCGCAAATTCGATACCAAAGTACTTCTTGGCGTCTTCGATGACGTCTTGCCTTGTCAGGAGTGCAGAGTTGCCTGGTGGTTCATCAACGTGAGCGGGAAGGTATTTTTCGATCCAGTACGCGAAAACGGGTCGCTTGGCGGCGCGCTGGCGGTCATTTGCTTTCAAAAGATTCGCTCCCGTGTCATTTTCTTCCTTGATTTCCTCCTCTTCACCCCTTTCGTCATGTTTGGCCCGATCTTTCCAGCGAGCCGGGTCATGAAACCTGCAAGTCGCCACGTAGTCCATCATCTCCTCCCAATTCCCAAACATCCTCCAGTACCTTTCTCTATCCAGCCCCATATAGTCCAAGACTGTATCCGGATCGCTGCTCATCAGAACTCTTGCTTGATCCTTGTTATGCATTTCCACTTCTGCTATCCGCAAAAACAATCCTCTGGAGGTGGGGGTAATGCCGAAGCGGCGGACGATCCCTCCAAGCATTTGCCAGAGATCGCCGTGCGCTTGGATGAAGGTGTGCCAACGAAAGTAGTCCGAGGTAGGCATGACGTTGATATCGGCTTGGATGTATTTCTGGGTCGAGCCAAGAGGAATGGGCAAAGATGAGGACGTGGAGCTATCAGTTGTAGCGGAGGAGGTACCAACTGCATCGGCAGCTCTTGGACTCGGCTCATCGTCGCTGGCCATTTGACTCGTGTCTCCGTCTGCTATCAACAGGTCTTCGAAGCCCTTTGGCCACCTCAAGGCTAGATGATATGTCGAAGTGCCGCTCATTTTCTTCCACTTTTCGGCGCCCAGCAGATCGGCCAGAAAACGCCCAACTTCACGCCCAGCAGTCACATTTCGATCGAAAGGGTCTGCCACAAGGATATCGATATCTCCGTGCGAGGCCTTGGCGGGTGCTTCGATTGCGTGGCCTACGAGCTTAAAGTGTGCCCTGAGAAGTTCCTCGGCGTGAGAGAGAACCGAGTCGTAGACTTTGGGGGGCATGCGTGGAGTGGACAGGCCATCGGGTTTGAAAACGGAGCCGCCCATATCTCTAGAGCAGGGATGGGAATCACAACGCACTGAAGACTTGTCAATAGTTGGTGAGGAAATAACACACGCGATGCGGTGCCCTCAAGCCTGTCGTGTAGGCTCCTCAGCGAAAACCAAGTGTTGGGGATGAACACTAAGCTACAGCTGAAAGTGAAGGAAAGCTCTTCTTAACATATCTTGCGGCTCAGAAGCAGTTTGGTGGTAGCCATAGCATTGTTTGTGACTCACATGAAACTCTGACATGGGCAAGAGCACTGCCTCGTCTGAGGAAGGGGTTTGGGGGCTGCCCTTCTGCCACAAATCACACGCGTAAGTTTTTCTCGATCCGGAAGTGCGTCTCCAGCCACCTTCTTCGACCCTCATGCCACGCACAGCGAGGCATTTCTGGGCCTGATATGGTTTCAGGGCATATGCGGCATTGTACGAGGCGTGGAAAGGCAGTTCGTTCCGTATGCGCTAGAGAGGTACAGGCTTGCAGAATTTGAGGAGCCCCAATATCCAGCCAAGGTGCAAAGTGTTTCTTGTCTGACAAAATCTTTTCTCGCGACTGCACCTCACCTTGAGCCGATGTCAAATGAGCCACTGTGGTTACCTTCTGAGATGGCTTCGCCTCCGTGTCAGACTGTGCCACATACTCCGTATTTCTGTGGCAACCATGATCTCCCAATGCCTCCGTCCAAATATGATAATCTTCTTGCTGTCAGACGGCCATTTGTCTTCCGTTTCGCCGTGGGCTAAAGGAAGACCTACGCATGGTTTCTGATTGGGTATCTGCTGCTGAAAATGGGAAGGCTCACATTTCAGAAAACCATCTGCGAACGTCATCGTCATGTTGGCTTCGGGTTGTGATTCACCAACAGCCAGGCTCATCATTTGTTCGGTCCAAAGCCTGCAGGGCCCATTGACATCAGCTGTGCTGGCTACAACATTTTCCTCTCCCCATGTAGAGGATCAGGGAAGGAGGATATTCGGGTTCGCCGGCCCATCCCCAGCCATGCTCAGTTTCTCCTCTCTGCGGTTATCTGCCCTCAGAGTCTCCGCCCATTGCCGGCATCAGGCTCACTTGTACCCGCCCAGCTGCAGCTCGGGACCGCACAGCGACAGCTCGACTACTCAGCTTTGCTTACTTGATATCTCACCCATGGTTGTCGTCTGGGGCCCCGAAAAGCCGAGAACAGCGGGGATCCGAGCCCTCTATAGCCAGCGCCTCCCCGGACAGACATGAAGAGAAGCAAAGTCACAATGTGATCCTCTGCAGGAATGTTGCGGCTTGGCGTCACCAGAGATCTGCCCTTCATTTGGTTGCCTGGATACCTACTTACATATAAAAGTGAAAGACTTTGCTTCGAAAACTGGCAACAACTATCCGCATCAGTGTGATCCACGACCTGGAGCTGCGGAGAAGTTGAGAAAAATACCAAAGTCAAAAATGCGGGGAAGATCAACAAAGGCTACTGACAAAACCTCATTTCCTGATGATCCGGTTAATGTTCTACATTGACTGCTCCCTTTTGCTCACCTCAGACCCGCCTGCGGTCTACATACCAGAAGGTATGGACACGGAGTACACCCGACAGCCTGATGGGACGCGGGGTCGAGACCCGTTACGTCGCCCTTCTCCTCTTCAACGCTCTTCCTTGATCCTTGATGAAACGGGCGGTAAGAGCTGAGCAAATATGGTCATTGGTGAAGATCCTTCGCTTGATGTCACAGTCTCCTCCCAGGTTGATCCGAATACCCTTTCTCCTCACCGGGGATCATTCCTCTTATCGGCGGGGTAGAGAGAGGAGGAGTATCAGATATTCCTCCTCGAAGAGCAAAGCTGACTAGTTGTCCATATATATATCTGGTTGGGTGAGCCTTTTCAACATGTGCTTCCTGTAAATCACATTTGCACGCCGTGGTACTCGTGGACCCGGAAGCATTTACCCCTGTTTCGCACAGAAATCCCAGGGGGCCATATCTCATCATGGGCTTGTTTACGGAACTACCAGAGGAGTTTCAGGAGGTCGACGTGATCGTCGCAGGAGGCAAGCTCTTCCCCTTCACCACATTACTCTCGCTGACGACTTCGCATGATAGGAGGCACGGCTGGGTGCGTGATTGCTTCTCGCCTCGCCGAGGCAGATCCAAGCCTCTCGATCCTCGTCATTGAGCAGGGTATGAACAACTACAACGTGCCCCAGGTCGTCCAGCCCGCCCTCTTCCCGCTGAACCTAAATCACGACAGTAAATATACCCTCTTTTGGAAAGGCAACAGGGCACCGCAACTTGCGGATAGAGAGCCAGTCGTCCCCAGCGGCGGCACGTTGGGTGGTGGGAGCTCAATAAACTGGATGGTCTACACGCGGGCACAAAGATCTGATCTCGAGTCGTGGAAGACGCCTGGGTGGTCGTCGAAAGAGCTATTGCCACTCTTGAAGAAAGTTAGGAGACCCCCGGTTTCGTCTCTTCCCACACTTTGGGCTTTCTAACCATCTCACCAGTTCGAGACTTACCATGGTCGAGGTGAAAAGGAGCTGCATGGCGACAGTGGTCCCATCAATATCTCCAGCGGCACGTTCCGAGCTACTCGTGCTGAGAACGAGTTCATTGAAGCCTCAGCCAAAATTGGCTACCCCGAGCTGAAGGACTTGCAGAACCTTGACTCCAACAACGGAACCGAGCGCTGGCTGCGCTACGTTGGCCCAGATGGACGGCGCCAGGATGCCGCCCACAGGTTCCTTCACCCGAAGCTGCAGAGCGGACACTACCCGAATTTGCATGTTCTGACAGAGAACCAAGTTGTGAGAGTCCTTCTGGATGATAAAAAGAGAGCTGTTGGCGTCGAGTACAGGCCCAACCCCAAATTTCAAGCTGCCGCCCGTGGAAAGGCTCTCCTGACTGCCCGCGCTTCGAAGTTGGTGGTCGTCTCGGCCGGCGCGAATGCGACACCACAGATTCTCGAGCGGTCGGGCGTTGGTGACCCGAAGATCCTCAAGCGCGCGGGGGTCCCGGTTATCGAGGACCTGCCTGGTGTAGGGAATGATTACCAGGATCATCACCTGACACTCTACACCTATCGAACCAGCCTGACACCGAACGAGACCATCAACGCCTTTGCGGACGGGCGACTGAATGTACAGGAAGAGATCCAGAAGAACAACAAGCAGCTGGGTTGGAACTCCATGGATGCCTCAGGCAAGTTCCGTCCCACCGAGGCTGAAGTTGAAGCCCTCGGACCCGATTTCAAGAGAGCCTGGGATCGAGACTTCAAGAATGCCCCTGACAGGCCTCTAATGATCATCGCCATGTACTTGAGGTAAGAGGGATTATCTACTCTCACCACCGACTATTTTATTGACGTGAAGATAGCTTCTTTGGTGATCATGCTACATTGCCGGATAACTCCGAGTATGTTTCTATAGCCAATTGGACGGCGTATCCCTATTCGCGCGGGCACATCCACATCACAGGACCGAACATATCCGATCCCATTGATTTCGACGTCGGTTACTTGAAGGACCCCAACGACATTGACGTCAAGAAGCATATCTGGGCGTACAAGACTCAGCGCGAGATCTTCCGCCGCATGAACATCTTCCGCGGTGAACTGGCAGCAGATCACCCCAAGTTCCCTCCAGGCTCAAAAGCTGCTGTCGTTGAAAAGGCCGATGGCCCTGTCGCTGACGACGCGAAGCGCATCGAGTACACGCCTGAGGATGACAAGGCGATCGAAGAGAACGTCAGGAAGATTGTGACCACTACTTGGCACTCGTTGGGAACATGCAAGATGGCTCCAAGAGAACAGAAGGGTGTCGTAGATGCCAGCTTGAGCGTGTATGGCACTAAGGGCTTGAAGCTGGCGGACCTGAGCATCGTGCCTGAGAACGTGGGTGCAAATACGAACAACACTGCTCTGTTGGTGGGGGAGAAAGCAGCCGACATCTTTATTCGGGAATTGGGTCTCGGTGGTAAGTCCCTGTCCCGCGAAGCTGGATACTCGCGAGAAAACCCGAACATTTCTCGACTCTGAGCATCTATCAAGATGCTTAACATGAACGTGGGGAAAAATTGAATAGGATTTGATGACAAACGCAAAACACTTCTCGTCTTAGATATGAAGCAATTGTCAATCTAAGTTCATCTCGTCCACATGAACACATGTGCTTTATATCTCTTGAGACGACGAGCATATATCACAAATAATTGGCATGGTCTGACGAGACAAGGATACCATCGTAGCAAAGTAGGAGTAACTTCGCTGTGTTGTTACAATGTCACCATCATTCACTAGAGGGGCATTCGACCTACTCTTGAATTCAGCAGTATGCCCACCTTCAGTGTTGATATTATCCGATTATGATATAGCGGCTGCCTCGTCATTATTGAGTACCCAAGCCATGTTAGAGAAAGCGGATACTTTCCGCAGAGTACCTTAGTAGGCAGCACCTACGGATCAGGCTGCAAAACTGTCAAGTACTCTGGAGCGTCTCTATATTCGATCTTGATACACTGGGAGATATACATCCGACTATTTCGCATATGATACAATTACCCTGCTCTTCAATCAAAGCAGGTTGGGTTCTAGAGCTGTTTCATTCCTTTGCCAAAAAGCCTGACGTGAGGTTGTTGTATGGCAAACTGAAATCTGGGCCATATCACAAGTGAAATCGCAAAGACTCCGCCATCGCCATGCCATATGATTTGTACACGGACAAAGTATTAGCCACACCCATAACTTCATAGCCCATCAATACTCCTCGTGGGACGGGAGCGAATCACCGACTCACTGTGTTCTCCCCATCGGCCCAGTGCAAGTGCTTCCAGCGTTTTACTTCGTCCCGACCAAATCGAGCCTCGCCTTGCCTTTTCCTGTACCTCAGGGATAAAGAAATGTGTGACCGCCGCTCCCAGGATCATGCATGCGCTGAAGACCACTAGAATTGTCCCGTAGCGCTTTGTCTGGTTGTCGCCGGGTGACGAGGACCCGAACTTGTAGTAGAAAGAAAACACCTGCACCAAGATGGATCCTAGCTTCCCAGAGGCCGCAGCGATACCGTGGCAGGTGCATCGATAACGGGTTGGGAACAGCTCAGCGGGGATGATGTACGTTGTTGAATTAGGCCCTGTTCGACGTGTCAGCCCACGAATACTTCGAATGGCGTTCGACGCGACTTACCGAAATTGAACAGGAATTGTCCAATGACATACAGTGTGATGGCCAAAGCCCCTTCTTGCTGAACTACGATGAATTCGGTCCCCAAAGCGATAAACAATGCGGCGAGAGCCAAGAAGCCGTATTTCTGCAGAGAGACCCTGTTCAGCCGAGAAGCCGAAAGAATCCATAGGATCCCTCCGGCAAAACTTCCAGTATTCAAAACGACCAGTGCCTGTACCGATGTATCCATGAACATGTCATAGATGTCGGTATCGGGGTCATCGTTCGTCTTCCAGATCGGTCGGGCATTCGAAATGTGCAGACTGCCCCAGGTCTTCGCAAGAAACTGAGGGTTCGACAGGCCAATACCATAGTACCCAAAATCCAGTAGAAGCCAGCATACTGACACAGCCATCAAGGTACGCCAATTGCCCTCCGTCCAGAAATACTGTTTGATATCTGCTTTCGATATCTTCCAGGATGAATTCAATGTCGCCAGCGGCGCTGGGGTCACGGTAAACGAGGGTCTGGCATCGGAACGTTCGTCGAGTGACCGATTGGACAAGTTTGACTCCTCAAGGGAATCGCACCACGTTCCAATCTCCAGCTCGTTGATCATGGAGGTCTCTCCGAACAACTGGGTCGCGTCAAACTCGGCTTTGACAGGGTCGTCCTCAATATCGAGTAGAAACCTAGGGGTTTCAGGGATGGCAAATCGAAACAGCAAAGCAATCACACCAGGTACCACGCCGATACCAATAATCCATCTCCACATAATGTCCACGGAACGCTGCAGATCGTCTTTGTTGGAGTGACGGGATATGGCGACCACGATCAGCGAGATCAGGTTGCCCATGATCTGTCCAAGTGGCTGCATGAAGAAGACGCTAGCCATCATACGTGCTCGGTGTTTTGTGGGAGCAAACCTGGCAGTCGTTAGCTGGATTGTAGCTGCCTGAATAAACCAACAAGACCACTGACTCTGCAGTTATGACGGCGCTGAGCGGATAGTCCGCTCCCACGCCTATCCCGACCATGAGCCTCCACCAAATCAGCCACCCATAGACGCTCATGCTTCCGTTGTAGCCTTCAGAGCTCATCACCACACCCAAGGTGGAACCAATGAGCAGGAGCAGCTCAATCCCGTACATTGTCTTCCGACCTTTTTTGTCGGCGAGGAAGCCAAATGTTGCTTGGCCGATAAGGGTCCCGGTGAGCGTGACGATGTTGATGCAAGTTACTCGGTATGTCGAGACTTCTTGGTTCCAGTAGACATAGGAGATCATGGGAAGGGCGATATTCCCGGCAAAGAGGGAGAACCCGTCGAGCAGGAACCCGACTCCCGCCACGAGGACAACAACCCATTGGAAAGGTTGTCGGTCGATAGTTTCGTAGATCTGGCGTACACGGACATGGCGATCCTAAATGACGAAGAACATGTCAGGGCATTCATTTCTTTCCAAAGTCAAGACTTCCGGTTCACCAAATTTGAGACGTACTCGCTCATGATCAAAGTCTCTTGCGCGATCAGTCGCATAAAGACGTCCACGCCATCGTCCCATCATGAAGCTATTCAGGGTCCTTCAGGCAGAATGGGGCCAAAAGCGAGGGGTATAGGGAGAGGGTCAACCATCCATAGCGCACAAGTGTGATTCGAGGCTGTGGAAACAATAAGCCGCAGGGAGCCCTGTTTTTGGGCCAGGTTACAATTGGAAGTCTGCAAGCAAACGAGAGGGTGGTGGGATAGATGTTCGGAGAGGGAATAAATGGGAAGGCTTTTGGGGGTTACAAGAAGGATGGCGCAGACAGGTACCTGAAGTTTCTTCTGACGATGAGGCGGACTCGGATATGAAATACCTCGAGTAGAATGGGCACCATCTAGTGTGCCACAACTGCGAGGGACGCCCCGTGCGAGCAGTCGGCGCTGATTTTTCTCCCTCACATGCTGCTCAGATTGGGCACAGTGCAGGGCGTGGAACCACAGCAGGCGTGTGAAAAGGCTCTATGCAGGAGCCAGAAACAACCCTCGTCCCCCGGTGACCTCGCCCACGCCTATGCCCACTCTCAGTCGCTTCATCCCGCAGCTAGCTAGCTGGGAAGAGCAGTTATCGATGGCTGTCACCAAAGAGATCCGAACTTCCTTGCACGCTTCAACTAGCCCGAGCCCTTAAGCACAGTCCTTGCCGTAGGTTTCGGGGGAGAGTCCACCCTAGATCCATGCCAGAGTAGCTGGATGTGATGGTGATGGGGTGAGTGTACCCAGGGGGGATTTGATAGCTGGAGGAGTGACGCATCGGTGAGAGGTTGTTGGCGTGGACATGGGCTACAAGGAGCCGTACCGTATGCAGCCTTTGCTCCTGGTGACCCTTTGCCCTTGGAAGTGGTGACCTTTGGCGAGGTACTAATGGTGTGAGATTTGGGGGGGGGGGGGGGGGACGAGAACATCCAGCCCACGGTCCATTCAGCGCTCACAGCATCCTACACGTGGGAAGTGGCCAAGCCGGGGTCAAGAGGCTAGGGTCTCTTGGGTCTCTCGATTGTCAGATGCCCTTGACGCCTTCTCTGGAACTTCTCCGCTTTGGTCACAACAATATAATCCATCCTGTCTCTTCTGACACTGTCCAAGTCTCAGCATCATGCACCTCTCCCAGCCATCTTTTTCAGAGGAATTGCGCGATCCCTTGCCCAGAACGAGTCCTGCTCCCCACGCTGCCTTGCCCACCGTCCCTAAAGTTTGCATAATCTACGACTACCTTCTGCTTTTGGTCCAGCACGGCTTCGTTGACTCCGAGTTTAACCCTGTCCAGTCCGTTATGCGTCGCGCTGGGTTGGGAAAAATGAGTGGCATAGTATGACACAGACCGGGGAGTACTCAAAGATGACGAGGGAGCCTCTGAATCAAGGTATAGCAAATAGTATACCGAGTATCTGTAAAGTATACGAGGGAAGAGCGCCGCCTTATCTAAAGGCAGATGAGACACCTCCTGTGAGAAGTTCGCCCTCGACCATCCAACGGCTCTGCTTAACAATGCTGCCAGCCACTGCTCGTTCGCTATCCTGCGACTAATCTCTTGCCTTGTTTCGCTGGCTCCCGATGACCGCGAAAGGTGTTATGCGCGTCGAAAGGGGGAAGCACGATTCTGGAAGGCTTCGGTGACAACTGTTCTCCCTTTGCCCCTCTGGCAAGACACCCGGTAGTTTCCCGTGTAGTCCGTCCAGACGAAAACAAGAGATAGTAAGTCTTTTCTTTCTCCAGTACCTTCGCTCGTCAAACCACGCTCCCCCACTGGATGTTTTCGTCGCCTCTGAGCCCTAAGCGAGATCACCGATCACTCTCTGGCAAACAGCCTAAGCTAGCGACGCTGGACTCCTGCCCTTGTCGATAAAAGGAACAAGAAGGACTGCAAGTCCACCCCCCCTTGTTCCCTCGCTAGCAGACGCTAAAGCTTGCAGTCAGCCCGAGGCTCAGCCCACACTTGTCCCAACCATTCATCCTATTCATGGACCTTCCTATGGGCTAGCCGTACCAAGTCTTGAGGACCCTAACTTAAATGGCGCTATATCAGTGCGAGTACGAGCCTTTGTGGTGGTAGGCTAGCTTCAAACGGGTCACGGCTAAGGTCGGGCTCAAACCCTGTATCTCAAAAGCTTGTGAAATCGACCAAGATCTTTCACATTGTTGGTTCTGATGTCAATCTATATATTCCAGCGGAGACGCTGATTCATGCCAAAGTATAGGTCATTCATTACTGGGTATCCTCGTAATCGCTCATACGCTCACATAACGCGAATTGGTGCATCATCATATCTAGATATGCCCCATCATCATCCCTGGAACCCTACGCCGTGACATAACAAGCCGAAGAACTTCTTTTGGTCTAGAAAGGTCGATTAGTCGGGTTGTAAAGCAGACAGGAAAACCTCCATACCGTTATCGTCAAGGAATGTAATGTGCAGTGCCTTCAACTGGGCCAATAAGTCGAAGTTTGGTCGTAATGAAACAGTCATCGGACGGCCCGATTTCTTGCTCTGTTCGATATGGTCGATGCAGTCAACTGTCCACCAATCAGTCCACCCGATCATCAACATGTACAGTGTGTCTCAACGACTCGGGTTCGCAGGGGGTTGCAAGGAATCTGACAGAATCGGAGTTGACCATTAATCAAAACCACACTTGGATATTCACATGCCCTCCTTTGTCGGGTAGGGTGCGACAAGTGCAATCGTGCATCTGACATGTTGGTTGCTAGGTGGTCACTCACGGGGGATAGTGATATAGCGCTTTTTTTCTTTTCGCTGTGAATTGGCAAAGAAGAGAATGATCTGCCTTCCAGTCCGCGAACGGAGAATGCGCAGGTTCTGGCTGATGCATTCTTCGCCTCTTCCTTTGGATTTTGCCTCTGCAATACCCGCAGTGAAGATAACTGTTTGGCTGAGCAAAGCTTCCTGAAAGTGTACACAGTCTAGGAACTGGTCAGAGGTTATTCAAAGGCTCCTCGACTCCTGACTGGGCTAGCCAGGGTCGTGGCAAGGAAGCATTCAGTATCAACAGACCTTCCCATGTCTCGAATGTATATGAAGGCTGCGCCTGAAAAAGGGTAGCCGCCATCCGTACATTCTGTTCCTCGAGAAATGATACCCGGGAGATATGGCTGGTGCTGGATGTTACAGGGGTCTCGAGATGAGGAATGGGCATCTTTGTGCCAGGAACTACCCGAGATCAGTACCGAGTCATCTCAAGGGAGGGCCGACTAACAGGAGTGCATGAAGGTCGTTTGGAGGCCCGCTGGGTCGCTCAGCTCAATCTGCTTGAGTTGCCCTGCTACATCTTTGCGGAGTTGGATTTGCGCGTATTTCAGCTTGAACAATTTGCTGCCCTTACTGAAGGAGCTGTGTGATGCCATACAAGCTTGTCAACAGATGCTCTGCGAGAGTACCAAAAGAGAGGGACAGGTACAAGGAGAGGGGGACAAGTGCAGGAGGAGGACATACATGTTGACCGGCTTGTTCAATGGGACGTGAACTATCTGTTCTGACGAGCAGCTTGACTGTCGACTTCGATCACCGTGCCCTGAAAGGGCTGGAGTGGGCGGCAGATTGAAATTGGTAAAGTGTACACTGGCAGTATCTGAAGGTGTATCCAACGACGTTATGCTATCTTGTCGAGGTGATTTTTGTAGGGGCCAGTCAGTCGTGTCGAGGAAGTTGGACTGGCTGGACATTGCCGCCGGTCCGGTTCCACTGACAGGGCCGTTAAACTGTCAGTCCTCAGGCAAGGTTCTGTTCTAGAAGCCAGCTGAGGCCAACTGCCAGTCGGAATAGGGATCGTCCACGTAGGGTGCCAAATTATGATTAGCTCAGGACGAAGGCCGGCTGGAGGAGACGCTGTACAGGATTGCGGGTTGCGGTGAACAGTCGCAGGCAAAAGAAAGTCTCATTTGGAGCCATTCTTCAGGAGTGAGATTCGAAAGCAGGCTCCAGATGGCAAATCGGGAGGGATAAGATATCTCCTGAGAGCGCAATGAGCTCGAGCAGGCCATTCTGCGGGATGAGATACTTCGTCCGCAGCCTGGGACGTGCTGGACGGTGGTGGGCATGGCGGCCCCTGGTGACGGCCATTTGTCGAGAGAAACAATGGGAGGATGTTTGAGTGGGCTGCGATGGCATGGCTAGGCGGAGTGGCATTTGGAGGAGCGAGGAACGTGGTTGAGCGTGTGGCTAGAAAAGCTCGACATGGGAAAAAGGGCCTGGGCTGCGCTCCCCTCCGCCCCCCAGCAGGACGTCCAATGCACGCCCGCCGCCCGCTGCATGTTCGGCTGTTTTTCTGCTCTGCCGTCTGTGAGTCTTGGGGCGAGCAAGGGCGAGTGATCTGACCAGGTGGTTCGGTGACGCCTTGTGCCTGGACAGTATTTTGCCCTATGATTGTGAAGCGGCGATATTTTCTTGGGGGAGGAGACACTACGCACGTTATTCTGGTTGTCTGGTCAGAGATGCGTCCCTCTCCTCACCCTCCATGTCCTCCTTATTCTTGTTGAGCCGAGTCAAGAAAATGGCACGATATCCGACTGGCGACCACTGACAGCAAAGCAAGATAATTTATCTCCGGATCATGAATGCCATTCATTGATATTACAAATAGGCATTTCGTCTCCTTTGAGAAGATATCCATCTGGTATGTACCATGCCTGTTCTGTGTCTCAAGCCAGCGCGGCGTATATCCAACCTCATTATCTCCTCCTTGCCCCCTCGTTCATCACACCAGGTACCATTTTCTCTTCTCCACTCGCCAAAAGGAACAGCTGTGGAGGCTTCCACCGCTGACTGCTCCAACCCGCCACTACAAAATCCCGATTCGTAGTATCACCCGTTTGAAGGGAGATGGACAGACTAGGCCGCCTTTGGTACCATCACCGGCACGTGGAGTTTGCGGGTGGGAACCAACTTACACTAAATGAGGTTTGGGACATTGACTCGCAAAGAGACTGAAGTGTCTTAGATGGACAAGAAAGAAAAACAATGCCATTCAAGCTATGGTCACAGACAACAGGAGGTTCTACCAAGTCTCAAGCAACTCAAATTCCATTCGTGGCTTGGGGGCAAGATAGCAAGCACGCTCAGAGGACCTCCTGAGACATGTGAAATCGAGTGGGAGTGATCTGCGACACCAGGACTCTCAATAAGATTCATTTTGCTCGGGTACACAGAAGAAAGAAGCTCATACTGTCCCTCCAGTTCGTGCCATAAACGTAAAACCTGTATGTAGTATGTGGGTAGGCAAGCCCTGAGGCAATTCTCTCTTCGTCCATTTTCGCTTCCGTGACTAGTTGCCAATCAATAAACCGATAACCGTGTGCAACTTGTCAGCATTCCCATTGAGCTTGGTGTTTGTTGATGCTGATGAAGAATGAGGTATCGATGCTGAAAATGTGAAGGGGACCTGTGCCACGAATGGCCTAGGGCTGGTGGAATCTTGACAAGACATATCTCGCTTCTCATGTTTCTCTATCATCATAACATTCCACCCATTCCGGAAACGAAGTCTTCTTGCGCGGATAGTCCACTAGCTGACGGGAACTTCGCTGGGACGATTGTGTTGCTCGACTGGTTGTTTCGAGTTTTTCCAAATGTAGCCAGCAAGCTCGTCACACGCAACCACATGATACTTTCCGGTTTTAGCGACCTTGAGATACGGGTTCGATGTTTTGCTGCAGATGATGCTAATGTCTTGAAGGCTTTCAATGGCTTGTCGGTCTGCATCGTCAATATCCACCGACATTTCCAGATTACAATCCTGCGGGAACTGATTAGTCCAAGTACTCAGGCGAGGCTCATGATCGCTCAACTCACACATTTCCATGTCAGACGGCGATGTGTCTTGGGAGGTTTGGGTCTGATCAACTGATTTATGAGATCTTCTAGTCGATCCCCGCTCCCGGAGTCACCTTGGGCCGCAGTGCCGGGAGCCGGTTTCCCTCCTTGTAACGGAGGCGGTGCGAGATTGTAGCCTCGCCGTTCGGGAGGTGTTGGAGGAGGTTGGAGCTTGTTCTCGGGCGAATCAGGGACGGTAGCTGATCCAAGGGCGGCGGCCGCGAGGGCAGGGGCGATTGACTGTCCGGCAACTGAACTTCCAGGTGCAGGCTGGAGCAATGGCACTGACGGCGCGCGTGGGGTGCCATTGGGGCTCATGGTATTGCTGAGTCGGCGTGCTTCGCGAGGGCTATCGAGCTTGGGATAGTTGCTTTCTGATTCTGGTCTTCGAGACGAGGCACTCAGCGAAGGAGAATGTTCAGGGTCGCGGGACACACCGTCAGAGCTAGGAGCGTCGGTCATGGCGACGTCCCGATCGCGGGATGAGTAAGGTCTTTCGCTGATGGTAGGGGGTTGATCAACCAGAACATGACGGCCGTTCCCGGCGTCTTTGATGATCCCCTCTTGAAGGGCCCAATTGGTCAAGTCTTCATCCTCCCTCTCCTCCTTGGCTTCGACGATGTCGCGGGAGAAATGGCCTCCAACGTGCTCCATGCGCTCATTCCAACTGCCTTCACCTTCAAAGACCCTGCCACAGAAGCCACAGGTGCTGCGCTGAGGAGGCTTTCTCTTCTCCATCCAGCAGCGGCTGCGGACCTCTTCAAGGCTGTCTTCGAAGGCTCTCCAATCCTTATCGCCGGCGTTGCCAGGTGCGATGGGACCTGAGCCTGGACCAGTCTCGGGCTTGTGCATGCGTCGATGATGCTGGGTGAAGAGATCCTTCCGGTTGAAGTCATTGTAGACCCGCTTGTGATTGGGAACATTGGTGTTCAAGTCTGGGTTGCACGAGCCAACATCGCAGCGATAAAATCCCAGCTGCAGGTGCTGAATCGATACATGACGTTTCCACTCGTTCTTGGAACTCAAAGCGACGTCGCAGCCGTAGTGAGAGAATGAACAGATGAATTTGCGCTTCGCGGGTTCCGACCTCTTAGCTCCAGAACCAGGCGATTTGCGCGCACGAGGCTTCACCACGCGCCCAGGGTGGGTATCAGAGCCGGAAATCGACTGCAACGAGTCCTTCCGGGGGCGCGGTTTGATGATGCGATCTGATGGACTTCCACGCAGAGATGCAGTGGTGATGTTGATGTTTGTATCGGTAGCCATGATGGATGAGAAGACAGGAGAGTGACTTGTGGTGGGTGAGCTTTGGGGGGGTTGAGAAGCGGAGTTGAGCGAGTCAACCAACGAGGCGTGGCAACAAGGCGCGAGCAGACAAGGCTTCCGGGACTCGGGTCACTGTGGCGTCTCAAACGACGTGGATCATCTTCTGACTCTGTAATCGGTCAAGAGAGAAAGGTCGACGGCTGACGCAGTCTAGTTGGGGGATGAAATCGATGAAGGGCTGGATGGATATCCAGCAGATGGACAGTCTCGCGACCGCGCAAGCTGGGATCAGATACGAGCTTGCAAAAAATGTGGCGAGAGCGCCAAGAAGACGGTGGGTGAAGGGAGGATGGAAAAGGGAAATGGAGATGCAGAGTTCACGCGAGAGATGTTCTCTCGGGCGTGAATCGCGGGAATGTGAAGAGAGCTCGGTGGGAGAAGTGAGCGATAAGAGTTGAACAGTCTCTGGCAGGGAGAGGAGGAGGAGGAAAAAGGCGGGAGGGTGAGAGGAATTCGAACGAAGAGGGGATGCTGCAGTAGGTGTGCAAATGAGATAGTAGAGGGGGAGGAGGCTAGGAATTGGACAAGGCTTTAGCCTGAAATAAGGCTGCGGAGGGACCCTATTTTCACTGAACGAGGCACCGTAACTCGACCCTCCTGGAGGGGGGCAAGGTGGCCGTCGCGCACTCGCAATCAGCCTCAGGCATTCGGTCAGGCTCTCGCTTCAAGCACCGAGTCAGGCTTCAAAAAGGACCCAGACGCACCCAGGATTGTTACTGGCTGGGACTGGTCTCTCCCGTGAACTTCCCCCGAAGCAACCCTCTTTTTCTCCTTCTCCAAGCTCTCTCATTTAGAGAACCCAATAAGCACGTGTCAGTGCACCACGGCTGTCCTTCTCTCTATCTTTATCCTAGATACCTGGCGATTGCGGCAATCCACCCATCAATCACCTCATCCTCTGATGGCAAAACCGCGAATCTAACCTGCCGTCATTGTGGACGAAAATCAATTACAGCAGCAGTCACCCTTATCATCCTCTGATTTGCACAATCCGCGAGTAGTGGCAATGCTCAAATGGCAGCAAGCCCCTTCGAATCCAAATGGGCAGAGATCTGCCGAGGCTGCACGACAAGGTGTGGTGGGAAAGCCACCCCAGCCAGGGCCACTGCACGGCAAAGAAAAGAGGGGGCGCAGCCCAACGCACCGAGACAACCAGCAAGGGAGCGGCGCCGTGACAGGCTCTGACAGGACAAGGCTTTGGAGAATGGCCAGGGAGGGCACCACTGACTGGCCAGGCTAAAGCACGGCCTTCCCACAAAAGATATTGCCTCCGAGAAGGCTAACTGGGAGACCAATGGCGATGGCAAACGAAGTCATTGCCCCCCTACAAGAGGACGAGCCAGCCCATCAGCTCATCAGCCCATCAGCACCAAATGTTACCAAACAGATACCAAGGTTAAAGGGATTCGAGCCCGCCCTCCAGCAATCAGAGGTTACCAACTCGACCTCCCAAACGCTGCTGCCCACCACTCACCGTTGCATCTCGTTTGCCTCACTACCACCGAAGCATCTGATGCCCAGTGCTCCATTTGCAGCGAATCGAGTGCGAATAATTCATGTTCGCGTGTGCTTGTACCGAGTACTTAACGATTGCTGTCCGAAATCTCTGATTTTTGGGCTCAGCCTGGTCTCTTCAACGCGTCCCCCCCGCAGGTTTCAGCCTACCCAGAAACCGGGACAAGGCTCAAAGCCTTGCCCCGGCTTAACAATCATGCCTGGTGGCGAGCCTCACCGCCGCCTTGCCTAGGACTGAGTAGGCTTTCTTGCCATGGAATTTGTCCATCTCTCTGATGTGCCGCGTATGGGCTGGTCAGACTCAACTATCTCACCCCGGCTCTACCGGGCACCTTCCAAGGCTGTGTGGGTTTCTCGGTATCACTACACCGATGAATCTGTTGACACTCGATCCAAGATGTTCACCATCATTCTTGATTCCCTCAGTCTGCTTTCGTGAGGTGCCTGGCAAGTGCGCCGAAGCAAGGAATGAATCTGGGCGCGCGGCCCCGGTCGCTCTCCACCCTGATATCGGCATTCCCAGCCACATGTCGGAATCAACTAGGCGTATCGCACCTTCCCTTTTCGATCCCGATATGGATGTCGCGTTATCAGAAGGTCAAGCAAACACACCCACAGCCACCGTCACAGTCACAATCACAATCACAGCATTAGATGGCTTGAAGCGCCATCGGCATCCCGGGGCAGGAGATTGAGCCCGCCCTAACCCATGCTGATACGGAACAGTTATACCCTGCCGGCGGGAGATTACGCCCCATGGCCCCAGGTTCCCTTCCTTCGTCCGCCCTTCCTGCACTGGGAATAGCCTTACCCCGCACTCACACCGCGCACAGACCAGTCGACCAGCCCGTGGCAAAGCCATCAGATTTTTCACCCTGTGACTCGTGGGCATTTGGCGGCCTCCGAAAGCGAATGTCCCACCGATGCGCGGAATTTCGGCTGGTGGTCACGTTGCATCAGCTAAGCGAGAAAATTTCTGCCATGCCCCGGAGAATAGATTCTCCTTCTCCGCATTTCCACGGCCCGTCGGCAGGGCTGCGGTACAGCCTTTTTGCAAAATTCTCTGCCCTTCTGCGCCTATTGTTTTCTCCTACGTAACTCATTCCTCCTTCGACCATTCCATGACACATAGTTGATTCTTTCCCTGCGACAACATCCAATCTCTTGATGCCTTCTGACATTCTCCCTGGAAGTTTCAGCGCCTTCAGAATTTTCAGTTGCTCGTGATCATGAAAAGAATTGATGCAATTGCTCCTGTTCAGCCAGCTGATGTCACCCCTCTGGTGTAGCTTGAGGCTATGGAGGGCCACGGCGCCTGCGTCGTGCGTTTTCACCAATCGTACAGTTGAGATCCCTTTCTGCTCGCCTGATCAAGGTGAAAATTTTCCCCCTGCTGCCCTCTGACGTTCGAACATGGACCCCTTTACCCCGGATTTCATGATTATAAAAGGCCCCAGTCTGCGTAGGAACCTGGGGTGGTCTACCACACAGAACAAGCATTGACACAAGCATTCCACATTAACTTTACTCGAAAAACATAATTTTGGCTATAGATCTCAGTCCACGAGTATCTGAGAGCGCCCAACGTTCACAAGAAGCACCACAACCTACCTCACAAAACTACAAGGGCTATCTCAAGCTGCCCTCCGCACAGCGCCACTTCTGTCCCTTTGACACGAACAATACACAACTTGGCCAGATAAACACAATGTCTACTGCTGGCCGCACCTCTGTCTCCTCCAACGGCTCTACATCGTCAATCCCTGAACCCTCACCTCGGCAAGTCTCATCGATCTGCTATCCCAAGGGCAAGTGGTACGATTGCCTTCGACCAACCACCACTCCCTACGCAGGCTTCGGCAACATGACCAACTTCGCCAGCATGTCCGGCAATGGATCTGTGGAAGAGGCTGGGGAGAACTGGACACGGGAGGTATACGGCAAGATGAAGTAAACTCTCTGACCGACCATGGAAAGCATTTTACGAACGACGAAGGGTATGTTGGGATTTGTACAGGTTACGAACTGCTATTTGGGACTGTAATTGCGACTGTGGCTTTGGATCATGTTGGAATATAATGCTACAGTCGACGACTTTCAACGGTGCTTCCAACGGTATGGAGCACCAATTGAGACTGTTGGCTTTCCTTTCGTTTTTGTTTCACGGGCATCATGAGCGATTCGCACCATCTATTAGGCGTTCTGCAGAGCTGGGCATCAGCGTGGAACAACAGGCAAATCGAGTCTACCAAATAGTGATCAACACCAAATTGCACTCTAATTACTCAATCGAGCAAGCTTCGAGATGATTCTCGTTTGGCATGACCGCTGATCTTCTGAAGATCTTGTTGTATCTTGTTCCATGTGGTTTCTCACGGTTCTACTGCGAACTAACTGGTTTCTCGGTAGATACCTTTCGCATCGCCAAAAGTAGAATGACGTAATTCATTGTATCTCGCCACCGTCGCCACCGTCGCCTGTACTGCCCGAGGCCTGATCAGCGTCATCCAGAGCGACGTCGCTGGTGCCATTCTTCGCCTCTTCTGGCTTGTCAGGTGCATCAGGGACAGATGCTGGATTAGGCACATCCATCATTTCCGCGTCTTCCGTTTTGGGGGCTATGTCTGCTTCCTGCAGTCCTTCTGCTGGCTGTTGCATGGCTTGCGACACAACGGGTGCTGTGTTATCTGTTCCTCCTTCGTCTTCTGGGTGGGCTTCCGCATGGTCGTCGCCACTTCCAGCCTCCTCTGCTGTTTCATTCTCGTTCCTTTCAGCCTTGTCCCCATCCTCTTCCGCCTCAGCTTCACCCTCCGCGCCTTTCTCGGCTTGGTCTCCCAGTGACTCCGCCCCGAGCAGAGCCTTCAAATCGCCCCCATACTGCACCTTCTCGCACATGACGAATCGATTCTTGCTGGCACGCAATGCTCTCCACACCTTCCCGGCCTTCCTTTCCTCGATCTCCTTTTTTTCCTCGTCTGTGACAGCAAAGTCCATGTCCAGATCATCCGTTTCAATACCCCTATAGTATTCCTCTAAACTTGGAACCTGATGGCGTTTGGATGGATGCTTGAGCGCCTCAAGGGGTTCAATCTTCGAGAGGAACGCGAGGTCGGTTGACCCAGGTGGATTGACGAGAGGCGCTCGCGCAGACTCAGTAAGTTTCGTCAACGTATTGCGGGATTCGAGATAGATCTGTGGCGAAACGCTGTCCCGCGATATTGATGGACAATTCTCGGCTTTCCATCGCACCCAATTTTTGTCTCTCGACAAGATCGTGTCTACCATGCGGTAGTAGAACTTTCCTTCGTTACCACTCCCACCTTGTTGTAGATAAGCTGCGATCTGAGAACGAGTGGAATGTGCCCATTTGGTATCTTCTTCGGAGAGGATGTAGGAGTATAGCACGGACTTGTTGGTAAGTCCTTCGAATTTTGCTTTGGCAGTCGGCGAGAGACTGAGGAGGAAGTCGAGCATGATCAGTGCTTGTACGAGGATGTGTCTGCGGAAGGCAATGTCATGAATTTCAAGGTCGAACAAATCTCTGTTTGTCAGATATTTGGGGTTGAATGTCGAAGTCAAGCCGGACGTCATATCAACATCATTGCGCTTGCGCTTCAAGCCGCGTTTCACATCGGTAGGGTTTGTAGAGGAACCAGAACTATTCGAGACTGACTTGAAGCAGGAGAGGGTCTCGGCGATGCCGTCTTTGAATGCAGTCATGTTGGCAGGATCGAAAAGCTTTGTTGGGGAAGAAAATAAGGATTGCAGAGACCAGAATTTGGGATACAGAGCGTCGAGGTCGGGAGGCTGCTCTTTAGGCTCGGATCTGGAAGTCTTGGGGACTGGTGTACTTCTTGCCGCCTTCTCGTGATCCTGAACCTGGCTACTTGAGGCAGGCGTGTGGCCACCAGAGGTTGCTTGCGGTGTGTCAGTGTCGAGTTCCATCGGCTTGATAGCATCTTCTGACTTGACAGGCGTTGGATCGAAGATAGTGACATTCTCCGCATGAAACTCTCCACGTAGATTGACCGAGCTCTTGTCGCCGAGAGGGAAGCTCTGGAAGAGGAAGATGAAGACTCGCCCGCAAAAGACAGTGTCTTCAGCCCGCGACAGTCTCCTGAGCAACTCATTGCAACATCTGAGGATGACCAAGTTCTTCTGTTTGAAATGCTTCGCCGTCATCCTCTCTCTGCGTGATTCCAAATAATCGAAGATTTTTCTGCAGCCATCGATAGTCTGGCTGTCCAGCAGTTCCTCGATGAGCCAAAAGCCTAAACCCGGTTCGCATAATTCGTTGTCGGACAGAATGTTGATGATGTCTAGGAGGACCCAGACCTGGGCGAATGCTGGCTCCGAGATGTCAACTGTCGCAACAATATCGACGATAATATCGCGACAGACTGTTTCGACTGCAGCATTGTGTATCTGAAGGATCTCGGGGACGATCGCTTCGCGAACTGCCTGTATTTTCTGGAGCAGTTCTGCGCAGTCGGCCTCGAGGACGAGGGAATCAACATCACCGTCCTCCCGCGCTCCAGTCAGGCCGCAGACACAGGATTCAATCACAGGTTTGTAGGTTGCGACGCAGGGAACGCTTGTGGTAGCCATGTTGTCACAAAGCGAAGAAAGGAGTGCAGAGGCGGGTAGGGAGAGTTGCTGCTGTTACCGGGTTCACATCGAGGATCGTTCTGGCAGGATATTTTATAAGCAGATGACGTTTATCTATCCACGGGCAAGACGTTATCATGAAATAGCGGATGGCTGGAAGGGTGATGTTGTTTACGGGAAGGACAGTGAAGCATTAGACTGCGGCTCTGCGGAGAAATTAATTTCTGAAAGCGCAGTTGCAAACTCCGCAGGAGGCGCGGTCGCAATTGACCTCGCCATTCTTTTGCACCCACCATCCGCGTGTTCCCACGGTTAATGGGTCTTCAACTACGGCCGGCTATGGCTCCAGCACTGGATGTGCAAGCAGATGTCAGTATTCAGGGTGAAGATAGCATCAATCCGTGGGAAAAGCTGGCAAGAAAATACTGGTGGGATAAGGACACAACAACTGCAAATGTCAAACCAGAAGTGATCAAGGCAGCCATTTGGGATCCTCTGGAACAAGACTCCTTTCCCTTTCACTCCCTCGCCGTCCTTGAGAACTACCAGATTCTCGAAAGATTTCTTTGGCCGACCTTCTCGCCAGACTCTTCCAACCACCATGTCTTGCTGATCGTGGTCTTCTTCAATGTGAAGCAACGGGCCCGTATCCACGACTGGGCCTTGTTCAACAACCGCCCGGCAGAGTTTTCAACCCTACTTCGTCGAGTCCTCTCTTTGATCCTCGACTCCTCTCTATCCATCTTTTCCCGGTTATCCCTCCTCCATTTTGTGCTCGGTGCATTTCAGTCTTTGGAGAATGATCAGGTTCGGAAAGAGTGCGCCCCGCTGGTGTCGATTGCAACATGGCATAATCTACATGACGAAAGGACAAGAGAGAGACTTCTGGAGGCGAATCCAGCAAGGAAAAAAGCATGGAGGGCCGCTGCGCGAAGATATGATGCGGCCGATCTAGAGACTCAAAGTCGCCTGCGGTTCGATCGAGCATGGCTTTATACGATGCTGATTGATTTCATTGCGAGGCTCAACGCGCCAAAGTTGACTCACTCTCAAGAAATGGTCTACTGTGAGCGCTTTGTGGAATTCTTGATCGACCTGACGAGTCAGTTGCCCACCAGGCGTTACACGAATCCTCTTTTGAAAGACGTCAACATCATTCCCATAATTCGGAAATCAAAGCTATATGAACGAGAAGATGCCGTGCTTCTGCATGACTTGACCAATCTTCTCGAGCATTTCCAGTCTTTTGCGATTGATGAACTGGGAGGCACGGAAGAAAGTCATGGTGGCTTGCGCAGAGCACATTATCAAGCGTTGGAGAGGCTGCAGCGGGTGGCCCTCCAGAGCTTTGAGGACAAGCTGAAGGTTCTCGCACTATCGAACTTCGGATCCATCGACAAAAGAAGCGAGCTAGAGTCTCACTTTTCTTCGTTGACCGACTCTGAATTGCAGGAGCTCTGCACGCAGCTTGGGTTTCGAACCAGCTATCCCCCTGCTGCCGGAATCGCGGCTTCCCGGGCAATTATGATGGAGACTCTCTTGTCATCCTTTTCCAAACCTCAAGACTTCCGTGAGGTTGTCACGCAGTTAGCGGTTCTGCCCACAGCTGCCTCACTTTACGATCCAGCCTTACTAAGAAACGAGCACTATGATGGCTCACGCCCACTTGGATTTCCCAAATTGAATTTACAATATCTCACCCTTAGCGACTTCATGTGGCGTTCATTTCAGCTGTATCAAGCCGAAGCTTTTTATGGCATAAGAAAGGACATGGAAAGCATTGTGAAGCGAATGAAGCCGAAAGTAGGGCGAGACCGGAACACCACAGCATTTGAAGGCTTCTCGAAAATGGCTCTTCCGATCGCAGAGCCCGCAGTCATTGAAGTTGGTCCTCCGAAGGTTGGGTACCTGAAGCCAAGCTTTGTGCGAGTAGAAGTCATACTGGATGTCAGCCACCTTACGGACGGTATCAGAAGAGAATGGGACAATCTTAGACCCCATGATGTTGTATTTCTCCTGGCGGTGAATGCCACCAACGCTTCTCGACTTCTTACCAATGGTCACTCTGGCGACGGAGACGACGAACAGAGAATGTTCACCGGTCTCAGAGCGGCCGAAGTCGTCCAAGTCCTGACCGATGATGGGCGAACTCTCAGAGATACACAAACGAACGGACATCCTTCAAGGCCTAGACGGAGGCGCCTGCTGCTCGACTTGGACGCGAGTACCTACGATAGCGACAAGCAGAAACAAGGCCGGGCCATATCAGAAATAGCGTCTCTTAACGTTATCGCTCGCAGACAAGGGCGAGAAAACAACTTCAAACCTGTTCTGGAGACAATCCAAGCTTTAGTCTCGTCAGAGACTGTGCTTCCATCCTGGCTACAAGAAGTCTACCTAGGCTATGGTGATCCACAGAGTGCCTCATTTCCGTCACTTCCGGATCACATTGACTCCATAGACTACCTGGATACATTTCTTGATTGGCAGCATCTATTAGACAGCTTTCCGGGGAAGACAGTTGAAACCGGCACTGGTCAGCCTACTCCGCTCGAGCCACCCTACATCCTTCAACGCGCGACGAACACCTCTACAGAGGCCCCAGCAAACCCGAAGAAGAGACGTCGCGATCAAATGGAGCAAGACTCATCCATAGTGAAAGTTTCGACCTACAAACCTCGCAACACGGGACCATATCCAATGGATGCCCCCAGGAAGAACAAGATTCGCTTCACGGCGAAGCAGGTAGATGCTATTGTGTGTGGGACGCAACCCGGTCTGACTGTTGTGGTTGGTCCACCTGGAACGGGCAAGACTGATGTTGCAACACAAACCATCAATTTGCTTTACCACAACTTTCCATCGGAACGTATTTTGCTCGTGGCACACAGTAATCAAGCGCTTAACCAGCTTTTTCAAAAAATAATTGCACTCGATATCGACCCTCGTCACCTGTTACGTTTGGGCCATGGTGAGGAGGAGCTTGATACGGAGGCGTCCTACGGTAAATATGGTCGGGTGGAATCATTCTTGGAGAATCGCCAATTCTATCTGTCCGAAGTCAACCGTCTTGCCACTTCAATTGGCGCTGAAGGGGCACATGGCGCTTCGTGCGAGACTGCCGATTATTTTAATCAGGTCTTCATCAGACCCGGATGGCAACGATTCTGGGATATCGTCAACGCAGACAATGCCACTCTTGAGTCCGTTCTCGGAGCTTTCCCCTTTTACAAATACTTCAGCAACGCGCCAGTTGGAACGCTGTTTCCTCCTGATGTCACGATGGAAGAAGCGCGGGAGATTGCGTCCGGCTGTCAGTATCATATCGACAAGATCTTCTCCGAGCTAGAGTCAATCCGACCTTTCGAGATCCTACGCGCTGGTCGCGACCAAGCGAATCACCTCCTGGTCAACGAAGCACGAATCATTGCCATGACATCAACGCACGCAGCCATGCGGAGATCCGAAATAGCTGAACTTGGCTTCCATTATGATACCTTGGTCATGGAAGAAGCGGCACAAATCACTGAAATCGAAACCTTTATTCCATGCGTGATGCAGAACCCAGATCCCAATACTGGCGAAATGCCCCTGAAGCGAATTATACTCATAGGAGATCATCTGCAGAACTCCCCCGTGATCCAGAACCTGGCTTTGCGCCAATACGCCAACTTCGAACAATCCCTTTTTCTACGTCTCGTACGGCTTGGCGTCCCTACCATCCACCTCGACCAACAAGGTCGTTGCCGTCCTTCAATAGCCAGCCTCTTTAAGTGGCGCTACAACAACTTGGGAAATTTGACTCAGCTCGTCTCCCGGCCGGAATTTTCACGCGCCAACGCAGGCTTCCGCTATGACTACCAGTTCATTGATGTCCCTGACTACCAAGGCAGTGGCGAGCGTGAACCAACCCCACATTTCATCCAAAACCTCGGAGAGGCAGAATACGCAGTGGCATTGTACCAGTACATGCGCCTCCTTGGATACTCGTCGCACAGTATCTCGATTCTCGCTACCTATGCTGGCCAGAGAGCGTTGCTCCGCGACGTGCTGGAGCATAGATGCAAAAATAACTCGCTGTTCGGGATGCCGAGGATCGTGACAACGGTCGATAAGTACCAAGGTGAGCAGAATGACTACGTCATTGTGAGCATGACAAGGACGCGGTCGGTAGGATATCTTAGAGATATCAGGAGATTAACTGTCGCACTGTCTCGAGCAAGGCTTGGATTGTATATCCTTGGCCGAAAGGAGCTCTTTGCAAGCTGCTTTGAGATGAAGCCTGCCATGGATATCTTATCGCGAAGGCCGAATAAACTGGTTGTGACCACTGGGGAGATGTTTCCTACTGCTCGCTTGCTCGAGGAGGAGGTGGAAGATACCTCGGAGATGGAAGGCGTGGAGCACCTGGGCCAATATGTGTACGAAATGACCAAGGCAAAGGTCAAGGCTTTGGGCGGACAGGTCAATGTTCAGATGGTGGCGGACGAGCAAGATGGCCCTGCGGCTGAGGAGACGGAGGGATTCGGCGCAGACGTGGGAGAGGAGGATCCGCTGCATGAGGTCGTATAAGTCGACCGATGGTGAAGGCAAGAGTCAAGATACCCAAAATCGCACTACGCGTCGTGTTGTGTCCCACGAAGCTCAGAGAGAGAGCCTAGATGTGACCTCTGGACGTAGACACTATTTTCATTGGTCGAAATTGCTATATCGAAAAATCGTTTCTCTGACCGATCGTGGTTGAGGACATCCTGGTCCAGCCGACTTCAAAAATATGTGCCATTATCTGACAAAAGGGTTTTGTAGTAAATTACTCTGCCTTGTGAGCCCAAAGGGCATTAGTCCACACGTAGGTACCACGGTAGTCGTATCCCTATTGACAATATTTAATATACCTGGGCTGGCGGCCAGCTCGTCGCTAACCGCAAGAAGCGCCCATTCTGAGAGAGACTGTCCCAAACATTGCTGAAGGGCGCTTGGGGGTGCAAAGGCACAAGTTGCTTGGCCCAGCGTCGATGGTTGAGGAATCCCCGTTATTGGCTGGGAGAGACATCACCATTTGGCCCGATGATATCTTGTAGCCATGCCGGTTTTTTATTTTTTATTTTTGCAGTGTGTGTACTCCTCTTCGGTCTCTCAAAGCACAGTATTCTAAGACGCCGCATTGTGACTCGTATCTCCCTGAGGTTCTCGTGCTGTTCCCTTTCTCCCCCCATATTCCGGTACTTGATCCATGCCCACAAAAAGTACAAGGTATCTCCCGCCTGAACAGATAAAATGCACTCCTTTTCACTCCTCGTCTTGGTCTTCTCCTTTCTTTTGTACATTCAACCCGTGGCAAAATAAAGGGTGCCGCTATGCCTTGGTCGTGAAATCCGTCTCCGTCGGAAGCAGTCCACCGTCGGCGGCTTTCTCGCATGTGCAACTTCCCGAACTCCTCTGGCCGCACGCACAGGTGGCACCCGTGGGAGCGGTATTCTCCGTGGCAGCTCGGTCACAAGTACATTGGCCGGCAGGGCGGGCTCCTATATGGGTCGAAGAAAGGTTCAGAGGTTAGTTCGCTGGTGGGTAAGATAGGAAGAATGATGGAGATGGACGAAGAGGGCAGAACATACTGCATGAGCATCGAGGTCCCTGCAAGGTGTTCTCTTGCTCCTTCTTCTCACAGGTGCAGTGCATGGCGGAGGTCTTGCCGCACGAGCAGGTAGCCTTCTGGGCGCAGACGCATTCGTCGCTGCGACCGCAGCACGAGGTTGGTTTGACCATAGTTGCGGGGGAGGATTTGGCTTGATGCGTTTAGCGGATGTTTGCTGGTTCAACGAGGAATGTCCCTGCTGAGGAATGGGAGGATATTCGCAATGGAGGCTCAGGTGTAGGTACAGGTGGCAGATTTCAGATCGCAAGGCCAGTGTCTCAGAGTCTCGACGGGTTTATATCGTCCTTGAATGACGTCCCTAAGACCAGGGCTGACAATCAGTTAAGCATTGATTGGCCAGCATTGCTTGCTGTGGGCCCACCAGAGCTTGTACCAGCTAATCATGGTCCTTGCATTTGCAAAGCACGCCTTCGATTCATCCATTTTCTCACATATCAAACGTGGTCAGGCGGGTGGTATGACCTTCCCCCATGGTGGCCGTTTCAGTCAACCGCAGCAGGATCCGCTTGAATAGCGTGCGGTGACCGTGTGCCTTGCAGAAATATTTACTTGGAAAAATGGGTCATCTATTGATATTGTCTCAGCGAACGTTTGCTACTGGCGGCTGGCCACCTGCAGACACCATTCCTTCAATCGAGCCCCCCAGAACACCAGCCATCTGTAGACCGTACTCATTCCCAAGAGACAGCACGAACCTGGTATTCTCCCTTTGCCCTTTCCCATTAGACCTGCTTCGAAAGAGTGTGCCTCAGCATCTCGCCAGATAACGGCTTCCCACACTCCTCACAGCAGTCCGAGAGCTTGGGTCGTCCACTTAGGATATCCACCGTCTCCTTCATAGATAACCAGAATTCATCCTTGGGCCTCCGATCCTGCCAATCGGTTCCTGTAGCTTCGAGTCCTGTGGCGCCCCCCATTGGGGTGAAGACAACTTCGGACCCTTGGATACCAATGACTGCTGCTGACAACGGGTCGTCCGCAATCCAGTCCTTGGACTTGCCGGTGAATCGGTCCTCGATATGTTGCATACACTTGATTGCCATCCGGAGTGCACGGATTCGATCCATAGGCGAAGGCTTGCCACCCTGTTGATAATGACCAGGTACCGCTGATCGAGACTCAAACCGACCTCGGGCTTCCTCTTTGATCATATCGGCAATTACTTGTGTCGTGTACGTAGTGCTAGCCCTCTCATTTCGAAGGATGATCTTACCCGCTCTTGATGCTCCTTGATCATTCTTGAAATTCTCGCGCAGGAACTCAATATCCCTAGCGATCATGTGGATATTGATCCCTTCTTCTGGAATGTACACCGCCAATGCACCAACCGAAAGGCCAGCCATCGTGGCGAGATAACCCGATCGACCGCCTTGTGTCTCAATGACGAATACCCGTCGCCTCGAAGATGAAGCAGATTGTCGAATGGCATCGCAGAATTGGATCAGCGTGTTCAAGCACGTGTCGCTGCCAATAGAATATTCGGTGCCTGGGACGTTATTTGACACAGTCGCTGGTAGGACGACTAGAGGGATCTTGAAGACGTCATATTGTTCTCGAGCCTTTCTCAGCTCACTGGCTGCGGTGAAAGCTTCGAACCCGCCAATGAGAAACAGCGCGTCAAACTTGTATAGCCCGAAGCATTCTGCAGTTTTCTTCATGTCCGCGCTAGGCAGACCGCGGTTGGTGCCAATCTCAGAGCCACCCTCGTTGACCCATGGATCCACGTCGAGCCATTTACACACGCGTACAGATCCAACTGGCTTGTCGTCGTGGTGACGTTGAAGGCCCGGGAACCCATTGTGGATTGCGATCGGAGTATGACCTCGGGTCAAGCAATATGCCACGGCAGCGCGGGTGGCTGGGTTCATACCTCCAGCAGGAGCCCCGACGTGGATGATTGCGATCCTCATCCTCTTTTCCTCGGGTAGGCGCAAGGCGGGGTGGTCTGTAGAAGTAGTAATGACATAACTGTTGTAGTATTCCTTGAATTCGACGTCTCGCAGCTGCATGGCCTTGTCAAAGTCCTTGGCCGCGATGGCAGCACTGACAGATTTGGTCAACGCCACTGTTTCCATAAGATTGGATCGCTCAATCTTGTTTTCCCGGATAGTTATGACTGGACTCGGTGTGTCTGGAGTAGCATCCAGGACTGCTTTCACCGCTTCCACGCCCTGCAGTGTCGACAACCAACGGTCGTAGAAACATGCATGCCCACCTCGTTGTGTGTGACCTAGAACGGTAACTCGTGTGTCTAGCTTGAGCTTCTGGGTCAGAAGATCTTTAACTTGGTTTGCGGTGATCCTGTTTAATTCTCGGTCATGGGCACCCTCCGCAATAATAACAATCGACCTCCTCTTCCCTCTCCGTCTGTGAGTGGCGATGATGTCGCACATCTGATCTTCCCAGCCGACCCGAGGGGGTTTCTCTGGAATGAACACAAAGTCTGAGCCCGTGGCTATGGATGCCATAAGAGCTAGCCAGCCACAATGACGGCCCATGACTTCGATCACGAATCCACGTTGATGGGAGGCGGCAGTGTCGAAAACGTCGTCAACTGCGGAGCAGATGCGTTCAAGGGAGGAGTAGCAGCCGATAGTAGCATCAGTGCCAGACATGTCGTTGTCGATGGAGCCAACTAGACCGACGATGTTGAGGTGCTGGTATGGGTCAACTTCTGCCTGGGTGAGCTCCCCAGTTTCCACCAGCTCTTTAAGGAGACTCGGCCACTCTGCTCTGAACTTGTCAGCGCCAGTCAAGCTACCATCGCCACCACATATGACAAGGGCATCAATGCCGCGCTTGACCATGTTTTTTGCTGCTTTCACTCGGCCCCATCTCTCCATGAACGGCATGCACCGTGCGGTGCCAATAAGTGTTCCTCCTCGAGACAGGTATCCTCTCACATCTTCCCAGTGCATCTCTTTGATCAGATCTCCACCCTGAACCAACCCTTCATAGCCTTCATAGATCGCGTAGGACTCGCAGCCCATGTGAATGGACATACGGACAACAGCTCGGACAGCGCCATTCATGCCAGGGGAGTCGCCTCCGCTGGTCATGACACCAATTCTGCGCTTCCTGGGAGGAGCGGGCACACCGTTGGCGGCCATTTTACTGGCGACCGTAGGCAGTCAACAGGGTAGATGGGATGGTTGGAGGTGCAGACAGGGCTCCGGCGGGGGAGTCGGTGAAAGTCTATCGAGGATTGCTTGACTGAGGGGCAAGGTCACTTTGAGGGTTCCGTTAAATGTGTTCGAGGAGGAAAAAGAAACGTGAGACTTGACACCAGAATGAGGGCTCGTGGAGGTAATGATGGACTTGGAAGATAATGCAGGAGTCTATCAGCAGATAGCACAAGAAGTCTGCCGTGCCGAGCAGCAACACCAGCTGAGGTCGCAGAACGTCATTCGCGTATCCCCAATGCTGTGCACCAAAGCTAAGTGGCTTGTGGGTGCCCGCAGAGCCTTAGCGGCCCAAGATCCCGAACCCCCACCATGGCCGAACGTGCCGATAGGCCAGGAAGCATCGCCCAGGCGACGTTGGGGGGCAGCAGAAGCAATGTTAGGTAAGGTCAGTAGCGCCCCAACTTATCTCTAGGCAAGGCACTCAGGGCCCTGGAGTCCCTTTCACTGCGAACTTGAGTTCATGAATCAAGGATTTTCACCAATCAAAACTTGCTTCAAGCTTCACATCTCTACAGCGCAGCCACGACTTCCTGTCATTTTATTCAGTCACAGCTAGCCTCTCAGTTGCTGGCCTTCCGCCGAATCACGGACTGATAACAAGTTGCGAACGCTGGTCCATCTTTGGCGCGGCATCAAAGTATCATGCCTGACTCGAACACCATCAGCCTTTTGATTCCTCCCGAGCCTTCATCAAAACCCCAAAATCTCCAAACGCAGATACAGCAGATCATTGCACAAAAAGGTCATTTCCGCCATGTCACCGAGCGTTCTCTTCTCGCTGAGATCCAGGGCACTGGCGCAGCGCCGGACACAATCCACGCTGGCCAGAAAGACGAGCCTGAAACTGAAGAAGATGAATCTCCTCAGAAGCGCCAGGAACGCGTCTGGAAGCGCAGGGATGAGATGCTGGACCGACTAAAGTAAGTCCCCGTTCGGTGCCCACTGTTTCGAAATCTGATCGCTTGAAGCTACGCACAGAACGAAGTCCTCTGCGCCCTGGACTTTGTGTCATTCCTGATTTCTCAGCAGTCAATCCCCGCTCAGCATTCCATGTCACCTGCGCTCCAACAGGCTGTCCCTGTAGGGACATTGGCCTCTCGAGTTCTCAAAGACAGACCGATCCCTCCTTCTACGAGGCGGCGGCTCGCCTCTGTCTCTCAAGGCTGGAGGTCTGAGGGCTTTCAGGCAGCCTCAAACAAGCTGGCCGCAGCTTCTGCTCGCCTTCAGACGGAAGCAGAGCGTGAGACAGAGTATTGGCACCAGATTGCTGATCTCAACAGCAAAGGATGGTCGGTTTCGCGACTTCCACGAGACCACAAAGCCATTGGCGTTCATTTCGGATTTGCTGAATCAGCACCGCAATTCCGCGATCGAGGCTTTGCTCTTCTTCGCCAGGCTGCTGATGGCTCTGTCGTTTTGGATCGACAAGTAGGGCTTAAAAAAAGCAAACGGATAGGCGTTTTTGTTGTCCGGGACGGCGTCAAAACTGGCGCTTTCGACTTTCAAACTCATACTTCGGTTGAAACGACAGAACTCAACCGAAACCTCAACGACTACCGCAACGCCCTTTTCGAAGAAGAATTATTCTATGAGATATGCCGGGAAGCACGTCTAGTGGCCAACCAAGGTATTACCATGCGTTCGCAGAGCGTTGAGATTGACGTTGGTGGCAAGTACCATTTGTGGCTCGTGTCCTCCACCGAACAAGAGGGAGTGCCATCTGTCAATACCGAAGACCAGTTGATAGCTCAATTTGTGGCCGTATCCCTGCGTTTGTTGTTGGCTGTCGCTCATGAGCAGAATCTCATCAGGCGGTCGCAAAAATCGCCGCCAATGACCCTGAAAACACGACCAACTCCCGAGTACGCGCTGCTCCGACCTGTCTTAGCACATTTACGGCACCGTGCAGAAGCCGGGGCCTTGTGGGACGAATGCAAAGCGCTGCTACGTGCTTTCAAGAGCGCGAATTTGCCGAACACTGTCTCGACGGAAGCCTCAACCGACGCAGTGTTCCAATCTCTGAAGATCGAAACGCCCCGCACGATGCTTTCAGAGCTGATGTTACCCGTCAAGACGTGCTTCAGAATAAGCCTGACAGCAGGGCGCAGCTTACAGATTGGGCTGGCCACGTTTCTTGGGCCCCCTCTGTTTGGCTCCCGCTATGAAGTATCGTCGATTGATTTTGGACTTGCAACTGTACCGTTGTCTCGTCACGAAACTCGCGACGAGGCGCTGTCGTTTGTGAGACGCATGCTGGTATTGGATCTCGTTGCGCACAGCGAGACGCTGGCCCTAGCAGAGCAATCCGCGACACGTTCGGAGACGAACAAGAGCACACGAGTGGGATGGGTAGTCTCACAGCCCCACAACGGCGAGTTGAGCCTGTACGATGCTCAGGAGGCCATCGAGAAGCTACAGATTGTGGTGCAGCCCGAAGTTATCGGCGTCAAACTACATCCAGCGAGGAAGAGAAGCGGGTTTCAGAATGTGGTGTGGTCCTGGACATCCACTGGAAGTTCCAAGACAGAAGGAACTGTGACAACCGCGGAGGCAGACATCACGTTTGATGCAGCAATAAAGGAGGCAATCGAGAGCAGTAGCCATAGAAGCAGTATCTAATCCGCATGCCCCAGGCAGTGCCCTATACTGCTGCTTCGGGGGAGGACGGGGCGCACGAACAAAATCCTCATGTGAGGGAGTTATCCCAAGTCGCACAGTGTAAGGATGAAGGACCAATGATATGCTTCCAGAGACGGGTATGTGGGCAAGCTGACCATGCATAGTTGTTACATGTCGTACGCTGGAAAGTCATCTGACAAGCCTGGGAAAATATCTCGACCATCGATTCTCTTGGTGGGTGGAATCCTGGGTAAGGCTGGGCGACGCACCTCACACATACGGAGTAGTGGTTGGCCCGGCGGAGATAATAAAAATTCCATTTGCATAAATCCGTGACGTGACCCGTTACTCCGACAGCGACTTCTATACAGCCGACTTCGAGACTCCATGTAACACATTCAATCACTTTCGCCTGCCGTCGGTACGGAAAACTATCCTCTCTTCTCAGCGCTATGGTTCTTTCCTCGGGCAACGACCGTGTCCAGTCATGTCCACGTAAACGACATCGGTCCGCCCAATCCTGCCAGGAATGTAGACGGCGGAAAGTCAGATGTGATCGGTCTGAACCGTGTGGGCATTGCCTTCTCTCGAAGAAGCAATGCCATTACGATCCCAGATCAGCTCCATCCGGTCGGATTGTTAATGGCCCTGCTCCCGCCAGCCAAAGCGCCCATGAATTTGCCCCCATTATACATGCACAGGTAGCTTCTGCTCCGCGGCCGCAGGCTTCGGTTATCGCGAGGGGATCGAGTCCTGCTTCAGATTCATTTCACCTCACTAGACGTGTGCCAGACGTACAACTCAGTTCCCAGTCCTCTCATGATAATGGCATTGTGAGGTCGGAAGGACCCAGAGCGGCTACCAGCGCCAACCTCGACAATGTCGCAGCTGGTCCACAGGACGGGAAGATTTCCTTAAACAAATCTAGGCTGTTCGGCCGGAGCCACTGGACAAATTCTACTCTAGAGGTAGCCCTTGCATGCCGGCCGCTCATCTGTTCCTCAATAATCTTGGCTAATCTTCAACAGCTCCAAAAGACAGCGGCTGTCCTGAATCCTGAGACGGGAAATGCCACGGACAATGAAGTCCTGGCTCGCTTGAAGTGGGAGATTGCTGCTCTTCTCCAAAAATGCAAATCCTTGTCCAAAAATATCAAGTCGTCTCAACAAACTAGGTGCTCTTCCTTTCCACGGGCGTATCTATCAATCGCAAAAGAGTATGCTGATAATATGGTACACTTGTATGTCACTCACTTTGAGTCTGTGTTTCGCATACTACACATTCCATCCTTCTGGATCGAATATGAGAAATATTGGAGCGACCCCGCAGAAGGTGAATATATCTCGCAACTCAAGATCCAGCTCGTCACGGCCCTTGGAATGATTATTCACCAAGACACCATTAATACCACAGATGTCTACTCGACGGCGCGCCAATGGCTATATGCCGCGCAGGAATGGTTGTCTGGACCTTTGAAAAAGAGCCGTATCAGCATCGGTAGCCTACAGGTGCAGTGTCTATTGATTCTGGCTCGGCAGGCTCTGTCCGTTGGAGGAGATACTGCTTGGATATCGATGGGACTAGTTGTACGGACGGCAATGCAAATGGGCCTACACCGTGACCCAAAGCACTTCAAGAGAATGGGTATTCTGTAAGTTTTGCCGAAGTTGAACAGTATATATCCCCTTGACTGACTACGGCGTTCTTCAAATCAGTGAAGGCGAGATTCGTCGAAGACTCTGGGCCACCGTCTTAGAGTTGAATGTCCAAGCCGCCTTAGACGCCGGAATGCCACCTACCCTCTCATTAGATGAGTTCGACACAGAGGGCCCTTCCAATCTCAATGACGAAGACATTGACGAGCAGACCGAGGCGCTCCGGGAGCTTCCCGCAACTGCGACAACAGACTCTTCCCTCCAGCGTTTCCTCTTTCAGTCACTCCGTCCAAGGCTGGAGGTCGCCCAACGTATGAACAGTATAACACCGGCCTTGTCAGAAATGTCGTACAACGAACTCATCGCTCTAACGACCTCAATTGCCAGCGCCTGCCGGAGCTGCAGTGCCCATATCCTCAAAACCAATAGCTTCGAAATTGCTTCTTTCCATAGCAATCTTGCAGACCTCCTTCTCAGGCGCTTCATACTTCATCTTCATCGCCCTCTTGCCGGCCGAGCCCGAACTAATCCACAATATTATTTCTCTAGAAAGATGAGCCTGGACGCCGCCATGGCCCTAATTTCTTCGGCATCCAAGAACGCCCAGTTCGAGCGCCTCGTGCTGCTCGGGGCCGGGATGTTCAAGAACCGCATGATCCACGCGTCCCTGGCGGTGGCGTCGGAGCTACTCATCGAAGTTGAAGAGCAAGGGCCGGGGGAGTACCATTCGCCCTCACGGGAGCCTTCTGGATATCGAAAGATGTTGACGGAGGCGTTGAGAGAGGCGCTGCGGCAGTCTGCCGAGCGGATTCGACTTGGAGAGACTAATGTCAAGCTACATATGAAGTTGAGTATGGCTATGCGTCAGGCAGAAGTGGCAGGCGCACATTCTTCATCCATGCAGCAGTTGGCTCAAAGTGCCAAGGAGAGCCTGGAGGCTTCCTATGCCACCATGCAAGCGCGGGCAACTCATGAAGGAACTGACATCGAGTCCAGAGGTAGCGGCGGGATGTCCGAGGACTTCGACCCTGAAGACTTTGATCCAGAGAGCTTCTTCCTTGACTCCAACTTCTCTTTGGACGACCTCTTCTTCATTCCTGCGGATTTTGATATGGATGGCGCAGCGAGGCAGCCTTAATCCTAGGAGGAGGGGGATAGGAGAGTCTACCATCTCCAGTTACAATGCCACTATCAACCAAGATTTACGGACTATAGGAATCCATTCCTCACCCGGATCCTGAAATCAATCACTCGGAGAATAGCCTTGACCATCGCCTGGTGAACTATTGTGGACTCGACGACTTCGGGGGTAGTATCCCATCGGTCGACGCAAGCAATATAAATATTTAGGCTTTATCGGACGTCCTATCCGCAGCCAGACCGAGCAACCCTTCGTTACAAGGAAATGGTACCTTCTGACAGAGAATAGATACTATCCTAAACTACAGCTAGTCACCCAATAGCGAGAAGGTTACTGCTAGCTCAGATATGGCTAATATCATTAATAAGGGTAGGAATGCCACTATACGTAGGCCCAGAGTAATTGCATTATAGATGACGATAGCCCTTTGAGTCAACAGTGAATCACCTCTACTTTGCTGCCTTAGCACCCTTTCTCGTCAGACTCCTCCACTTAATTTTGACTGTCGGCCCTCTAGTTTGCGCGGAGCGGGTTTCGGCCATAAAAAAACATGGTATACTCGTTTCCGGCACGTGGCGGTTATTATGTGTATGTATATGTATAAAGACCTGGGCAGCCAGCCTTTGAACCTGGGAGAGCCTCTCATTTGGCTCATAACCCAAATACATTTCACCTTCCTATCGTCTCTGTCCACACCCCTGACCAATCATGGCATCATCAGCCTTGCCCACCCATCACCAAGCCCTCGTGCTCGAAACCCTCGAAAAGGGTTTCTCTGTCAAGACCGTACCAACTCCCCAACCAGGTCCGGGTAGTGCCATCGTACGCATCCTCGAAGCCGGAGTGATCTCCTACCAACGCGAGATCTACAACGGGGAACGACACTATGATTTTCCAAAGCCAATCGTTGGGGGATTGAGTGCCGTCGCCCGCATAGCTGCTGTAGGTGATGATGCAGTGGTGCTGCAGCCTGGGCAGCTCGTCTGGATGGACTGCGTGATCCACGCGCGAGACAACCCGGACTCTCTGTTTCTCACGGCCATCCATGAGGGTATGGACGCTGGGAGTCGGAAATTGAGCAGCGATGTTTGGCGCGACGGGGCGTTCGCCGAGTACATGAAGGTGCCGCTGGAGAATTGTATTCGGCTAGACGAGAATAGGCTGTGCCAGGAGTTGGGATATACCGCCCGCGAGCTGATGTATATGATGTACTTATTGGTGCCTTTCGGCGGGCTGAGAGACATCCGCCTCGAGGCCGGTGAGACGATCGTTGTCTGTCCGGCAACCGGAGGGTTTGGTGGTGCGGGTGTTCAAGTCGCCGTAACCATGGGGGCCAGGGTCATTGCCATGGGCAGGAATGAAAAGGAGCTAGCCCGGTTGAAGGAGCACATCAAGAAAGGGACGCCGGCCGCCAACATCGAGACCGTCAAGATGACAGGCCACTATGAGACCGATGTCGCCGCCCTGGAAGTTTTTGGGACCATCGACGCCGTCATCGACTTGACACCCCCTTTTGCATGCCAGTCGAAGCATCTGAAGAGTGCAATTCGCTCGTTACGACGTGGAGGGCGGTGCAGCATGATGGGCTACGTCGAAGATGTGATCAATTGGAACGTCATGGCGCTGAACATTACGTTGAAGGGGAAACTGATGTATGAGAGGGAGGACATGGTATTGTTTGTGAAGATGTTGGAGCGCGGCTTGTTTCCACGCGGAAAAGAATTCGTGGATCCCAAGGTGTTTAAGATGGAGGAGTGGAAGGAAGCGCTTGACACTGCGGCCGAGTGGACAGGTGTTGGTAAGACAGTTATGATTGAGCCGTAAGAGGTTGCCGCCTCTGAAGGCAGCAGGATGAATTGTATAGTGAGGAAGTCAACAAGTATTTCCCCTGTGATGGCGGGATTGAACAGGGCGGCATCATTGAGAGGCTGAATTGGAGTGAACTGCAAGGAGGTCGGTCTGTAGGTTACTCAGTCTCCAATCGCTTGGCGTCAACAGCAAACGTGTCGTTCAACTTGTCAGCCAGCATCCCCTTCCATCAACCTCTGTGATCCTTTCATCGAGTTCAATCCAACAGCATCCTCTCTATAGCACCCGATCCTGCAGCTCATACGTTACGCAGCCTGCAAACGAACAGGATGACTACCCGGTACCGCGTCGAGTGTTCGTCACCAATCTCATATATCGCGCAGTTGCCCGAAACCCGTGCTAATAATGGCTAGATGCACTCAAGGCAAGTCAAGCCTCTTTTCGCAAAGCGAATCACGATTATGCTGACTTTGCTACGACTGAAGACCCATCGCAGAGACCAGCTTGTACGTAAATGACCTTGTCGGATTTCGTATGGATGCTGATTCCGCGTGGATAGATCGAATGGATCAAGGTAAGCCAAGAATTCACAGCTGGAGCACCTGGCACAACTCTCACAGCATATCCCCCAGGGTCTCCTTGCGGTTCCATTTGTCCTCAACTCGCAACCAGCAGTCGAATATGACGGCACCAATGGCCAGAGCTTGGACACAATGGCGAGATCGGCGCAGCAGCGATATGCTGAAATCTTCAGAGATGTCGAGGATTTGATACTCGATCATAGTTGGTTTCGAGCCCGCCAGACGGAATACAAATCAACTAACTCGGTGCAGTCAACCAGCAAGCTGTGTCGAACCCAAGGTCTAAACTTAACATGCTGGTCCCTACCATCTCTGCGTTTTTCACGCCTCTGGCTCTAGAAGATGCCTTCCGATACCAAGATGCAAAGCGCGCCATCTCCTCTCGTCGTTTTGTCGCCCCTTCGTTCAACGACATCCGGCTGATCCTCAACACCGCTCAAGTGATGGCAATGATCCGGCCCAAGCCATACAGACAACTGAAGATCAAACTGAATCCCGGGCTTGAACTTTTGACCTTCGATGGTGATGTCACACTGTACGAAGATGGAGCATCCTTACATTCACCTGAGGCAAATCCGGTCATCCTACGTCTCCTTCACTTTTTGGCCCAGAACGTCAAAATCGGGATCGTGACGGCCGCCGGATACATGCAACCAGAGCATTATTTCAACCGACTATCTGGTCTCCTTCTAGCTGTCAGGGCTTCAGAGCATCTCAGCGCAGCTCAAAAATCGAACCTTATCATCATGGGTGGTGAATCCAATTTCCTCTTCGTGTTCGATGAAAAAGAAGAGCACTGCTTGCGGTATATTCACCGGCGAGAATGGATTCTGGATACCATGAAACATTGGTCGGAGTCAGCCATCCAAGAGCTTCTAAACGATGCCGAGTCTGCGTTTCAATCGTGTATTCGCACGCTTCGGCTGAAAGCCAAAGTGCTCCGCAAAGAACGAGCGGTGGGAATTTATGCAGCTGACCAGTCGAAGAAGCTCACCCGTGAACAACTGGAGGAGACTGTCCTAGTCGTACAGCAGGTGGTAGAGACCTCGATCAACACGGCCAACTCTGAAAAACCTGCCGCGTACGCGGACATCCCTTTTACCGTCTTTAATGGAGGTGCTGACGTTTTCCTGGACATTGGGGACAAGTCACTGGGGGTACAATCATGTCAGAAATGGTTTGGGGGCATTCCACCGTCTAGTACCCTACACGTGGGCGATCAGTTTCTGAGCGGAGGGGGAAATGACTTCAAGGCGAGAAGTGCATGCTGTTGCGCGTGGATTGCCAGTCCCGCAGAGACTGTGGCCCTGTTGGACGAAATGATAGCTCTGGGAAAGGGCGAATAGGGGCTGCCTCGATCGAGGTGGATGGTTATTACAATCAGAGGTCGCGAACTCGAGATGAACAAATAGATTCCGTGCCACCTGATGCGTAGTCGCTATGAACAGGGGCATACGAATAATTATGCTGATCGGAGCGAGAAGCAATCAAAGCCCCGACCACGCCGACTGCGGTGTGATGCAATGTGACAGGTGCAGTATGGTCGATGGCTGAGGCACCAAGACACTTGATGGTGGGTGCTGCTTGCGCTACTAAATTCGGGAGGTTCGATCTGTGCAGGGGTTCGGGTTCCTTTTGGGGGGTCCAAGGGCGGGTGGTGCGGACGTGGACGACTACTCCGTACTCATCCACCCTCTCGAACACGAGGCTGTCTTTGCTCAGCAGTCTTATTCTTTTTGAAGCCGGGCAATCATGAATGCTGACCCTGCTGTCCTTTGACTGCTACGATCAATCACCGTGAAATGTGATTCTCTCCTCCAGACAATGACTTGTTGACCAGACGAGTGCCCTCCGAACTAACTCCTCCTCCCTACCAACCTGCCCGCCTGCAATCCCCTGCTGCATCCAGCGCGCAGCCCTTGCGGCTTGCCTTCGATGCCGTCCGTTTCTGAACCGTCACCATGTCGTCGATGCGCGGTCTTGTCCAGTTCATAGCCGACCTCCGAAATGCCCGGGCGAGAGAACTGGAGGAGAAGAGAATCAACAAAGAGCTCGCCAACATCCGCCAGAAATTCAAGAGCGAGAAATTGGATGGCTATCAGAAGAAGAAATACGTCTGCAAGTTGCTCTACATCTACATCCAAGGATACAATGTCGACTTTGGACACCTTGAAGCCGTCAATCTGATCTCCGCAACCAAATACTCCGAAAAGCAGATTGGCTATCTGGCCGTCACTCTCTTCCTACACGAGCAGCACGAGCTCCTGCATCTGGTCGTCAACAGCATTCGAAAGGACCTGTTGGACTACAACGAACTCAACAATTGTCTAGCCCTGCATGCCGTGGCAAATGTGGGTGGCCGCGAAATGGGCGAGGCGCTCAGTGCCGACGTCCATCGGCTGCTGATCTCCCCTACCTCTAAATCCTTTGTCAAGAAGAAGGCGGCCTTGACGCTCCTCCGTCTCTACCGAAAGCACCCGGCCATCATTCAAAGAGAGTGGGCAGAAAGAATAATATCGTTGATGGACGACCCCGACATGGGCGTGGTGCTCTCTGTCACTTCTCTCATCATGGCTCTGATCCAAGACAATCCTGAGGCGTACAAAGGGAGTTATGTCAAGGCCGCTCAAAGGCTGAGGAAAATCGTCATTGAGAATGACATCTCGCCGGACTATTTGTATTACAAGGTTCCTTGTCCGTGGATTCAAGTCAAATTTTTGAAGTTACTGCAATATTACCCCCCTTCAGGTGAGTGCGACAACGTTCCCGGCGATGTTTGAGCCGCTCTGACTTCGAAGCAGAAGATTCGCACGTCCGCGACATCATTCGCGAATCTCTTCAGGCTATTATGCAAGCAGCCACAGAGGCGCCCAAAAATGTACAACAGAACAACGCTCAGAATGCGGTACTGTTTGAGGCCATCAACCTTCTCATTCACCTCGACACTGAGCACCAGCTCATGATGCAGATTTCTTCCAAATTAGGAAGATTCATTCAGTCACGCGAAACAAACGTTCGATACTTGGGCTTGGACGCCATGACCCATTTTGCTGCTAGGTCCGACACACTTGATCCCATCAAACGACACCAAAACATCATCATCTCATCTCTACGAGACCGAGATATCAGTGTCCGGAGAAAGGGTTTGGATTTGCTGTACAGCATGTGTGATACCACCAATTCTCAACCCATTGTCAACGAATTGTTAAAGTACTTGCAAACAGCAGATTTTTCGATACGCGAAGAAATGACTCTCAAAATTGCGATCCTGACGGAGAAATATGCAACCGATGCTCAGTGGTATATTGATATCACACTGAGACTGCTCGCCATGGCTGGTGATCATGTCAGCGACGAAGTCTGGCAACGAGTGGTCCAGATCGTCACCAATAACGAAGAACTGCAACCCTATGCGGCACAACATATTTTCGACTATTTGAAAGCGGACAACTGCCACGATACGCTTGTCAAGATTGGCGGTTACATTCTTGGGGAGTTCGGCCACCTGATAGCTGACAACAAAGGATGCAGCCCGATTGAACAGTTGATGGTGCTACAAACAAAGATGATATCAGCCCCCGACCCTACGAGGGCATTACTTCTGTCGACATTCGTCAAATTCGTCAACCTCTTCCCGGAAATCAAGCCACAGCTGCTACAGATGTTCCAATTCTACAGCCACTCACCCGATTCAGAGTTGCAACAGAGGGCGTGCGAGTACCTGACCATTGCGACGTTGCCAACGGACGACTTGCTTCGCACCATTTGCGACGAAATGCCCCCGTTCTCGGAACGAGCCTCCATCCTTTTACAAAGGCTGCACAAGAAGAGTGCAGGGATAAGTGAAAGGAGAACTTGGGTGGTTGGCGGCAAAGATGCCAATGCCGATGAAAAGGAAGTTCTGCTGGCTCAACAAACAGGACTGAAGCGATCTTTTACCACTATCGTCAATGGAACACCAGCAAGTACGAATGGTGCTGCTGCCACACCAGCCCAAAACGGAACGACCAGTGCTGCAAAAGACCTTGAAGGCCTGGATATGAATGGCCATACCGATGACGTGACTGTTCCCAAGCTTACGAGCGCGGCTCATCTTTCACCGGACTGGGAGACTGGTTATGACAACATGTTCTTTGCCGATGAAGGTGTCTTGTATGAGGATCCACAGATTCAAGTCGGCATCAGGGCGGAGTATCGTGGCCACCTCGGGGTGATCAAACTCTACTTTACCAACAAGGCCTCGTTCTCAATTGGCTCATTCACGACTACTCTGGACAATAAATCTGCCCCCAGCCTCAAAATCGACACTAAAAGCCTCCCCGATTCCTCGGTCGGTGCAGACTCCCAAGTCCAAGAGACCATTGTGTGCACTTCCATCTCCCCATTCTCCGAAGCACCAACCATCCGAATCTCATATCTCGCTGGTGCCTTGCAGGGGTATACTCTAAAGCTGCCGATTCTTCCGCATCGATTCATGGATCCCTCGGAGCTCTCAGCGGAGGATTTCTTCAAACGTTGGCGACAGATTGGGGCGGGTCCCCTTGAAGCGCAAAGCACATTCGGTCTGCGCAATCATTTGGCGCCGATGGACGACAAATTTGTCCGCGATACCGTGGCAGGATTTCGCTGGCGGCTCTTGGACAACGTTGATCCAAATCCAAAGAATATTGTTGGATGTGCGGTCTTGCAGCTGGAGAAGGGGAAGACTGGATGTCTGCTCAGACTAGAGCCCAATCATCAGCAAAAGGTATGAACCCTGTGAGCCCTGTCCTTTGCACATGATCAAGACTGACCTATATTCTTAGATGTTCCGCGTCACGATTCGTGCGACGCAGGAAAAGGTTCCTGAGATCCTGTTGAACCTCATGCAGGAACGGCTGGCCAGAGGACCTCCAGCTTAGACATGGCCTCGATCCATGGCACCAGCATCAGCATTATCAGGTCCGGGTATTCTGTCCTTTCCAGCATATGTTGCATGGTGTTCTGCGGCCCAGGCGGAGCGGGTATGGCATGCATTGTCCTCAAGGGAGACATAATATGAGCATCTTCTTGACCATCAAATATCATCATGCCGTTCATCCCTCCGCGGGCGTGGTTGTTTCAGAGCACACCACCACTGACCACAATTTCACGAACTCAAGCTCTCTTATGATGGAATTTACTTCTTCTCTTGTTCCGTTTGCTCTAGCACTTTGGCATCTTTCTTTGGCGGCCGTTCCCCGAAAATCGTACTCCCTACCCGCACCTCACGACTTCCCAATCTCACTGCGCTCTCGAAGTCTTCCGACATGCCCATACTAAGCTCCAGCTCATCCTTATTCTGTAGACCCAGATCTGCGGCGAGCCTGTCGCGGGTGGAGCGAAGCGTGATGAAATCCTCGTTTTCTGTTTCTGGGGAGGTGGCCTTTGAGCGCGCAATTGCGCCGATGGTCATGAGTCCTTGGAGGTGCAGGTTCGGACATCGCCCGTCATCGCGGATGAGCCTTGCAAGAGCCAACAGCTCTGGCGAGTTTGGATCCAGCCCGCTCTTGGACTCTTCGCCGGAGGTGTTGACTTGGATGAACACCCTCAGCTGTTGCTCCAGGCCGTTCTCGTCCATGATCTGCGGCCAGCGATCCCCGTGCTCCTTCCTCAGTCTCTCGTTCCTCTCCGCCCGGCCCTTGTTCAGCAGGTTCGCCTTCTTCTCGCTGTCGACGCTCTCTACCGCCCACAGGCTGTCCACGTCCCTCGTCACGGGCACGCACTTGTTCGACTGCAGCCCGCCGATGAAGTGCCACTTGATCGTCGTGGGCAGCAGCCTCGACTTTTCCAGCAGCTCCTGCACGTAGTTCTCCCCGAAATGGTCGTGCCCTGGTGTCTGCTCGGAGGCGGCCGCGCTGGATGCCTCGCCGTCGCCGGGTGCTGCGGGGCGGTGCAGGGCGAGGATGTCCGAGGCAGGCTTCAGCTTCGACACGGCGACGACTCGGACGGGCACCGAAGCCGGGGGGTTCGTGCCTGGAGGAAAGGACGAAGACCACGCGGTGCGGACTCGTTGCTGCACGGAGGAGATGTTCTGTAGAAGGGCGGATGCGCGCTGCGGATTTATGGTGATTTTCATGTCGGATGGAGCTGTGCCGTCGTTTGTGGAGCTCATGGTCGCATGGAGCAGTGCTGCGTGTTCTTTCGACAAGACGAGTCGCTTCGATGGGTGCACCGGTCGAGGGGCAGTGTAAAGAATCGGAGATGGGATCGTTAGAGGTCGAATCGGCTGAAGTCTAGATCGAATGTCAAAAATTGCAATTTAATAATGGCGTCTATACCAAATTCGACGTCATTATTCGGATTGGGGTCTGTGGGACAAGCCCAGACCAATTCCACAAACATGTGGCCCGTTGTGCGTCTGAGCAAGCCTGATGAAATAATGATCAATCCCTCATTCATTAAAGAGGTATCCTCTCTTGGTGCCATCATCTCTATCAACGTGATCTACCCATCGTTTCTGGAACCAACCCGCAACATATACAAAATCCTAGTCAACTTCCAGATGGCAATCGAGTCCGAGTCTAATAGCGTGTTCTTCCCAGATGCCCAGTCTATCGTCTATTGTTCGCACGTGAACACTTACATACCCATATCATGTTCAAAAAAGGTCGCATGCAAGAACGCCAACGCTATGATTTCCGTCCGTCTTGCTACTCTCAGTCGTCATCTGAATCAGGTGGGTGAGGTGTCCCGGGAGGCTTGTTGAGCCATTCAATGCTTGAAGTCAATTCGTTAGTATGGATCACGATGCTGGATCGGGCAGGGTCAAAACTTACTGTCTCAGCCTTCTTCTCACCTCTCTCTCCTTCAACTGGGCCCTTGTCATCTTCTTCTTCTTCTTCGCCTTGAACTTCATCTCGCTGTTGTCCTCAACTCCCGAGTTGACGGCGGAAGCGGTGGCGCTGGAGACTGCCGAAGAACTGACATTGCTAGACCCTGGGCGTGAGTCCTCAAACCGGTTCAGGTCAATAGCAAGGTGGCCTTTGTGTGTCACTTTTCCATTGGCCACATGCCACTGTTCCGGACACAACGCTCCAACAAACTCCTCGTTGTGGCTGATCATGACAACGCCGCCCTTGTAATCGCGGATAGCCACGGCCAAACCACCCAGGGAATCCCGATCCAAGAAGTTGGTCGGTTCGTCGAGGACCAACAAGTGAGGGTTGTTCCACATGGCGCCGGCCAACACGACCTTGACCTTTTGGCCGCCACTCAAACCCGAGATCTCGTTATGATTGGCGATCTCGGGATCTAGTCCAACGTCCTCAAAGTGCTTTGCGATCACCTTGGGTTCAAGGATGCGATAACCGAGACCTTCGCGGGAGGCTTCGTGATCATCAAACTCTTGAACTAGCTTCTGGAAGCCCCACTCCAGCAGCGTCTCTCTCGAGACCTGCGAGTTGAACTTCGGAAGCATACCTCGCCATTTCACCTCGTATTGGAACGTCTTCTTGTACTTTTGTCGGCCGATCAAGTTTTCAACCTGTCTGCTACCTTTGCCATCTCCAAGGTCGATCCATTTGTCCATCTGTGCCTTGTCATCGTCGGTGAGCTGCCGCGTAGCTTTCATCAACACCTCTCGGTCATCTCCATTGGCGTATCTCCACTGCAGGTATTGGTTTGGTGTTTTCTCCAAATGCATCTCAACGTGTTCCAAAGCATGCTGCTTGATGTACCCAATTCTCAGATTGGGATGTTTTTCCACCTTGCCCGACTGAGGAATGGTTTCGCCCGTCAACAGCTTGATCAGGGTGGATTTGCCGGCACCGTTGGCGCCAATGATGGCCACCCGGGATGATAAACTGAGTTGGCATGAAACGTCAGTCAAACTGGGCTTTGATGCACCAGGGTAGGTATAGCTGACGTTCGTCATTCTGATGATGGATCGAGTGTTGGACTTGACGCCACTGAGAATACCCGGAGGGGGGAATTTGAATTGCACCTGAGTCGCGGATAGTGTGTAATAACTCTTGCCTTCAGGCTTGACTTTGACGAATGCTGCAAGATTGCCAGGATAGTGCACCAACTTTTTGTTCTCGTAGTGGTAAATGTCCGTGCATACTGCGTCGAGGAAGCCAGAGTCATGCGAGACGATCAATGAAGTAATCTCTGTGTGCTTCTGGAGATACTCCTCGAGCCACTTGACATTCGCCACGTCCAGATGGTTGGTCGGTTCATCGAGCAACAGAACATCAGCCCGCATCAGCATGGCTCTCGCCAAAGCTAGTTTCATCTTCCAGCCTCCGGACAAAGAGCCCACCTTATGGGATTGTCGACCTTCCGGGCCAGCTGTAAAGCCAACTTCGCTCAGAACCTCTGAGATCCGCGATTGCCCTTCTTTGGCTATCTCAGGATCCTTGGACACATACTCAAGAATGCTGATATCGGCATCCTCACCCTGATTGTGTTCCACAAAGCATGTCTTCAAGACTTCCTTGGGAGGAAAGCCTTCCAACTTCCCTTCGGCAATGCTCCGCATCAATGTGGACTTGCCTGCGCCGTTTCGGCCACAGAGACCGTAGCGGTGGCCTTTCAGAAGTCGTAGGTTGGTGTGAGAGAGCAATAGCATGCCGCCATAGGCGAGAGAGAATTCTGCATTGACAATCTCAACCTCATTCGGGTCCTCCACTATAGGGGCGCCAAATTTCTTGTGGTCGTCCTCAACGAAGTGCTTCTGCACAGCCTCCGCAACGGCCGTGCAAAGCTCGTCTGGCAGCATGTACTTGAGATATGGACCGACTCGAGAGGGAATACGGGAGAAAACTCGAGCATTGACATCTTCTCTGACCATCTCTGAGACATAGGTCTGTCCGTATTTCCAGACCGGCATATCCTCCTTGTGCAGACCGCCTTGTGCGCGAATTTGACTGTCAAGGACTTTGAGGACATCGTCGGTAGTGGCTCTGGCAATTTGGCCATTAGTCACACCATCTTTATCGTCACCCATAGCCTTCTTCATAACATTCACGGCCCTGGTAGCCAGTTCCCGGACTTCCGGGAGTGATGCATTGTCTTTAACTCTCTGCACGCCGGGCTGCAACTTGGGCAGGAAGGTTCTGGCTTCCACTGGGTCGTGCACGAGCTTGGTCAAATTCTCCACAACGACCACTGTCTGGCGAAGAACCTCTTGAGATGTGGTTGGGGTGTTGAGTGATCGCTCCAGCAAAGGGGTAAGAAGGGCGAGGACAGGGGAAGTGACTATTGCGACGAAAGTTGTTTGGGAAAGGGCGTGAATGGCTTTCTGAAGCGTCTGAGAGGACGGATTTTTCATGGTGTCGATAAGCAACGGTATCCTGGGGGCCACATCATCGTTCTGCAGTAAAGTCGTGAGTGAGGTCATGGTCTTGGTAGCGGCTTTGGCGACTTCGGCTTTGAGGTCGTGCATGCCACCCTCCACGATTGGAATAAGCTCCTTGAGCGTTTTACCCATGGATTCCCGCAGAACATCTTTGGCTTGTTCCTCCTCTTTCGTGCCTGTCCCCATCTGGGCCTTGTCGGCCATTTTCCCGAGGAGAGTATATGCGCCCACCGTGCCTTGCCATTTTCCGGTTGGTTTGGATAGATATGTTTGCAAAGCTGGAAGGAGACCTATAACCATAGCCTCCGGCGCGAGGTTCTTGAACAGTTCGTCGACAGCATATTGCGCCGACTCGCGGACAGAAGAACCCTTGTCGGCCAACCCATCAAGGACCAGGTTGAAGAGCCCACCGTCCTGAACCAGGAAGACCACTTCGCTCAACGGCTGCTCGCGAGGGAACCGCTCGAACATGGCCCCGAGGACGAACATGGCGCTTTCTCGTTTGGCGCCATTCTTCTTGTCTGCAGCGGCCTTTTTGATCTCTGGGATAAGGTTGTAGGAGAGTAAGCCTCGGATTCCCACGGACTGAACGAGGAGGCTTGTGAGCGCATAGGAGGCATCCAGCGAAGTCTGGGCAGAATTGGTGTCGACAATGGTCTTCAGAATGCTGCTGACTTCTTCAGGCGTGGGAGCGACTCCGGAAAAGTTCGACTTCGAAGGGACGATGGTCGTCGCCATTGCGGGAGCCAGGGGAGGGCTGTCGAAATGTGGCATTACTTTGCACCCGAAATTCCGTGCAAGGCGGAACTCCTAGGTCTCAGGAAGGCGGATAGAGAAAAAGACAGAGCCCTCGAGTGTCGACAGATGATGGTGCCGCTCCCTATGCCGCCGCAGCCCGAGAAGAAGTGGAAAGGGAATCTAAGGGGAGAGACGCAAAACAACAAAAAAAGAATATCGCTGAAGCGACGAGGGGTCTGTTGGCGGAGGACCAGCCTATGAGAGAAATCTGATTCAGCCTGCGCCCACCAGCCTCTGACTTCACTGGCTACTTGGGTAAGGGTCGAAGGCAATTTTTCCGCAGCCTTGTTGAAATTTTTCGGGGGCGCCATGGGGGTTGTCTAATCGATAAGCGACAGGCGTCATGGCACCCGTAACTTCTCGTTAGATCCTCGCAGATAGGCAAACTCTGGGCGAGTGACTGACTAAGCAGGGCAATGTCTCTGTTGTTCGTTGCCACTCTCAAACTGGTGTCGGTTCCTGTCCAACACCCGGTAAATGACTATGTTATAGCTTTTGACTATCGTATATTTACAGTAGAATACTTCTGCCAACAAAACATTTTGCTATCCACGCTCATGTCATCAAATGTTAGTTAGGGACCGCGGGGTGGCCGCCATGAAAATGGGTGAGTGTCAGTCCCGCAAGAAGGGGAAACTGGCTGCCCCATGGCTCAGGGCTCGACAGACTGGGGTTCAAGGCAGACTGCGCTACATGACAGAGGATCAAGCCCCCGACACTCAAAAGCCCGCCTCCGTATTGCCTTCGCCCATGCTCCTGCTGGAACTGCTGCCGCTTTGGATGGCACCAATGATGCCATCGATATATGGTGCTCCGCTCCACTTCTGATGGGTGAGCACATCAACACCAAGCTCCTTCTCTCGGCTCTGTACCAGCTTGACATATGCAAGCATTCCGTCTTCCTTGAAGCCTCGTGATAGCTCTGCGGTAATTGTGGCTGTGGAATGGAGACCGGCAAGGGATATCAGTTGAAGCACGAAGCCCTCCTTGGCGAGATCCCAAACAAACGACTTCAGCGAAGCATCGTCGAAGCCTTGACCCATCCAGTTGAATGACGGGCTCAAATTGTAGACCAGTTTCTTACCCGGATGCGCCTCTCGAATCTCTCTGGCAAAACCTGCCGCCTTCGACACGCTGGGGTCCGCTGTCTCCAGCCAGAGAAGGTCTGCATAAGGGGCAAATTCAATGGCACGCTTGGTCGCAGCAGGGATGCCCGCTCGGTAATGGTAGTATCCTTCCCGGGTTCGAGGGACGTCGCAAGACCAGACCACAGGAGACTTGGTGTATTGGGAAGAGAGTTTGCGCCGTGAAGAGAGGGACATGTTGCGATCTGCCTTGGTTTTGGCGAGATACTCAGCAGCATCTCCACCCTCGGCTTTGATATGAGCTTCAACGGCTTCGTCAAAAGTGACCAACTTGTGTTTTTTTACCCATTCAGCCTCGAACTTGTCAACCACTGGTCCATCTGCCCCCTTAAGCTCCATCTCTTGCAGAACCTCGGCCAAAGGCTCCGTGTCCTCGGTCACGCCAAGAATATACTCGTGGTCCCGGACGTCAATGGCGCTGGAGAGTAGTTTGCCGCTTTCCGAATCAGTTCGAGCAATGACAAGGTTCTCGCTGCCCATCATATCCCACTGAAATCTTGCAGCCACGAGACGGTTGATGTGGTCACCCACGGGCACCAGCACTTTGCCGGCCAGATGGCCGCACTTCTTGCCTCCGTGAAGCTGGTCCTCGAAATGCACTGCGGCAGCACCATTCTCAGCGAAGAGCTTGGCCAGTTTGATGACCGCAGACAATCCACCATGTCCGGTGTCGCCATCTGCGACAATTGGTCTCATGTAATCGATATAGGGCGTCTTTTTCCTTTCCTCGGCAGTCATTTTCTGCCGCGCGTCGAAATTCTTGCGATCGTGGAGTTGTTGGGCTTTGAAGAGCCTCTGGACTTGATTGGGGACCGTGTTGTAGGGATAGTCGCCAAAGTCGGCGGAGACTTCGTTTGTGGTCGTCAGGACGGATGAACAAGCCCAGCCCGATACGTAAAGGATCTCTTGGTTGGGTGCCTGCTGCGTCATCTGGACGGGATCGATTGCCCCCATGGTATGGACTGGCTTGCCCTCTGCCGCTCTCTCAGACAGCAGATTGAAGAGTTTCCTCGCCATGAGCGAGCTGGGGTAGACTTGTTGCAATGTTCCTCGTTTACTCACGACATCCTCTGGTCTGTATGGCCTTTTGATGCCTTTGTATCTCGGTGATGCCCACCATGCCTTTACATCTTCTACTTGTTGTTTGAACAAGATATCTTCTGCATCGCCTGCTTTATCCTCGGTCGAGAGAAGCTGAAACGAGTCGGAAGGCAACGAGGTGGACACGGGAGGTTCAACAGCGGGCAAGGAGGACAGATATCGAGGCATAGCTGCAAAAAGCGGTTTCGATGCTGCTGTTCTTATTGTAGGTCTGGCTGCGAGCCTGTCAAGGCTCCTGGGGAGTCGTCGAAGCATGGTTCTTTGCAATTTTACTGACCTCTTCTAAACATTCCAAACTGTAGTAAGAGGGAGATGAACAAGTTGCACTCCCATGAATTTTAGCATTAGAAAAGGTGCACCTCAATGAGCCCCGCGGACACCAGCCCGAATTTGCTTTGTAAGAAGTCAACACCGCGATGGTGTAGAAGAATGATGTCGAGGGCTCCCAAAGATGCTGGAGATCAAGTAGCCTCTTGCGACTTCGGGCCGGCAAGCGATGAGCTCCGGCAGGGGTTGTGGGGGATTGCTCTTGAGGAGAAAAGGAGGGCTGGCAACAGCCTCGGGAATCGGCGAGTCGGTTAGGCTCGGAGCCATCTTTGTTGGTGAGAAGCTGTCCACCGAAAATGCGCCTTTCGCTAGGGTTTGTCCCTAACAACAGATTCGGAGTTCACATTTTTTGGTTCAGAAGCTCAAAGCTCGTGCATGCTGCTGTTGTAGAGACTGTTATCTTTCTGCTTCCGCCTTCACCAGCAGCCATCATACACTGCTTCTTCCCGGCATCGATATCTTCCCCCTTTGCGTCCATTGAAGTCGACGTACCCCGCACAGGAAGTCCGCACTCAGCAACAATCGAGACTGAAGTGTGAAAAGGAGGATCATTGATCACCATGGCTACCACAACTAGGACAACCCAGCACGCCCTAAGAAGCCTTCGTACTGCCTCTTCAACCCGCCCTTATGCTTCCTTCACCCTCCGGACATACGCCTCCGCCGCCGAGCCCGACCTCAAGGCCACGCTCCAGTCCGTGATTCCCGAGAAGAGAGAATTGCTCAAGCAGGTCAAGAGCCATGCCGACAAGAAGATTGGAGACATCACTGTCGGCCAAGTTATCGGCGGGATGAGAACAATGAAGTCCATGGTTTGGGAAGGCAGCGTGTTGGACGCCAATGAAGGAATCCGTTTCCACGGCCGAACCATCGCCGACTGCCAAAAGGAGCTTCCAAAGGGCACCTCTGGGACCGAGATGTTGCCTGAGGCCATGTTCTGGCTCCTTTTGACCGGCAAAGTCCCTTCTACCTCCCAAGTCCGAGCCCTGTCACGCGAATTGGCCCAGAAGTCAGACCTGCCGCCCCATGTCGTTTCCATGCTCCGCTCGTTCGACAAGAATGTCCATCCAATGACCCAGCTGTCATGTGCCGTTGCCGCTCTGAACACCGAATCCACATTCGCGAAGAAGTATGCCGAGGGTATGAACAAGGCGGACTACTGGGAGCCTACCTTTGATGACAGCATCAGCCTCCTGGCCAAGCTGCCTCGAGTGGCTGCGGCCATCTTTGACAAAGCTGCCCTCGACATGCCCTTGGACCTTGACCAAGATTGGGCCTACAACTTTGCTAAGCTCCTCGGGAAGCCAGGAAAGGAAAATGCAGGGTTCCAGGACTTGCTTCGTCTCTATCTTGCCCTCCATGGTGACCATGAGGGTGGCAATGTCTCGGCTCACGCGACTCACCTGGTCGGCTCCGCTCTTTCTGATCCGTTCTTGTCGTACTCTGCTGGTTTGCTAGGTCTGGCCGGACCTCTGCATGGTCTTGCTGCCCAGGAGGTGCTCCGCTGGATCCTGAAGATGCAATCGCAAATCGGTGAGAACTTCTCCGACAAGGACGTCAGAGACTACCTTTGGTCTACTCTTCGCTCCGGTCAGGTTGTTCCGGGTTACGGACACGGTGTGCTCCGCAAGCCTGATCCGCGCTTCAAGGCCTTGATTGATTTCGGCGATGCCCGTGAGGATATTGCGAAGAACCCCGTGTACCGGCTGGTCAAGAAGAACAGCGAGATCGCACCGGGCGTGCTGACCGAACACGGCAAGACCAAGAACCCTCATCCGAATGTGGACAGTGCCTCGGGTGTCCTCTTCCACCACTATGGTTTCCAGGATCCCTTGTACTACACTGTTACTTTCGGAGTCAGCAGAGGTCTTGGGCCTTTGGCTCAGTTGATCTGGGATCGTGCTCTCGGCATGCCGATTGAACGACCTAAGAGTATCAATCTCGAAGGTCTCATGAAATTGGTGTAACTTTGTCTGTCTAGCAGGAATCGTTGTACATAAACTTGCCTTGTCTACGCGGATGGATCGGCGTCCTTCAGTCTGTTCTGTTCAGACAGCAGGGCGCTTCTCAAAATGATAGTAAAATTCCAGAATCGAGTACTTCAAACTGCACTGCGACATTTTCTTTGGTGGTGAGGTATGCCGGGACGGAATAACCTTGTTCCGACCTAATTGTTTGAACTGCTGTGCACCATCACTGTCCGCTGTCTACCACTCACAATCTTTCATCGATGAGTCTATTTGACTGTTTAAACTTCAGCAAAAGAAATGAGACGATACACCTCGATCCTTCGAATGGCCTCCATTCCTGTCAGAAAGAACGAGATTTCACCCTTGCACCCGCACCCCGACGAACTCCCTCAGTGCCTCTAACAATCATTTACTGACAGCCATTATATCCTTGCTGCTGCCACATTTTTACACTTTTAACAGTCATTTGGCCGCCGTCCTTCCACGTTGGATACCACGTGTTACGTGCGTTCCAGAAATCCTTCTTCGCAGTCTGACTAGCGTCGACCCAGGGTTTACCATTTTTGCCGTCATCAAACCAGCCGTTCGTACCGCCCACGGCGACATTCAGAATGAGATAGAAGTCTTGGTCGAATGGTGTCGATGCTCGGTTGTACTTGGACCACGGATCAACAATGCGAGTACCGTTTTCGTCAGCCTGAGGGAAGTGGCCACGGCTCCAGAGCGGCTTGTCGAAGTTGGTGTACAGCACCTGCAGCAGCCGCGTGTCGATATACGTGAAGATATACTTCTCCGACCATTCGAGCCCGAATGTATGGAACTTCTTGGCAAAAGTTGTGTGTAATGCGTTTCTCTTGACGTTGGTGCGCCACCAGGCATCATTGGCAGAGTCTGGGCCCCAATGCAGAGCGCTCGAAACGATATTGTTGCCACCTTGCGGATAGGTGTGGTTGTTACCTCGAGACTCAACGATATCAATCTCTCCAGATTGCGGCCACACCCCGTACTTGGCGTCAACAGGGAGCAACCAGATTGCCGGCCACAGCCAGTCACCTTCAGGCAACTTCGCTTCGACCTCAACTCGACCATACTTGATCACTGCGCCTTTCTTTGTGTTGATGCGCCCGGACTTGACGGGGTTGATGATAGTGCCATTGGTCGTATTTGTCCCTATGATGCAGTTGCTCCAGACTGATGATGTGCATATGCCGCTAGCCTGCAGGTTAATCACATTATTGGTCTCGATCAATCTAGGATCTTGAAGGGTCGGCTTGATATGGAGCATTCCGTCCTTCACAAAAACATTCTCCTCCGTAACGGTGGTCTCCTCGAACTGGCCATTGCCGAAGCCTCCGACCTCGGCTTCTTTAGTCCAAATTTTCGAGTCAAAGCCATCCGAGAAATCTTCCAAATACACCGGACAGTACTTGTGATTGACCACGGTTTGAAGACCATCCCAGATGAGCAAACCGGCAAGCCCCAAACCGATCGCAAGTCCAATTAGGGGGATGATTGTTACCCACTTCTCTCGAGGATCTTTGACCTTTGTCCACGGCCGCTCCACCTCTCCTTTCTTGACTCTGCGAGAGTGGAAGTATCTCTGGTTGAGCACCGGTTGAGAGAGTACTGCCGATGACGCCGCCCTCGACGGATCTCCAGAAGCATATGGGGTGAGGAAGGGATTCATGGGCTTCTCCTGTTGGTATCCCCCACTCGCAATTGCGGAGTCTGGCGAACCAGCTCGAGGCGTTGCGTCGAGACTCATCGTGGAGTCCGCTCGAGAATAGCTTGGACGAGAAAAATGCGTCATGGTGAAGATGGAGAGAGCTGAGCGGCGATATTGTTCAAAGTTTTGACGTGGTAGGGTAAGCTGGCCGACTGTGAGGCTCTGCACGCTCTTTGACAACAGAAATGGCGACTGAACAGCCAAACGTGCCGGCAGCTGTCATGGAACGAGCTGTGGCATGAGAACAAGTTTAGTGCCAATCTTGCACTTCCAAAATGCTGACGAAGGCGTACTTCCAGGTCGGCGCAGAAAAATTGAGTCTGTCTCGGCCCGGTTGCTCATATGTCTCAGCGTACAACGACCAAGATCGAGCGACGAATCGAGCGAGCCGCTTTTTACCAGTCTCCCTGAATATCTTGACCGAGATAAAAGGGCTCCCTCTCCCATATAATGCAGCCACTTCTCCACAAGCACGAAGAAGAGCTGTGGTTGCGTGCGACAAAGTGGAAATCAAGAAGCATACACCTAATTCTGCAGACGCTGGGCAGGGATGGAAACTCCGTGTAAGAGAGTGAGTCTCTATATTTACCACCAATCTGTCCCTGGCGTGTCTGAGATGGCACCACATCCTGCATCACGCATAGAGATCTGGCCTGACCATGTCCAGTCATGAAGCATCGTTTGCTCCCCTTGCATGCCCGTTTGAGATGAGGCTGGCTTAGACCGAAATAGGAATAGTTGTGGGCCTATGTCTGTGCTGACCTGTCAGGTAAGGCCCTTGCACAACATCCCTTTCTTCTATTCTCCCTGTTCCAGATATCTTCAGCTCCCTTCTGGACTGTATTGGACTAGCCACATCCACATCAGAATGGTTTTCCTTCTTGATACGTCGGGCGTCCGCTATTTTGGGCCCGGAAAACCAGTATCGCTACCGAATTTCGACCCCTGGCAATGACTGCTGTCGCAGACGCTTTTGATGGTGTCTCATCGCGGGGCTCATGTCGAGTGCGAAAGAACCCGGGTGGGTTCACGATGGACAAGGGGTTTGGTAAGCCGAAAGCCAAATCTTGCTCTTGTTGTGGAAAGCGGCTTTGGTTGTCATCTCATGTTTGGATCGACAAGTCCTTGAGGCTAGAGGCTGCTGCAGCCACAATCTCTGCTACCCTCCGTGGATATCAATGTCTACTGTTGGTCCGTCGTTGAGACCACATATGGTCCTTCATAAAACATCGCGGGAAGGAGTGGTATCGTCAATGTCAAAAGCAATCCCTAGACTTTCTCTTCTTACTAACAAAGCACGTCTCCTCCTTCTCTGTCCCATTTCCTTGTCACTGTGCTTCAAGAGTGGTAATTCTCTCTATTCGAACACTTCAATAGGAGCGGGCATCTCACGATTGGTGCCATGAATCTAAATCAGCAAACAGCGCAGCGAACGATCTCGCCTGGGTCAGTGACCCGGCAAGAAATTTCCGCGTCGATGTCGCCTCCAACTTCTGGCTCACCCATTCAAAGCTTTCCCCATTCTAGTGCTTCTCCTTCGCAAAATGATGCCGCATCTATCAGTGGCAGGTCGATGCGGAGCGTCCGAAGTGCCCTCGAAGACATCAAACATGAGGTTATGGTGAACCATCTCTATCAGCAACAATGTTCGCGCCTCTGGGTCAGCGACGGGAGCGGAGAAATCGAAGGGGTGGTGCTACGAAAATCTCGTGGCATCTATCTATCATGCCCACCAACGCTCCGAGACTCACAATTTGGACAAGTTTGTGCCGAGCTCAATGTACAGGTAGGCTACATCACCCGGGTCCGAACAATGAACTCATTCGAAAATAGGTTGCGATGACCGTGAACTCAAGAGTCATCAAAACCTTCCTGGCTTGGGCTCCTGATGCTACAGATGTTCCTCTGACGAACGGCCTGCGAGTCCAGATCCTACCCACGATTTCTCACCTACCACGTGCGCGGAAATATCAATTCGCTGCCTTCATTGCCGCCGACTCCTTGTTGGTTGTATGGGACGATGACCCTTCAAACGTTATGAAAAGAGCAGCTTCCATCGAGTCCGAGCTGATGGAACTGGTCTGGCACACCGGCGAGGACGGGAATGAGGAAGTCACCAACGAAAAGCATGGAGCTTCCGCAGTTTCTGTCGATTTCGAATCCGGAGAGCTGCTGCCCCAGGAACGCCCCACGAATCTGATGAATACCATCCTAGTCGCGTTCACACTAATCATCGTTGTCACATTGCTTGGTTTGGCATGTCGGTCTTTGGCAACTGAGATCGCCGTCGATGGCTCATACATTCGTCTTGCTTTTCTCTCCTTGGTTCCTGTACAGATCTTCTTTACTTTGGTAAGTCACATCTTTGGTTCACCGGACTTGCTAATGGATCCTCAGTTCTTCGCCCAAGTCATCGTTGGCTGCGTGGCACAATGCCTTGGACCTATACAACAGATGCAACTCAACTCCAAATACTTTTCGGCAAAATGCTCTCCACGATTACGCACGCCCACTTTGCCGCATGTCACTGTTCAGTGCCCTGTCTACAAGGAGGGACTTATCTCAGTGATTGCGCCAACGGTCAAATCCATCAAGCACGCCATCTCAACGTACGAGCTGCAGGGCGGCACTGCAAACATGTTCATTAACGACGATGGCCTGCAGATTATTGACGAAGAGCAACGGAAAGCACGGATCGACTTCTACCAGGACCACAATATTGGCTGGACTGCTCGTCCAAAACATGGCAGCGAAGGCTTCGTTCGTAAGGGCAAGTTCAAAAAGGCCTCCAACATGAACTATGGGTTGATGCTGTCATGCAAAGTCGAGGACAAACTTCAGAGATATCACCGCAACTCCGCCTGGACTCCAAATGACGAGTCCGAAGCCTATGACCAATGCTTGCGAGAAGTTCTTGACGAAACCCCACGGGCATGGGCCGATGGTAATATTCGGGTAGGAGATTATATCTTGTTGATCGACAGTGATACCAGAGTGCCAGTAGACTGCCTGCTAGATGCGGTGAGCGAGATGGAACAATCTCCCGACGTTGGAATCATGCAATTCGCATCCGGCGTCATGCAGGTTGTGCATACCTTTTTCGAGAATGGCATCACCTTCTTCACCAACCTCATCTACACAGCTATTGAGTACACGGTTGCAAATGGCGACGTCGCCCCGTTTGTGGGCCACAATGCCATTCTTCGGTGGAGTGCCATCCAACAGGTCTCCTACACCGACGAAGACGGCTACGAGAAATTCTGGTCCGAGTCGCACGTTAGCGAAGACTTCGACATGTCCCTGCGCCTTCAATGCGACGGCTATATCATCCGACTGGCGTCCTGGGCCCACGGGGGTTTCAAGGAGGGCGTCAGTCTGACCGTGTACGACGAACTTGCTCGGTGGGAAAAGTACGCGTACGGATGCAACGAGCTTCTCTTCCATCCCATGAGGAAGTGGATCTACAAAGGGCCCTTTACTGAGCTCTTCCGACGGTTCCTCTTCTCCAACATCCGGTTCACCTCCAAGATCACCATCATCAGCTACATTGGCACATACTACGCCATTGGCGCCGCCTGGATTATGACCCTAGCCAACTACTTCGCCATCGGCTGGTTCAACGGGTACTTGGACAAGTACTACATCGACAGTTGGAAAGTGTGGTTCAGCATCGTGATCGTCTTCAACGGCCTGGGAAACATCGCCCTCGCCGTCATGCGGTACCGCATCGGCCAGAAATCATTCGGCCCAGCTCTTCTGGAGAACTTCAAGTGGATTGTCATGCTGTCCATCTTCCTGGGCGGCCTCTCGCTCCACGTCTCCCAAGCGCTGCTGGCGCACATGTTCGAAGTCGACATGACCTGGGGCGCCACCTCCAAGGAAGCCGAGTTCTCAAACTTCTTCATCGAGGTGCCCAAGGTAGTCCGAAAGTTCAAATTCAGCATCGCCTTCGCCCTCGTCGGGATCGTCGGCATGATCGTCCTGGCCACGAATCCCGGGGGCTACATCCCATTCGACTGGCTGATCAAGGATTTCATTGCCATTTTGCCCATGAGCACAGTTACTGCGAGCCATCTACTGTTACCGATCGTGTTGAATCCGGCGTTGATGACGTTCTCGTGGTGACAAAGCATGATCCAGGAATCCATGGCCGGGCAACCCAGTCGCTTGAACAGTGGCTTGTGGTTGGAAGCGGTGTATTCTCGGGCTGGGCGGACAGATCTGGCGGTCTGGACCAGAAAATGGATAGATAAACTTGGTCGGCTTGGAAGTTCGCAATGCTTTTGGCGCTGCTATAGTCTTCTTCATATGGGTGGATGGTCTTTGGCACAAGGGGTGTCTTCAGTAATTGACGTAACTCTTCGATATACCGAGACAGTCACAGATAAGGCACAAATTACAATACTCCGTCATACCACTACTCTTTATCTCAAGGCCAGGGAACTTTTTTCCTCCCGCAAATTACGATGGCGAACGAGGAGCACGGGACATGAAGAGAATGGGGTTCGTCCCAGTCCGAGATGAGGTGTATATACTTCCATTCATTCAAATGTTGAATAGCGGATACTAATTTTGATACACCGCCCATCACGACACCTTAAGCACTGCCCTGCCTGCAAGCTTGCCGGCAACCATGAGATCGATATACTTGTCCAGATCCTCCAGAGTTCCCTTGGTCAGGATCGGCTGAGGAGAGAGATATCAGTTAGCAACATAGGGACTCGTGGCGGCTGTAAAAGGGGTCCTTGTTGACTTACATGGACCAAACCCCGAGCGGTGAAGTCAAGTGCTTCTTCAACGTCCTTCAATGTACCGACGACGCTGCCCACAACGTTCAATTTCTTTAGGCACAGCATGAGGGGAGGTGCACCAGCGAGGACTGTTGGATCCTTTGGCAGGCCAACAGCAACTACGGTGCCGCCTGGACGAAGCAGTCCAGGTGCAGAGGCGTAGGCTTCCTTTGTGGCCGCCGTGACAATGACTCCGTGGGCTCCGTACTTGGTAATTCGCATGACCTCGGCGGCGATATCCTGGGTCTTTGTGAAGTCGATAAACTCTTCGGCGCCCAGCCGTTTGCAAAGATCGCGTTTCTCATCCCCACCATCGATGGCGATGATCCTCATACCCTAGATGACGCGGTGAGCCTTGTTTGCGGACTGTATTTGCGTAATATCATACCATAGCCTTAGCATATTGCACTGCGAAATGGCCGAGACCGCCACCAGCTCCCGGAAGTACCTATGGCAGGGTGGTGAGTAGGGTTCGCGATACCTCAGCCGATCAACACGTACAATCCACTGCCCGGGCTTCACGGCGCTTCTCTTGCAAGCCGTGTATGCCGTGACTCCTCCGCACATGATAGGACCAGCCTCCTCGTCGGTAACGCCTTCTGGAATGCGAGTGGTATATCGTCCGTCGCTCAAAGCGTATTCTTGGAACGTCCCAGCTTGGCTGAAGCCCGAGTTCTTCTGGTTCGGACAATGGAGCTCATCGACGCCGTTTGTGCAGAACTCACACTCGCCACAGGTACCCCAAACCCATTTGATGCCGGCACGATCTCCTACCTTCCACCGATGATGCATGTCGTCTCCAACTGCAACGACAACACCTGCACCCTCGTGGCCGGCAATACCTTTTGTGGCCGGCAGCATTGACAGACCAAACGACGCCCACTCATCCTTGATCAAGGACTTGTCCGAAGCGCAAAGACCGGTCCTGCTTGGCTATCAGATACGGAAAACTTGCTTTCGGGAAGAACTTGCCAGTTGATCTTGACCAGGATTTCACTGGGTCCAGGGGTTGGCACATCGACCTGTTTGACAGGGGCTTTGGAATCAGCACCCTCACCAACTTTGACCGCAGCCTTCTGTTGTTTGGGAATCGATACTGTAGTCATGGTGGTTGCGTCGGTGGTTCAGTGCAAGGATCACGGTGAGACTAAATCAAAGGGAAGGTTGATTTCCTGACAATTAAGAAGACCAAGGGGAAGCAGCAAGGCCACCCAAGGGAGCACAAGACGAGGTTTTATAGCGTTGAGCCAGCCTATGATACATGTGATGCAGGACAGCATCCTTTAGTCCTCGGCATGCTCCCCCTGCAGCTCGAGTCGATTGCATAGAGTCGCGCCCCGCAGTCACTGGAGATGCAAAGCAGCCTTATTCGGTCGAGGGCTGTCGAAAGGCGGGGTACACGGTCAGGAGATGTGGAGATATTGAGGATGGAGGACGTAAGTAGCACTGGGCCAAAGCATGGTCGACGGGGTCCGACAGATACAGCAATTTGTATCTCCCTTGGCTGGGGAGCTGATTGGTCTTCAAGTCATTGGCATGCGTTGATCGCTTGCCGGTAGCACGAGCCGAATTGACATCTGTGGCCTGCACTAGGTACGGAGCCCATGGTCGGAGGATGAAAGCGATCTGGGAGGTGGTGGCGGCTTGACCCTTTCGGAACACTAAACATGGAGTTGACGCAGACACAGTCAGTAGACGATAGCGAACTCGCTGGCATGGAGAGAGACCATCGCGATGTGGGATGGGTGTACAACAGCTGTCACAGGACGGAGTACCATGTACCTATGAGGAGGTATCGAGTCAGGGAGAAGATCATATCAGTGATGGCTGTTGGCGGAGGGGCGCAGGAGGGCGCAGGCAGCGAGTAATCAATCCATACCAGGCAAGTGAGCCGTACGAAATACGGCTCCGACCAACACGCGGAACGCCACCGTCCTCCGGCCACATCACTGCGCATCCAATGGAGCCGGCACTGGAGCGTGGGTCTTTGGCTCTGCATTATTTCCTCAATCAATCCTCCTCTCCCTCCTCCTCATCCTCCTCGTCTTCCCCATTTTCCTTTTGTCGGGTGAACGGGTGAACGGAGGACATCTCACAGGTGCACCGGCCCGCCTTCCTAGAAACATTGCGTACTGCTTTGCTGTGCTTGTTCAGCACGACCGAACTGGAAAAGCCACGCATCAGCTCATCCACCATGGTGCTCGCCGTATGGACCTATGTTGCCCGGTGAAGTATGAAGTCTCGGGATTGGCTGACGCCCTCGCTGCCCAGGCTATTGGCCAGATCTGCTCGAATGCATCCATGTCCCATAACCTCGCGCAATGCCAGAAGCTGGTGCAAAAAGCCGTGGCCGCTGGAGCAAAGGTAGGTGGGATGCTCGTATTCTCGTCCAGGGTCCCTGGCTCTCCATCTCGACGAGGCCATCGACCTGATCCTCACCAGCGAATCCATCTTTCTAGGCACTCTTCCTCCCTGAGGCCTCCGACTACATCGCCTCCTCAGCAGCAGAATCGGTAGAGCTCTGTCAAGATGTCTCCCATAGCCCCTTTGTCCGCGGCCTTCAACAAGCTGCCAGAGCTCATTCCTTGCCCATCAATGTCGGAATCCACGAACCAACAGTTCCACCCTCCAAGAGAATCCGTAACACCTTGATCTGGATCGATAAAGAGGGGGATATCGTACACAGGTACCAGAAGCTGCACCTTTTTGACCTTGATCTTCGTCCAAATGGACCGAGGTTGAAGGAGAGTGACTCGACCGAGCCGGGCCATGAGATTGTTTCGCCATTTTCGACCTCCCTGGGCAAGATTGGTAGCCTGATTTGCTTTGACCTGCGATTCCCGGAGCCCGCACTCAGGTTGCGTAGGCAAGGCGCCGATATATTGCTCTACCCGTCCGCATTCACCGTCCCGACCGGAAAACTACACTGGGAGATCTTGCTGAGATGTCGAGCCATCGAGACTCAGTGCTGGGTCATAGCTTCAGCGCAGTGTGGTAGACACAACGGGAAGCGCGTGAGTTATGGTGATACCATAGTCATTTCGCCAAATGGCCAGATTGTGGGGCGGCTGGACCACGTGGACGACACTGAGAAGGAGGAAGAACAAGCGCGGGAGCCGGATATTCTCACAGTTGACATTGATCTCGATTCACTGAGAGACGTCAGACGAAGCATCCCCTTGCTTAGAAGGACCGACGTCTATCCGGAGATCTAACATGGCCGAATGCAATGTACATTTTAAATGACCCGACAATCTTACTCTCTGGTACCGAAACCCCGACTGTCGGTTTCACAGCCGGATTCCCATGCTTCAAGCCGATGCGTCCATCTTCCAGGGCTCAAGGCCATCACTCATTGTGATATTCCTGGGGCCTGTTGAGGACACTGTGAGAGCACGCGGGCCTGCCACCTCTACGCATTCAACTGTCCCGCATTGGGAAACGGTATTCTGTGCGCAAGACGGTCGAGACGGGCCATGTTTCGATATGTCGACAGGTTAGCTCCGGGGCCAACCTCTGGCATAGATACAAAGGAGGACCCTGGCCGTTATACAATGCGGCAAATGTCGATATGACCATCCAATCTCCCCCTTCAATTCCGACACATCGGAACCTCTGTAGCCTACAGCATTGCCCGTTTCACCTTCTCTTGTTCGATGGAATGCTGTTGTTTCAACAAAAGCTGCGGTCTCCCTTTCTCAGTACAGCATATCTTCCCTGGTGATGACCACATAGATATATATATTTAATTTCCGGTTGAGAACATGTCCTTTGAAGGCGGAGATAGTGCCTCACAATACGTTGTACGTTAGGCGTCCATCGGAGACTTCGTACAAGAATCGCAGCTGGCCCTCCTCATCACGGCTCTCTTTTCACGTTATTCCTACCTATCGTTGATAGCCGCTGCAAAGGGTCACCGATACTGATGACGACTACGTCCTGCAGGAAGGGAGAATGGGTCATTTTGCTGCTGTGCCGGTCCGCCACATGCATTATTGCCCAAGACTGCGAAGATGTGCCGAGAGAGAAAACCCCGCCAAACAGGATCGACAGGATTTGACGGGCCGAGCTGGATGGAGAAGGCGCTGAACAACCGTCCAGGGTCGACTTTGTCCTCTGAGCCGGAGACGAAGACCTGCTGAAGATACAACTCTACCCTGAGAGGATAGGCGGGTTCTTTCTTTTCTGCGAAAAACATCTCCTCGGTTGAACAGGAACCCGGTCGAAAAGTGACATGTGTTCTGGGGCGAACCAGTTCAGCCCTCCAGAGTCTATCTCAACCTGCGCAGAAGGCTGGAGCGCTAATTAGCCCATCTCGAAGCATGGATTCCATTGATGGACCCTTTCCGGGGCAAGTTATCACACTCCTTGACGCCCCCAATGGTTGACCCCATCTTTGATCGTCGTACATGCCTCGCCTTTGCCGTATATCCGATAACGGAGCTTTTTAAATCCAGCGCCATGCGGCCGCTTGTGACGAAGACAGACCTTGCTGGCACGACATCTATTCGCGTTGCTGTTCAATATATTTTCAGCAGTGGTTTACTGCCGACGTTCATCATGGTGGTGATCATGATGCATACGACTTGACATTGGCGCCAATTGCAAGGAGATGGCAGGACCCGAACCAACAACCACCCGAACACCGTTTGCTTCGGCTTCCTCGTCCACTCTCGACGACACTCCGGAGATGGAGAAGCCTGAAACGCCTCTCGAAACTGGATCAGACATTCTGGCGCTCAAGGAAATCGACACAGGCGAACAGGCCGTTGTTCCAGAACATGCACCTTCAACTCGTGGGCCTCGCAGCGACCTCGTCGAATTCGATGGCCCCGACGATCCAGAAAACCCCAAGAATTGGTCAAACGCAAAACGTTGGGGGATTACCGCTTCCATGGGTCTTATGGTATGTTGTTCAAGAATCCCGACTACCGACGTCCTTTTCTGTACAGAGACCAGGTCGCTGATATAGTATTGAAAGACCTTTGTCGTGACCTTTGCGAGCTCGATCTATTCCGTTGCCATTCGGCCTGTCGCCAAAGAATATCATATAGGCGAGGTCTCGTCTACCCTGGGGGTGTCCCTCTTCCTTCTTGGGTTTGTGTTTGGACCTATCCTGTTTGGACCAGCATCGGAAGTTTTTGGCCGCCGGATCCCTCTCTTTGTGGGATACCTCGTCTTCGCCGTCTTCCAGATTCCGGTGGCCGTCGCTCAGAATGTAGAGACGATCATGCTCGGTCGTTTCTTCGGAGGATTTGCCGCTTCGGCGCCATTGGCTGTCGTCGGAGGCGCCATGGCTGATATCTGGGGACCCATCGAGAGGGCGTATGGGATTTGCGTGTTTGCGGCCTCTGCCTTCACAGGTCCAGTTGCTGGGCCCATCATTGGCGGCTTTGTCACCCAGTCATATCTTGGCTGGCGATGGACCGCCTGGATTACCTTGATCATGACGGCACTGTTTGGATGCATTGGCCTGGTCTTGATCCCTGAGACCTCGGCCGCAAGGATTCTGCAAATGAAAGCGAAGCGACTGCGATACGAAACGCAAAACTGGGCACTACACGCCAAAGCGGACGAGAGCCGAGTCAACATAAAGACACTGACGACCATATATCTCGTCCGGCCGTTTGTCATGTTTGTGCAGGAGCCAATCCTCGCACTCATCACCGCATACATGAGCTTCATCTACGGCATCCTGTATCTCCTTTTCGAGGCCTATCCCATCTCGTTCCAGGAACAACGGGGTTGGAACCCCGGGGTCGGATCCCTCCCGTTCGCCGCGTTCATCGTCGGCATTGCCATGGGGACAGGTATGATCGCCTACTCAACCCGGACCAATTTCACAAAGGCCTTCAAGAAACACGGCAGGGTCATCCCCGAAGAGAGGCTGCCCCCCATGATCGTCGGAGCCGCCGTTCTCCCGATCGGTCTGTTTCTATTTGCTTGGTAAGGACCACTCTCGCTCGCTATTCCTACAAGCCTGTTTAACAGGGAACATTTCTTTTACTGACCCCATCGCAGGACTTCTGATCCACACATCACCTGGGTCCCGCAAGTCCTCGCCACGGCGCTCCTGGGCATGGGATGCCTGTCGACGTTCTGGCAGGGCACAAACTTCATCATTGATTGCTATGGGTTCTACTCCAACAGCGCCATCGCGGTGAACACCTTCGTTCGGTCCATAGCTGGCGCCGGCTTCCCCCTGTTCGCCCCGGCCATGTACCACAACCTGGGTGTGCCTTGGGCGACTTCGCTCCTGGCATTTCTTTGCCTGGTGTTCTTTCCGGTCCCGGTCCTCTTCTACATATATGGCGCGAAGATTAGACAGAGATCGAGGTTCAGGCCCGTGGGCTGAGACAGTCTTGGGTTGGCTGCAAGCAAAACAACAGAATGCCTCTCTCTCTCCAGCTGAGGGAAAATTGAGATGAAGTGTTGCGTTAGAGATCTCTCTCCCTGCTGTGACAAAACCTTCCCCATCTTTCCCCCAGGGATCAGAACAACTTTGTCGAGGAAAGGACTCCGGACCGGACGAGACAAGATGTCAGCACTGCCATAGGCGTTCCGCCTAAACCACATGGCTCGCGGCTACAAGCCTATGACGAGAAGGAAACGGCACATAACCGACTCCAAGATGCGAGTACGATATCCGTGATAGAGCTGCCCGTCATCAAGGAATAGTGTTGACAAGGCGAGAATGAGACATCATGTCGAAGGAATAAATTGGTTTGGTGAGAGAGAGAGAGTCCATACATATAAGACAGCGTTGTTTAATATTAGTGTAGTGGCAGTCCCATCTCGCAATGGAGACAGATTTTGCTCTGGCGAGCAGTGGCTTTGCACCTTTTGATTTTGAGCGATAGCTCTATTAAACAGGAGCAAAGCCTCTCGTAGTTCACTGCTCCCACATCAATCGAATGTGTCTTGGCAATCCATGGTCAGATTGAGGACAGAAACTGAGGACAACTACATTCCCCCACCCCGATTTTGGAGGCACTGCAGTCCAGTCCGTTGTTGCGTTAACACATTCCGCCTTTTTCAAGCCTTGATCTCCATCTCGACAACTTCAGCATTCACCAAAGTCTTATCAAGCTTGGCTCTCTCTTCAGCGGAGAGATGGGTGAGATCGATGGCGACCTCATCCCCGAATTTCTTCCCGACTTCTTCAAGGGCTAGTCCTTTGGTCTCAGGGTAGAACAGCGCCATGATCGTGGCTCCAAACAACGGGACGATGATGAAAATGAGGTAGTATTTCCAGCCGATGTTGTTGAATGCGACAGGAGCGCACATGGTGTAGATCAAGCTGAAGGCAAACAAACCAGAGACACTGAACCCGGCGCCTTGGGCGCGGATTGAAGTTGGGAAGATCTCGGAAGAGTAAACGTAGGATGAGGCGTCCATTGAGCCGCCGAAGAAAGTCACAACTAGTTTGGAGTCAGTTGTTGAAGGGTAGGCATTGCATTTGACGGTGACTTACATAGGTAGAGGAAGAAGACGCCGAATCCATTCCCCACTCGATTGTCGGTCCCGCCGTATCTCGCAAGACAAGCGGTAAACCCAGCAACGGAGATAGAACAGCCAATCTAGATCATCAGTAACGATTGCAGGTGAGAGATCACAAGCAGCGTACCTGTCCAACAACCATGATTGGAATGCGGCCGACTTTGTCTAGTAAGAGTGCGTTGATGAAGTTCATGAAAGCGGCCCAAGTGTCCCAGAGTGCGTACAGCATCAGAGGCATTGCCCCGTATAGACTGAGGCCGTTGTAAAGAAGCACTTGATAGTTGTTGATGACCAGGCATCCTGTGCTCTGGACCAGGCCCCTGCGACTGTTAGCAGATGGTTCAACCTCAAAGGTGCCAATTGACGAAGGATATTCGCTGAAGTGCCCAGACACAAGACAGTGGACCGTCTGTGTAATCCATGGTCGACGACTCTTCAATGCTAGGATAATAACGCATACCGCGATGGCGGTCAATGAAAACGAAAGGCTGTCAGACAAAACTCACAGGAGGAGAAAGCCAAAGAGCAAGCGTTTTCGGTAAGACTTTCTCGAAAACAAGAGAACCCAGCCTTTGACCCAGCCTTGTCTCCAACCTTCGCGCTTCTCCAGGTCTAGCTGTTGACGGATTTGATATAGCTCTTCTCGGGCAATAGTGTCGTCCTCATCTTCAGGGTGGTGATGCAATCGTTTGAGGATCTCGAAGCCTTGCTCTTGCATGTCGTTTGCAACCAGATATCGAGGCGACTCAGGAAGCCACGGAGAGCCGACCAATAGGCATAGCGGCGGAACGATTTGAAGGGCGAGGCAAAGACGCCACTGAGCCACCTGGTTCTTCAAGAAATAGCAGCCGTAGCCCGTCCATCCGGCTAGCCCCTGTACCAAGTGTGAGAGATCAGTTAGACTGAGAAAGGGGACAGGAAACTTACGTATCCAACGCACAAAATAAACCCATGACTGCCTACCATTCTCCCACGTGAGTGGGCAGGGGAAACTTCTGATTGATAGAGAGGTGTGATGACATTGACCATGCCGACGCCCAAGCCCATCATGAAGCGAGCAACCAAGAACATGGCAATGTGGACGGATCCAGCCTGGAGAGCACCCGCAACGATACAAATGCAGGCAGTGACTTGTATGGACCTCTTCCTGCCCACCCTGTCGGCCAGCCATGTAATGAGATAGCAGCCTATGAACCCACCTCCGGCGAAGAGTCCATTGGTTGCTACCGATAGCATGTCAGTCGTACTTCGTCAATCTCCATACTTGGGGGATTGTCAAACGCTCACCTCCAGTGATTCGGGAGCCACCGCTTGACTTGATGTCGATGTTGAAGTATTGGAAGAAGGACGGCAGGCCAATGACGGCGCCAATGATCGCCGAATTGTACCCATAAGTCAAGGACCCGAAGGTCACAAAGAAGACGACGAGAAAGTTGTATCTGTTTCCTGCACCCATTTCGAGAGTTCGCGGAATAGTCAAGAGGTCTCTGGCTGACTGTTCTGGTGATTCATGATGGGTTGCAGCCTTTATGCCAGCTTCTGCAACGGGTCTGGATGCGTCCTCTGGAAACAGCTTGTGGAAGTCCAGGGCTTCTCCAAGCAACGGCAGTTTGATGGCATCCCCTCTACCCCAAGGGGAAGGACATAGTCAAAAGTGCAATATCACCCATCGGTAGGTCCTTTAGCGAGATTGGGGTACATGCCGACCAGGAGCGCATGGCGCAGGATTGTCACTCCCAAGAATAGTCATCTGAATCTGGACCTTCCAAATCCGATACGGGCTGCTGCTGTTCAATCCCAATGACACCCTCCCTGACTGCCCCACAAGACCACATCTCCGCAAAGTTGGGGAAGACGACGAGGAGCACTTTGGAGTTGGAGGCGATAAGCTGGTATGTACTCCGTCCTTGGACATGATGTGACTTTTGTTAGTGTCTGGAAGCGATCAGGGGATGCGCGGGCTCTTCATACAAGCTGGCAGCAGCTCCAACAGAACCGGCAGATGGCAATCACACCATGTCGGCAGCCAAGTTGTTCGATACCTGCTTGAGTCCGACCAGGCACCAAACTGGTCAAGCCAGGATCTGGGACAGCTGCTTGAGGATGGGGCGAGCAGCTAGCTTGCCAACAGGTATGGGCTGGGCGAATCATGGCTAGATGGCCGTCGGACGCCTGAACCGGGCTCTCTGTGGGGCAGCTCGAGACCGAGCTCTCGCCGGAGGTGAGCTCTTCGTCGCCTTTGCGGGGAGAGAGTGCGAGGGCTAGGCGAGGGAAAGGATGGGAAGGGAGGGATGTTGAGGTCGAAGTTGAGTTTGGAATGTGGCTGTCGTCGCTCAAATACGATGGTCGAGTTTGTACCCAACACGAAGGACGTCCGGATGGGTGCACATTTGCTGGCTGTTGCCGCCTGAGCCGTCCTCGGGTGACGTCATCGCAGCCTGTCGCTCATGCCTGCGCTGCCTCTGGTCGGAATCGAGGTATCTTCGAACCGGAGGGCGACAACCATGTGAGAAAGGTGGGTGGATGGTGGATGGTGGCTTGCAACAGCGGCAATGACCATCCGCAAGCACAATCCGTGGGAGGAAGACGCCACCATCTCAGCGTTGATATCGCTACCGTCGAGAGACCTGTCTCTGTTCGCTCGCTCTTCCGGGCCAGCACGTTGTCCTGGCGACCCCGTAGCCATCCTCTTCACGGGCGCAGGCGGACCCCTCGCAACCTATGTCAAGGTGGAACAGCACCTCAGTACGTTCGTCAGGACGCTCTTCTACGACAGGGCCGGCTATGACCTCAGCACGCTACCCTCCAATGCCGAGCCCTTGACAGCCGAAGACGGGGCAAGGGACCTCGATGCACTCCTCGACAAGATCAATGTCCCTCCACCGTATCTGCTCATCGGACATTCGTATGGAGGAATCCCACTGCGAGAGTTCCTGCGCCATCAATTGGTCAAATACCGGCCAGGAAGAGCCACTGAGATCATATCTTGGGTGGTGCTATATGACACAAGTGGAGAGCTGGCATGGGCATTGTTCCCGCGCATCCCGAGTGCCGACCTCACTGCTGTATCCCAGGATGTGCACTGGGAGGAGCTCACCAATCTTAGAGCCGAGTCTGGCATGACCGACGAGGAATGGAATGCTGCGATCCAAGCTAGTATGCGGACGATCAAGGGTGTCAAGAGAGAAGACACCCATGGGAGTGCAAGGACGTTGGCGAAGAAGAGGCAGCTTGAAGAGCACACCTACCATGGGGGGAATCTTGGCCGTGATAAGGTGTAACATTGCGGGAGACTACCAAAAGATGTACGACGAGGGGGTGAGGTTGGGGGGCGGGACGGAGGCGCAGCGGGAGGGGGCGAGACGCTTCATGGAGGAGTGGAAGATGTATAGCTATCAGATGGTGAAGGCACAGGTTGATCTGGTTGGGGACAGCGGCAATGGCAATGGCAGCATCTTGTTCAGAGAGCTCATGGACTGGGGGCATGACAGTCCCATGAGAAACCCTGAATTGGTGGGTTATGCAGTGCGATGGTTTCTGGAAACGCTGAAGGGGAGAAGGTGCGACACTGTGGCTTGAGGTCCCAGGAGCTAGAGAAACACCCAAACTATAGTTGGCGAGAGATATGGCCTTGGGCACGAAGCATGGAGAGGAAGATGAAGATGAAGATGAAGCCGCGTCTGCTGTCCACGTAACCAAATTTCTGGGTGAATCGTCAGCCAATGGAACCAGCGCCCTGATGTCGTTAAACTCTCAGTCCAACGCCAATCAATGTCCGATACCGCAACCCGCCCAGGCATCCATCAGATAAGATGCCAACAAGTCGACTCGGTGCCATTGATATAGGCCATCAGAGGTTATCAGGCGCCCGCCGTCTTCCTCAAAACCTCGTCTGGTGTTGTCCCATTGTTCATCTTACCACGCCATCAAAATCATGTGGCAAATCCTTGTCCTGGCCCTTCTCATCCTCCCACGAGCCGCGCAACAAACAGCATTGCCTCCCCGTCAGTCTGCCGAGGCCGCCGACGAGGTCCGCAATGCAAACCATGTGTTCAACGCCATCCACTCCTCTATGCGGCAATGGGGCTCATCCTTCCATCATAATGGCATGTCGCTTTTCCCAGCCCTGATCCCAGCTGGAACGCAGTTCTATCATGGCAACCCAAACAAAGAGCCCGTCCAAGGCCTAGAATGGCTAGCATTTGAGCCCGAACATGCTATCAATTTTGCAAGAAAGTTCCACAGGCCACCAAAAGGTGTGCCGCCACCGAGGGGCAAGGAGGTGGAGTATGCCACTGGGCCTCATTTTCGCAACGCAAAGCACGACACGAGCTTCTCGGCTCCGAAAGGAGAACAGGCCTCTCTAAATCCCCCGCCCAAAAGTCATGATCGCGGGCCCGATAGGCCTCCCGTCGACCCAGGCTGGCTACACACTTACCGAACCAAAGAGATAACTCCGCTGCTTTACATCGACGGCACCTCAGCTGGTAAATGCGACAAGGGCACCCTGGATTCACAAGACATTCTGCTGCTGAATGCAACCTCCGAGGACGGTGGTATGGCATGGGAGAGACAACGAGCAGATGGCCTCTGCAAACTGGCCAATGAGCGTTGGCATGGCAAGATCAAGGGTTTCATTCGCATGGAGGCCGGTTTCGAGATTATTATGTGCTCCTTCTCTGACTCGTTGGATTTTGTGCAATCGGTCAGGGCCGGCCCATTTTCTCCAGACGAGGCGGTATCAGATACCAACGAGAAAGGCTTCGGTTGGGAAGTGTGGAAATGGATCAAATTCGTCGCGGCTCGCTATGACGGCATTGGCGGTGGCAGAGTGAAGCTAGACTACGATCACTTTGTGTCTGCATATACCTATGACCTCGACCTGTTCCAAGGCGAAACCGACCTGCCTAGGCTGGAAAACCTTTCCGCCTCAGCCCTGGAAAAAGTCCGGGAAGACGTAGACAGAATGGTTGAGTCCTTTGATCCAGTCAGTACCTTGGACGACAAGAGCTCTGTCAACTGGCAGGGCATTGCAGATATGGTCGTTGAGCGGTATGCTGGGCTGCTGAAGTACCTGGTGGGAGGCACTTTGACAAGTGCTGAAGACCTTTTTGAGGAGCTGGAGCTGAATCTACGCGTCTTTGTCGACTCAGACGCACGAAACACAACGGCCGAGGTGAATCGCTGTGTGGCCCAGTTCAATCCGGTCGGGGGCTACACCACGAACTCAATTGCCGGCCGCTCGATTCGGAGTGTAACGAAAAAAATCTGCGAGACTCTGTTCGCGGCGTTCAACGCGAACGTCACGCTATCGCAGTCAATGGAGAACCTGCGGTCGCTCATCGAGTACTTGGATTGGTCAGTCTGGAAAAGGTGTCCTCAATGTGCATTCAACGAGGTCTGTTTCATACCAATGTGGCCATTCGGCAACGTGGAAGATCGGGAGCACCCACGCTGTAGGAATTCCAGCGAGCTGAACGGAAGGATGGGTTACTGGGGCAATCCCCGTTTCCACGAGAAGGACGTCGGGTTTTGAGAAGTTCCAATGTGCTTCGGATGGGTTCGAAATTTACCGTGTTGGATCTGTACAATGTAGCATCATCTCGTTCAAGCGCACAACTGGAAAGGCGACAGGTTTGATGACATAGATCTGGAACAAACTCGTTCGATAGTTCAAGGACTATCCCTGGATAGAGATATTGTACCTATGGACATCATTGTATGTGTTTGCGCGTCGCACCCGCGCTGCAGCTACCGTGCATTGTAAGAAGCCACCGAGCACATGGTTCTTGTCTTGCAAGGATCCATCGATCAATCGCCACCTCGGTGGGCAATTCAGAGTTCGTTGTAGGGATACGTGACAATCTCAAGTATAGCGGCATGCAAGGCACCAACAGTGCTATCAGAAGGTCTTCGAACAAAGGCGTGGAGAGGGCTACTGGGAGGGACGTGGCAGAGCAACCGTGCCAGACGAGCGCGAAGCGGCGGAGGAGCAGACAAAGTGGTGGAACAATCAGATATCAATCGAGGTGCTCTGTCCTCAAGACGGACTCAAGATTGACGAGCCAGGTGGCAGGATGAAGGAACGTCTGAAACCAAAGATACCATGCAGATAGAAGTCGAAGTGATACCCAGGCGCAGTTTCATACAGTAGTTGTCGCGTGGTTGATTCCGTCCGCAGCGCCGACTTCTTTCCGAACAAACCCCGCCACAGGCCAACCATCTCCTGCCTGCGGTTCTTGTCACTTGTCAACATCTAACCACCGCAAAACAAACATTGTCGATCCATGGCGGCCGAGATGACGGACGGCTATGTACAAGACGACGCCCCAAAGCCTTCAGACTCGTATTACAACCTAGGGTCTTTCAATCGACCTGTAAGCACAAACAACAAAGAAGCCCAGCGATGGTTTGATCGTGGTCTGGTTTGGAGCTACGCCTTCAACCATGAGGAATCGGCTGAATGTTTCCGAAAAGCCATCACCCTGGACCCAAGATGTGCCATGGCTTATTGGGGTCTGGCGTACGCCCTTGGGCCCAACTACAACAAGCCATGGGAGTTCTTTGACGGAGAGGAGCTCGAATCCACCGTGACTCGGACACATGATGCTGTTCAGAAGGCGAAGGCGGAAGCCGTCAATGCCACGGCGGTCGAGAAGGCCCTGGTTGATGCGCTCGAATTCCGATACCCTCGAGCACAAGCAGCTGCTGATTGCTCCATCTGGAATGAACCTTACGCGGATGCCATGCGATCGGTGTACGAAGCATTCCCTGACGACCTAGATGTCGCAACGCTCTACGCTGACGCCCTGATGAATCTCACACCTTGGAGACTCTGGGATTTGTCCACTGGACAGCCAGCCACTGGAGCGAAGACGATAGAAGTAAAGTCCGTCCTCGATCACGCCTTAGCTCTGAAGGGCGGGCTCCAGCATCCCGGCGTATTACACCTTTACATACATCTGATGGAAATGTCCAGCAGCCCCGAGCTTGCTATGCCTATAGCAGACCATTTGAGAGGCCTGATACCTGATGCTGGCCACCTGCACCATATGCCTACCCACCTCGACATACTTTGCGGTGACTACCGGCGTGCGATCGCTTCGAATACGGACGCAATCCGCGCGGACGAGAGGTTTTTGGCTCGCGCGGGTCCGCTGAACTTCTACACTCTCTATCGATGCCACAATTATCATTTTCGCCTCTACGCTGCAATGTTTGCTGGCCAGTCAAAAATCGCATTGCAGACTGCCGACTGGATCGAAGCAACAGCCCAGAAGACCTCCTTCGCGTCAAGTCACCGCCAATGGCCGACTGGCTCGAGGCCTTCCATGGGATGCGTGTGCACGCCCTCATTCGCTTTGGCCTGTGGCAAGAAATTCTTGACCTGCCTCTGCCCAAAGACCAAGAGCTTTACTGCGTTACGACGGCTTTGATACACTATGCAAAAGGCGTCGCACTGGCAGCTACGGGAAAGGTAGAGGAAGCGGAGAAGCAACGCACCATCTTCAATGAAGCAGTGTCGCGGGTGAAGTCAACACGAACCCTTTTCAACAACAACTGCCTTGACATTCTTGCAATTGCCCGGTCAATGTTAGATGGTGAAGTGGAGTATCGCCGGCGCAACTTCGACGCAGCATTTGAACATCTTCGTAAAGCCATTGCTCTCGATGATGCCCTTCCGTATGACGAGCCTTGGGGATGGATGCAACCGCCTCGACATGCTTATGGTGCTCTTCTTTTGGAACAAGGCCATACCGAGCTGGCCACAGCAGTTTACAGTGCCGACCTGGGATTCGACGACACGCTTCCTCGAGCTCTTCGCCACCCAAACAATGTTTGGGCACTCCGTGGATACTTCGAATGTCTGATGAAGCTGGGTCGTATCGCGGAAGCTCGGCTTATTAGGCCCCAGCTAGCGCATGCCACGGCCATGGCAGATATACCCATCAAGTTTTCATGCTTCTGCCGGACAGACCATGCTAATCGGGTCATACAAGAGCCTTCTGCATGATGAGGCCACGAAATCGGCCATATTTTCAGCCAGTTCGCCTTCTTCTTGCCCTTTTTTTTTTCTCTCGAAGATTGAGTTGCCCCGGGACGCGGCAAAGAGAGATCGTACGGCAAACATCGTACGCTCCCAATGGTCGCTTCTAGCCCTGTTAAGATGCTCATTGACGCTGTGGATTGATCTCTCCATCTGAGCCAAAAAGGAGATAGCATTCGAATTCGATATATTTACGGAGTGCCGAGGGTAAATGCTTGCGAACGAGTTCCCTCTGTTTGCACCGGAATACAATTCTCCACTCATCTCAACATGCTCTATGATCCCAAGTGTCAGACTTGTCTTTAGTTCCTCGGCCACCCAAATCGAGGTCTTGGACTATTCACGGAGCCCTCTTGGTTGTTTGGGCTTGCGATCTAACATCTTACCCGCGGCTCTTTCCGCTACAATCGAATTGCTTCGAAGGCTTGACTGGACCAAGACAGGAAGCTACATGCCAGGCAAGCTCTGCACTGTCGCATCGACAACCCCAGGCCTCACCTTGTCGGTCTCGGTTAGTACTTTGGTGAGTACCTAACTTGAGCAATGCCATGCCTCGAGTATCGTGATAGATTCAAGGCCACTGGGAACACCATGCCTCACGCACTCCTGAGGAATATGGTGTCCAAGACTCGGCGGCGACGGGAAGTGTTTGTGCAGCCTGATTCGACTCTTGCCAAGGACAAAGGAATTTCCTGTAGGGAGTGCTTCGATAAGAACTATGGTTATGACATCTGCGCCTTCTTTTGCTCTTTCATTTTACGTCTTCGAAATAGTGTGACGAATCTCTTCATCGTGCATGGCGCGAGCTGCGTCTGAATTGCGTCGACGGGAATAGATTGAATCAGTTTGTGATGTATTTGCTGCGAATTGACTCGTGTGGTTCTCGAGGAAGGCTCAAAGGTCGAAAGGATAGAGCGATGCGTCTATACACCGTTCATGATGAATCTTGCTGTCGTCAACTTCGGCTCGTTGACACAACTCGGGACCCATGAGGGCAGCTGTGCAATCTTATGTCGATTTGCGCCCGGCTGTCCACCCCTTTGGCGTGAACTGGGGGTATTTCCGAGCAGGTGTCAAACTCACGTCACTCACCAATGTCGAGGAGGCAAATAGGCGAATGGCCATGCCGAGCGATGCCAATGCTCTCCGCAGCACCAGGTGCAGGGGGCTCGCTTAGGTGAGAATTATTGGGCGCTGTACCAACTGGGCCGGGGAGAGCTGACACCCACAACATTTTCGTGGGGGCGCTTCTCCGCATCCCACCCCTGAGAGAGTCCCTGTGGTGCCTGTAACTCGCCCCTCATTCGTCCTCGCCCGCCGCTACCAGTAAGATTCCCCGTCATTCGGGCTGCTGTCGCCGCTGTGGCCGCCGCCGCCGCACTTATCTAAGCCGTCAACCCCTCCGGTGCCTCCCAAAAAAACATCCATGCTTCTCTCCAGTCGCTGCAACCGCCGCAGTCGCCATAATTCGCAGGCATTTTGGCCGCCGGCTGCGACCATGGAAAACTTCCACGACTTGATCAGAAACCAGGCTCTCCTCTCCTCAGCCTGTATCAAGCAAACAACAACCACTACCGGCGTGTCCAGCACCCCAGAGAAGCGCTACCGATGCGTGGAGTGTGGGCAGGGCTTCTCGCGCGCTGAACACTTGAAGCGCCATCAAACCCGACGTGAGTTGCGTTGCAAAGGCTGCGCAATTCCGCTAATGTACCTTGTGGAGATACCGGAGCCAAACCGTTCTCTTGCATTTTCTGCTCTCGAGACTTCTCGCGCAAGTACGATTGTTGTGACCTCTCCACACGGTCTCTCTGCTGACGCCTCTGGCAGGGATCGCCTCCAAACCCATTACAGCCACTGTCAACGGCGGGGTGACCGAGACGTCCCCAACTCGATTCCCAAGGGCCGACGCCCACATGCCTGTGTGACGGTGATTACATTGGAAACAACACCTGCGCCGTGCAATCTAGCTGACCTCTACCAAGTGCATTTCCTCCAAGATTCGCTGTGATGGAGGCAATCCTTGTGCACCCTGCAAGAAGAAACAAGTACAATGTCGCCAAAAACACTCTCTGCGCGACAAGTCGAGTATGCAGTTCGATCTTCCACACATGGGAAACCGACTGGCGATGATGCTGACTATGGTCCCAGTTGCCGAAAAGCTAGGCCCCCTCGGCGACCGTGTATCGATTCAAGCACTCCTGAACGGTGGTACCGACACTTTCACAGAGACCTTCAACCTTCCGCCTTGCGACGATCGGCAAAGAGGGCTGCAGTTCCACCAACAAAATGAAGAAGGGGAGGATGAGGAGAACGACGCCGTTGATGCGAAATCGGAAGATGAAAGTCCCGCTACTTTCGACTTCTCCGGGATGTTCCAGACACCTATGGGGATAGACGATCAGTATCTCGACTTCTGGACAGGGCCGTTTGGATTAATTCACTCCCCTTCATATACTGAACTGCAGCTGGAACTTTACGACCCATCCATGATATCACCAGAGGCCCAGATTGGCTCCACGCCCTCCAGCTCGACGCAGCAGCCTTCGGATCAAGCGCAGTATGTCTCAGCACTGAATATGGCAATCTACAACAAGCTATGGTGCCTGGCCTTGGATGAAAAATCTCGTCAAGAACTGACTGCTTGCCTGAATTTCCTCTTGACCTCGGAGAAGATCCGCAAGTTCATCTCGCTTTACTTTCGTAATTGGCACCTGAACTGCCCCATCATTCACCGACCGTCATTCGATCCCGCTAAAGTTCCAGTTGGCTTGGTCATTAGCGTGGTCTTCATTGGTGCTATGTATTCAAGAGACCAGACCGAAAGGCTAGCCGCGAAGCGGCTGGTTGACGTTGCGGAATTGGTGGTCTTCGATTCAGAAATTTTCTCCTTTGAGATTGAAGTCACTCGATGTATACAAGGTGACTCCCTGCCCACACCTTCAGAGTCTCTTCAACAGGACCGCGATTGGGAGATTTTCCAAGAGCTTCAGGCGGGTTATTTGATGGTCGTTGCTCAGTATTGGGGCGGCTCACGGGGATCTAAACGACGAGCAATGCAATCCCGACTCGGAGACGTCATAAATGTTCGGAATTTCCCAAGCTTGCTTAGATCGTCTCTGACCAGTTTCTCCAGGTCGCTCGGAGCATGCAGCTGCATCATGCTCGTCACCGGCCGTCCGATCGCATCTCAGAAGTCGCTTGGCTACAGAAAGAGACGAAGATCCGGTATGTCCTCCACCTCCGTCGTTAGCCTTTGCTGATTGCATCCGTTGCAGAACTGTATCAGTCATCGCTTTGCTTGATTGTGCCATGAGAATTTATTCAAACTACCCCTGCCGCATAACCCTTGGCGAACTCGACAATGATCTACCCTGTAAAGAAGCTATCTTCAGCTCACGACATCCTTTTATGCAGGACGACTCCATCTTTGCACCGCGGTTGACAATGTCTCAAGCCTTTGCTCTTCTTTTTGATGGAAAAGCAAAAGCTTCTGACTCAACAACAGCATCACAGGCAGACGTGTCTGAAAACGGAACGTCGTTGGAGGAGACCGAAGGCAGCTGCGATCTCACTATATTTGATCTGTTCATTCTTATCCACTGTAAGTCCGTCAACTACTTTAATCCACCATCCTGTCGTCTCCGTCCATTGCGAGGACAGGACAAATTAGAGCCGCCTAACATCTTCCCAGTTCTGTACACATACGTACACTCCTGTGTCATGACAATGTCACTCAACCTCCCCACAACGAACTTTGGTCGCAGGATCAATGGGGCAAAGCCATCCAATTTTGCCATGAGCCCAATGGCCCAAGAGATCAAGGGCGCTTTGGAAAGATGGCGCCAGCTGTGGGAAATTATTCGCTCACAGACTTCGGATAAATCCCTGAAAGCTGAAGGCATGTACAGGAATGCTCTTCACTTCTGGATCGTTCTGCAATTCATCATGGCCAAAGAGGAAGCGGTTGACGTTATCACCAGCATGGAAGTCAACTGCGATGACGCGTTGACCAAGCTCAAGGTCCTCTTTCAGAACGATAATGAGCAAGAGATATAAAAATTTAAATGTAACATTACTCTAGGAAATCGTGGCTCGCTTCTTCAACCCATGAGTAGCCTAGGAAGAGATAAGAATGAACTGCTGATACCTGTCATCCTTCTCGCGTCAGCATTTCCTTGGCGCAGGTTCAGATCCGTAAACTTGTTATGTCGGCTGCTGCATGTTTTGGCTAGAACAACCTTTTCCTGGACGGCCACGGTCTTTGTAGATATGCTATGCTAATCGCTAGCATAGCATAATCTCGCTGTGTATACCTCCTGCACATTTCCCGTGGCGATAGACGTGGAGGTCAGTGCGAGAAGGATCCAGGAGGCCGAACAGCGCCACCGCTTTTGTTCTCTTGCTGTAGAAATCTAGTGATTTTTCCCACAACCATGCAATCCCAGTGTCCCTGTCGGAGAGCTCAGGCACTACTGGAAATCTGCTCCCAGGCCCGAAATGCGGGAACTTCTTCCGTCGCGGACATCATCCCATATTCAGCTCTGTGGATGCAGGTCAGAAAATCGGCTTAGTGCAAAATCAGCATGATTGTTAGGATTATAGTCATAGAAGTCATGATGATGGTAGTCATGACCAATCTTACGTCCCACTGCGCATAGAAGTCCTCCATTTTTTATCGCTCCTGGAACAATATTTCTCCGTAAAACACTTCTATTGGCAGGGTTCACACCCACTATTTGCACACGGTCTGGTTTACCTTCCCAATACAGAATAGCAGCTAGTCACGTGGATTGGCTCCATAAAGGGCTAGTACGCTCCACTGCTAGATTAGGTAAGGCTGTAGCCATAACAACTCCGCAAATTCAAACAGCGGAAAGTCCCCCAGTGGAAAGATCAAATCTTCGACCAAGGAGCTCCAGATGAAGAGGGAAGAGTCATAGTTTGAACAAGAACTGATTAAAGGTGGGTGCCGATGGGATGTGACTTTGTACAGCCATGGATCCGCTCGCCGCAGTGTTCACGTTCAGACCTTCTCGGCGTGAACAGTTATGTCCGCCTTAGTAACTTCATCGAGCTCCTTCACCGCGATCTCGCGCGCCCTTTCGGACGAGACGCATTGATATGTCTTGAACTGGCTGCGCGGCACCTTGTTGACGAACATCTCGTCGATTTCCTCCAACGAACGTCCTTTGGTCTCCGGGATGAGGAGAAAGAAGAACACTGCGCTCTAGAGTCAGCCCAAAAGAGTCTCGAGGCGCTGGAAGATACCCACCGAATGCAACCGCGTTGGAGCCCGCCCATATGTAGCCATACTTCGCCCCCCAATTCAGATTGTTGGCATTCAGGAAATATGGTGTGCAGTACGAGATCAGCCCTGCAAGTGGTCAGTCTACCTCAGTTAGACGATTGCGGCCAAACTTACAGTTGAAGAAATAGTTGATCCCGGTGCCGAGGCCGACGCTGAAGACTCGCAGACGGGAGCTGACAAGCTCACCTGCGATCGGCCAGGTGATCGTCCCAGTGAAGCCGTTGTAGAAGAAGCTGAACATGAGTGCGAAACCCACAAGGGCTTGACCAGCACTGTGTCCGTGCCCAGCAAGGCTCAATAGACCGATCACCAACATGCAAATGCAGCAGCCGGCAGAGCCGATCAAGAGCATGGAGCGGCGGCCGAAGACTTTGTGCATGAGGAACATGCCGCACATTGCGCCGATCAAGCCGAGACAATTCTGCAGAATGGTGGCCTGGAATGGCTTGTCGATGCCGGCCATCTGGTAGAAGAACGTGCTGTACGAAATGGTGAACCAGACTCCAGACGCTGCATGCGATGCAATGGCCCCAGCTGCGAGGATGGTGCGGCGGCGATCAGTGCCCTTGAACATGTCCAAGGCCGAGGTTGTCGACGCCAGCTCCTTTTCTTGATCAATTCCTCGTTGCATCTCGATGAACTCCTCGTTCAAGAGCTCGAGCTTGAGCGAGTTCCCTCGGAGGCTCTCCAGTGCCCTGCGAGCTTCCTCTGGTTTGTTTTGTAACAGAAGCCAGCGGGGCGACTCGGGGACGAAGAACATGAAGATACTGAGCAGAAACGGGATCGCGAACAACGAAGCCAGAGGAATCTGATATGCCAATCTGCTGTGCAGGTTCTTGCTGTAGTTGTCGGCAACGGCTCCGAGAATGCTCCCAAGGTTCACCCAAAACCCGAAGAACGAGGCCAAGAATGCCCGATGCTGTGGGGGAGCAACCTCGACGCAGTATGTGTTTGAGTACAGGATGAAAAAGCCATTTCCCAGTCCCAGGAGGATCCGACCGGCATAGAGACCTGCAAGACTGTTGACTCCGACCTGGACGCCGCATGCCACCATCGACACGACGGCGGCAACCCAGATCGCCGGTTTGCGACCGAATCTATGGGAGAACGGACCGCCGAGGAGCACCGCGACGATGGTACCGACGTTAAGGAAGCTGGAAATTAGTTGCTGAGGTTTCGTGGCAATGTTCCAGCCCGATTTGACCTTGGCATCCTTGTAGCCAAAGACTTCGAGGAAACCAATCATGGCCTGGAACCCGGCGACTGCAGCGGTATCTGCAAAGAGTTCAGCTTTGTACAATGCATTCTTGTCCTGGCAAAGCCCTTACCAAAGCCATATTGGCAATTGGCCATGCTGACCGCACAGCAAATAATCAGACATTTCCAGTTGTCGATGAGATGGTTGTTTCTTCCTTCGCTGATCATCTTGCCTCTTTAGAACGTGGAGACCTCGTGGTATGGCAGTGCAGTATGCAAGATTTGGTACATGAGAACGGCATCCATTCGTTGAATATATTGATCCAACAGTCTGGGCCCCATGAATCCGGGGTAAGATCGGACACCAGGGGCAGCATCCCAGCCGCTTGAATTCCGGCGAGCCTGGTCCGGAATCTGGCCGGTGGCTCCAATGCCACCAATGCCAGGGCTTCCTCCGATGGACCTGTGTCCTCGTCGCGTGCAAAAACTTCTCGCTTGACCCATACAGCACCGACTTTCTCTGCATATTGTCCTGCATCTACCGAGCGGAGAGAGTCTCGCCAGTGGGGCTTCTGGACATGAATACCTCCAACTCTCTCAAGTCGAAGTGCTGGTTACCAGGGGAATCGTTGGAAGCGACTGCCGCTCATGTGGGTTCGGTGCGTCGAGAATTTCGGCAATTGTCCCGTGTGGCATAGCAGCATCGAAACCACTTCTGAATTTATGGATTGGAATACACAGGGGATACGACGACGCAGCTGACCTCCACCTACCTTGTGACTCGCAAATTGATATTTCAGGTTCACACCGTTTTTGTCGGGCCAAAGTTCTTGTGACTGAAGCCACCGCCTTTGTCTCTTAGATCTCGAAAGCGCCATGGACCACACCAACCGGCGGCCGATGACTGCATGCCAGAAGATATTGGTTCATCATGCTCTCGGCCTTGAGACTCCATACGTGGAGCCAGGGACGGTGATTCGCGTCGCTCCAGACTGGTTTCTGGCATCTGAAGTTGCTTGGTTTGGCATGAACAAAAACTATGAGCGGATGGGACGCCCCGGCATTCGCCGCAGAGACAGGTTCTGGCTGGCAGGGGACCATGTCGTGGATCCACGGGTGAATCACAGGGCTTATGAGAAGTCTCTCATCGAGGCGTGCGACCAGATTGCCAAAGAAATGGACCTCGGAGACAACTATGCTGGCCACAACACCACCATCATGCACACCGAATATTATCGCTCCCGGTGTCAACCTGGCATGCTTGTCATTGGAGCTGATTCTCACACCTCATCTGCTGGAGCACTCGGGAGTCTCGCAATTGGCGTGGGCGCTACCGATATGATCTTGCAGCTTGTCACGGGGGAGACCTATCTCGAGGTCCCAGAGATTGTCCGTATCAACTTTATCAACAAACCACCGCTTGGGACCAGTGGTAAGGACGTTATTCTGGGAGTCATGCGTAAGCTCCGAAGAAACACTGTTGCAGCAGGCCGACTCGTCGAGTACACCGGTGAAGGACTTCAGTACCTGTCGTGCGATGCAAGATTCGCCATCGCAAACATGACGACTGAATTTGGCGGTATTGGTGCTTGTATTGTTCCAGACGGAGTAACCATGCAGTACATCCAACGTCGAAGGGATCCGCGCCATAAATCGGACAGCCTGTATTTCCGGCCAGACGATGACGCGCAGTATGCTGAAACATTCGATGTGGATTTGTCGGAGCTGGAGCATTTCATTGCGCTTTACCCCTCTCCGGATAACGTCGTTCCCGTCTCAGAAGCCGAGCAGCAGCTTCAACACCTGCAGGGTGTCTTCATAGGAGCATGCACCACAACTGAAGAAGAGTTGATACTGGCAGCGCTGGTGTTAAAGGAGGCGATGTCTCAAGGCCGGAAACCCGTGGCTCCAGGACTGCGGCGTGTTACCCCTGGCTCCAATTCCATCATCAACAGGCTGAAGGAATTGAACCTTTTGGAGGTGTATGAGCAGGCCGGCTTCGAGATTGGCGCACCTGGATGCAGCTATTGCGTGGGAATGGGAGTCGACAAGGCCGGGAAAGGGGAGGTGTGGCTGTCTTCTCAGAACAGAAACTACCGTGACCGAATGGGTCCCGGGTCAATCGCCAACATCACTTCTGCGGCAACGGTAGCCGTTTCCAGCTTTTCCATGTCCCTGCAAAGTCCCACGGATATCCTTGGTAAGATCAATATGGCCGAGTTCGACGACATGAGGAGGTATGGTGCGCAAGAACCACGAGCATCACCGCAATATGTCGAGCCGGAACTTCTTGCTGCCGGCCCGACGAAAGGAGATGCGGACTTAGCATCAACAGAAGAGAAGCCACCGCCATCGCTCCCTGAGTCGATTCGAGGACGGGTGCAGCGATTCGGAGACAACGTTGACACAGACAGCATCATTCCGACCGACAAATGCCATTCTCACCTCACCCAAGAAGAGGTTGCCCGTGGTGCATTTTGCTATACCAGACCAGAGTTTTATGATCGTGCACAGGCTGGTGCCTCGATCGTTGTTGCGGAGAAGAGCTTCGGCTGTGGCTCTTCTCGGGAACAGGCCCCGAAGGCGTTGATGTGGTCAGGCATACAAGCGGTGATTGCAAAGTCGTACGCCTTCATCTACCAGCGAAATCAAGTCAACAATGGCTTGATGGGAATCAAACTCCTGGACGATGAGTTCTATCGGCTCGCTCAAGAAGGGGAAGAGGTGATGATTGATGTTCACAACCGACAGATCCATTGTCAAGGGCGGACTTGGGACTTCAGGCTCGATCGCATTCAGGAACAACTACTTGCCGAAGGCGGGCTGATCAGCACATATGAGAGATATGGACCCAGTCTATTCTCCAAGCTGCAGAGCCTGGATCAAAAGGCTGGAAAGGCTGCGCAAAATGCTGCTGATGCTGATTTGGTAGAAGAGTCATCGAAAGCCACATCTTTGGAATGGTGAGATGCTTGGGCCGTAATAGAATCATATCAAGAGTTGAGAAAACACTAAATGCAGAGGGATACTCACAAACACATGTATACTCTTATTACAGCATTGGAATGGGCCTTGCGAAGCTTGGGGCAAGCATTCTTCTTGTTAAAGAGTCCGTCCCAGGGTCAGCTAGGATGGATAATACTCAAGACCATATTCGCTCGATCCTTCTAGGGTGTGAATCGGCATCCCGGCTTTCTCGAGGCGTTCTAATTCTCTCCTTTTCATTTCCTCTTGCATCTGGATTGACAGAAGAAGTGTCAGTGTGGGTCTAACGTGGTGGAAGGTCTGCATTGAAGCACTCTCGTACCTTTATCCGGCCACCGGCACTGGGAAGCAGCTCCCTTGGTCCCGTAATCCTCCACTCAGGCAAGCCTTCCGGTCGACCAAGATCCCTCAATGTTTTGGCCTCGACAAGGCTGTATTTTCCATCGGGGCGGTTATAGTTGAACGGTTCTTTCAACGCCACGGGCGGATTGGTAATGATTCGGACGCTCCGAAGGAGATTCCGCGACGCCGAGTGCAACATAAAAGGATGCAAGAAATAGACGTCGCCCACCTGACCGGTGGCTTCGTGAAATGACTCGTCGCGACAGAGGCCACGATCCTGAACCCATGAATTCCACAGCTTGCGACGTTCGGGGTTGGATTTGGGGATCTCCGGTGTTCCTCGAGGCGCTAGGTACGGTGTGGCACCTTGCGGCAGCGAATACTATGAGCCAAACGCCGTAAGAAAAGAGCACTGAGTCGCGAAGACGCCAAAGGCAGTAGCCGTCAACATACCAGTTTCTCAGCAACCAGCTTGATCCCATCAGTACAGATGACGGTGCCTCCGCCTTTGGGTTTGATTTCGGTGAAGAGAGGAATGACCAACAACGCTTGCTCGGGGGAATCGAGGAAGTGGGTGAACCAGTCTCCGTCGCAGTGCCAGTTGTCCAGTGTCCTCATATCCAATGGGTCCGACTCCTTGTACTCGGGCTTGCCCAGGTTGGGAATCCAGCCATCTTTCCAGTATTTGCACCTGTGGCAGAGTTGACAAATCAATAGGGGCGCGGACATGGATCCCCCCATATTCGTGAAAGCTCGTTCATCTGGTAGAACTGGCTGCTGCCGGGACAGAATACATACCAGTCAGCGACTCGATCCTCTCCGCCAACCAACTCACACATTGCGGCGTATGCTTTGGGCGCATGCTCCTTCACGGATATGACAGTGTGGCCGGGCATGTTCAACTTCTCCGTGGGCCACGTCGACTTGTCGTCCGGAGAGGCCCCAAGCCTGGTCCAGATAGAGCTGGTCCATTTCTCAGCAAGTTCGGGAGAGAAACAGTTCTCAATCTTGATGAACCCGTGCTCCATCCAATGCTGCTTCTGCTCCTCCGTCAAGGAGTAATCAGACCAGTCGCTGATCTTTCCAGGCATTTTTCTACTTTGAAAGAAGTGTCGCTCGAAAGTGAGAGACCTGACCAAGCATCCCAGGACCAGCTATCTCATCAGTGGAGATCGCCCATGGCAGATATACACGCTGGACGCCCTTCCACTCATGGGGACAAAGGCTATTGTAAACGGCCGGGAATTAGCCTAATTGCCAGCTAAAGGGAATCAACAGGACGAATGATTTCTGGTGTCTCACAGGACGTTCTTCCAATTGGCCTTCTTCGGGCTTACGGCCCTTTCGCCGGTGCTGTCAAATTTGCCGAGGGGGCCTACATCATCGACTTAACAATAGAGGTTCCTTTAGCGGACGAGTATAACTAGCAACATTCTTCTCGAGCGGCTGCCCGTCACGCAACCGAGTTTGGAACTGTCGATAACCAAGGCTATCTCTCCCCTCTTCTGCTCTCAAACCCACCTCTCGGAAGCAAGTCCTCCTCGGTCACCAAGCCGTGGTTCCAGTGCTATCGCGATCGTTACACAGCAAACGACCTCGTACACACCCCTGTCTCAAACCAAACGTGATTCATTCGACGACATTGATGTTGGGACTGTCGCATATCTTGTTCCTGCTGGTTGCCACCGTCTGTATTTCACGGAATCCGTGGGGACTCGCTGTTGCTCTCAAGACGATGTTCGCCCTGTATGCCATCTCATCCCTGAATAGCTTGTTTTCAGCTTTAGCCATCGCCTCGTGGCCTGCAGGTGCCGCTATCGCCTGCCCTGAATTGGTTTCAGCATCTGCCCTGGATCTCAAACTCTCATGACGCTGACGATACTGGGTTTCCCTCCGCCCCTTTGGTTTGAGTCCTGTAACATCATCCATCTCGGAATTTGCTATCTCGTGTGTCCACTTATTGCTTCCCAGGCTCGGCATTGACATGGTCAGCCTCAGAATCAAGAACGTTTTCTCTTCGGAGTTGATTCCGCTTCCCAAGAATGCGCAGGGTGCGTTCCCGCTCCAGCTCGGTCATCTCGGCCCAGTTGTGAATTCTCGAGAGCGTACCGTCTGAATTAATGACAAGCGGGCCCAGAGCGTCAAGTTTGAATGTCTGCGATGGTTCTGTCGCTGAAGTAGGGGCATCCTGCGGGGCGGGCAGCGCGAGCGGCGTTGACGATGTCGGACCATCGTCCTTGCCTTTCGCAGATGGATTTTCTGAATGTGGTGGCTGATTCGATGTCATGACTTCTCTGTCACTGTGCCTTGTTGTGGAATTTTCTTTGTGGGGGTAAAATGGTGCTTGGAGAGAGTTGTGATCAACGAAGTTCGATATGAGGATCAGTTCGTCCCTCCACGTTTTCTGCCCAATACTTATGCTAAGCCCTGGATGTCGCTATCGCCCCCTGTAGAAGATTCCAGGCTCCACACCAGCCACTTTTCGAACATTCTCCAACTTTGCCCGGGATGCAACGGGGCTCAACTGACGTAGGCGGCGCGACGGCACACAACCCAGTTGGGGTGTCCAGGATACAGGTCGCCAATCAGAGCTGATCTAGGTGAGAGACAGAGGTGATATAACCCCTAAATTGCACCAGTACTGAGTCCACAGGCCTCTGGTAGAAAGTCATACCCTGGAAATGATTCCACCAAAAACAAGATAATATGGTGTGGCTCTTCTTAGTCGCGTCCAGCAGCGCAAGGGAAATCCAAGAGTAGATGATTCAAATAACAGACTCAGTGAGTACGATATCTCTAGAGAGGTTGAGGCACCATACTGACTTCTTTATCTTTTACAACAATCTCTCCTGTGCGGTGGGACTGGGACGCTCAACGTCCTAAATTTTGCACCCGCTATGACCAATACTACTGTACTCCGTTGGTCCAACCCCGCTCACAAATTCACAATGAAGCGGTGCTTCAAGTGCCTATCACAATGTGCCGTTTTGCCCCTGGTTAGCCTGGATATCTACAGCTTGGCCAGGATCTGCCCTGCATCACCGCTTCCCATGACAATCTCGTCGGTCTTGTAGTCGGGGTTAAAGGTCACCCTGTTTAAAGGATTCAAGACATGTGCGCGATGGAAGAGGTCTTCATAGACCTGGCCATCGTAGCGACCCAGGGCACTTTTCAGTTGTCAGCGTCTTCTTCTCCAAGATATGGTTAGTGGAATAAACCGACCTGTCAAGCAGATAATCCGGGATTGCCCATCCATCCACGAGCCTCACAGCGTGTGGCCTTATTCGTTCCATCAGCTCCAGCACTCGCGCGGGCAACTCATTCAGGTCTTCCGAGGAGACAGCGCCCGAGTTCTGGAAGTCTCGAGCTTCCGAATCCATGGTGTGAAGGGCGAACAACCGGAAGAGGTCGAGTAGGACAGAGCGGGTCGGCGGATCTAGAAGCGCGATGTCGTTGCTGTGGCCCGCTATCGCCGAGTAAAAATTCGACACCAGCATGGCCTGGGAGTAGGCCCTGCTCAGCTTGTGGAACTCGATGAGCAGGCTGTTCCAGGACTTCTTCTGGATCTCTCGAGCATCATATGCCCGGCAGGCCAGGCAGGCCATGCGCCAGTTGAAAGCATCCACGATCGCCTGATCGCTCTTCAGAACGTTAAATTTCGGCTCCCGGGTTTGGGCGGAGAGATACGTTTTGATGTGCGCCTCGGTCTGACTCAATGACCGACTCGCAGGTGCGTGTGCCTGCTCCTTTACCTTCTTGATTAGATACCGTGCAACCTGCTGTGTGATCATCCAGTTGTCACCCTCGACGGTTGGCTTTGACAGGTAGTCCGCGTTCAGCTGCACGAGGCCCGTGCCACCGCCGAATCCATGGCCGCCCATAGAGCGTCGGCAGATCTCGATTCCGTCTGCTGCGAGCGTGGTGGCCAAGCTCTTCAGACCCGCCGATGTGCTGTGAAGCTCTGAGAGAGCAGCCTGATCGACGGTATCAATTGTAGTATCGTTCTTTCGTGTACGTTCGTACAGCTGGCGCATATGAGCACCTGAATAGTGGAGGGCGAAGGTCGTTGCCAAGAGGGGCAAAATCCGGATCTGCACCGTGGTATAGTCGAGGACAGGTGTCTCCAGCGGCTGAGTCGGATTATCCTGGTCACGAAATTGGCGTCGGATGGACAGATAGCGTACTGCTACCGTCACGGCGCGGGCCAACACCAGACGAGCATTCATGACAATGACTGAGCGTCCTCTAGTCAGCTGGCCGTAGACCGAAGATGGATTCTTAGGCTTAATGTAGACCCCGGTCTCTGGGTCGAGACGAGAATGTCGGGACAGCATGGCACTGTGGGGGACACTGTTCGCTTTTATCAGCCAGAAAGGCTCTCTTGACGCAGGAGACGGGTAAATCCTTCCTACCGGTGCTGGTTGAACAAACAATAGGCGTTGTCCATGGGAGCGTACCCATACTTTGGACCTATGTCGCCTACGACAATACTCTGGGGGGGTTGATGCGTCTTTAGGTCGCGTATCTGGACGAGGAACGGGTGCGGTCCGTATGACTTGTAGGTGCCGTTCTCCGGTAGCATCAACTGGGCAATGACAACCGCATAATTTGCTGTCCGGCCCAGTGTCCCATTCCACCATTTGCTGGCCGTGATGGTGGGACTATGAATGATGAATTCTTTCGTGGTCGGATCCCACCGTGCTTCAGTCTCTAGCCCTCGCACATTGCTGCCGTGGCCGAGTTCAGTCTGGGCATAGGCACCGATGACTTCCCACGCTGCGATCTTGGGCATCCAGTAAGCCCTCTGCTCATCGCTCGCTTGCTCACGAACTGCAGCAGTAAAGAGTGATATGTGGAGATGGTATGGTTGAATGTCGTCCACAAGATATTCGGCCATCAAGAAGTCATCGTCGTCCCAGCCATGCGTGTCTTGTAGCTGTCTCATACGCTTCCCGCGAGCCAGGCCAAGCTTGTACCTGTCAGGCCGCGAAAGGTTTGCCTGGGTCGACTTTGAAAATATCTTTTCTTTTCCCAAGATGGCCAATACTCGTCTCTGGCGCTCGAGATATTCAGACCCCATCAGGTGCTCAGACAGCTGCTGTAAGTTGATGTCCGATCGCTTTCGCTCGCTGGCAATAACAGTAGCTCCACCAGGCGCGGCAGGCTTCAGCCCATCGGTCCAGTCCCTTGGGTTATCCATGATTGGCTGAAGTCTGTGGGAAGTTTGGCTTATCCCGTGACTCTTTTGTAGCTAGAAGTAAATGGAGTTCACATTTCCATAACTTCTAACATAAATATTGCGATAGTAGCAGTAGTATATCAAAGACCGGTCTTTGAGCGCCGGTCAGGCTCACCTGATTCCGGAGAGTTGATTTTCTCGGAGGAGTTATTGTCAGGCGATGAGCCTGATAAAATGTGGAGCAGCTTTCCTTCTGCGTTCACCAAAGCAAGTCAAAATGGAGTTCTTTGAAGGCGATTTCACAAAACGGGTAATATCCGAGCCCGGCAGTGGGTCCCGCCAAGTTCGGATTATCAGCTAGTCCAGAACGTGCCTCATAATGCCAGAAAGCTGTCAGGGCGGTGCATGTCAGTCGGTGAGCCAGATGTAGGGGGGAAAGTCCCGTAATGCTACCTCCGGCATTGTGAATACATGTGATTGTGAGTTCTCTAGAGATCAGCGGTGCCAGCGTGAGACGAAAGTAATAATCTTGCTATACCCTAATAACTGTCCAATAGTCGGCTCTCTCAATAGTCTCTCTGAGGACCGTACTGATGGGTTTATATCCAATGTGGTGTGGAAAAATGGTTTTCCCGAGTTCTGCTACCGCTTTCAATTGGTAACACTACGAGTATGATCTCCGAGTAGCCATGATTGGCGTTCCTGGAGTAGATTTCAACAGATATCCAAGTGAGAGTCGTCCATAGGAAGCACATAAAGCCCCTTCCCTAGCGACTTCAGATGGGGGTGACTGTGGCCTTGCAAATAAGTTGTCTCATGCTCCTTCATATCCTTGAGTGCGAACCGGTGTTTAAACCTTGGTATCGGGGATCTCTTCAATATGGCGGGGATTTTCTAAATCCAGAGCATATTTTTCTTCCATTGCCTTCTGTTCGTGAAGGCGGGCGAGATTGGCCGCCGAGATAGTACTGTGTTCCGCATCCTCGATAGCACGTAGAGGCATCGCATGTCCAGTCTTGGCTTTGCGTCTTTTGGCCTCCCAGAGCAGCCACAGTGGCAAGCTTGCAAAGCTGATGATAGTAAAGGCAATGGTGGAAGACGCAGCAGCAAAACCTGGCAAGTACCATGGAGCGTCTGTGCTCGGGAAAATCTGCGTGGATTAGCCCCTTGGTCGTCGACGCTGTGACAATGGTTGCTCCTTACCTGAGGCCCGATAATACTTGCGATCGACAGCGAAGCAACGGCGGTAGCGCCACCGATGGCTTGCTCCGCTGCCCCGTACAATGTTGACGTGCGGTACGCCAAAGCAGCTGGCTGCGCGATTGAGACCATATTTCCGAGGTACGCCAATCCATAGAGCTGAATCGGCGTCATGTCACCAAAGCTCTTTTGTGTGGCCACATGGGTCCAAATGGCGAAGCACGGAATCGCCATGGCTGCCGGGATGATATAATGCCAGATTCTCTCACGAGTCCAGTCAGAGTGCCAGCTCCAGAAAGCATATACGACAATTGCCACGAAATACACTGATGAGCTGTATTCGTTTGCTTTAGTGCTGCTGAATTTGGCAAACTGCGACACTCAGTGAGAAGCTCTTGGGATGGAGGGATAGATAATTGCTTACCACTTTCAGGATGGTCGGTAAGAATGTCCCGAGTGCCACCGCGACAATCAGCAAGCAAAGGTATGACACGAAGAAAACGTATGTTGATGGTCGAGACATGACATTGAAGAAGGCTGGCCAGTCCCATGTGACGTCCGTCTTTCGAGTGGCTCCACGGCCAAACCGATTGACAGCAATGTAACGTTCTTGAAGTTCTTAGCGAGATATCTCACCATCAGGCGGGTATAGTACTGCTTACCTCGCTCAGTCAATGATTTCGAGTCTTCCGGGAAAGTAAGTAGGAGGAAGTGAACGGGGACTGCGCACACAATCCTGCGGCATAGTTAATCTTCAGCTCAACATGTCGATTTTCAGAAAGGCAGGCAGGACTCACGGCATAGCTCCCTCGATGATGAATAGCCAGCGCCAACTTTCGAGTCCGGCTTTTCCGTTGAGCTTTTTGCGTCAGTAAGATGCGTGTTAGTAGGAATATATCTCGATGACTTACATGGTCGATGGCGACGGCTAGGAACCCCCCTACTCCAGAAGCAAGAGCATTTGCGGCATGAAAGATACCAATCCGCCATGCTCGTTCGTGCGGTTTGTACCAGAAAGAAAAGTACATGATCGAAGCTGGTACGACGCCTGACTCGGGTATCCCCAGGAAGAACCGCGCAGCAAGCAAGCCGGCTCTGCTATGAACTGCGCCGATGCACATGACGATTGTGCCCCAGAGAATCATTATGACGGGAAAGTAAAACTTTCCAGAGAACCTCTTCATCAGCAGATTCGACGGAATCAAGAGGACGGTAACCATGAAATAAGTGACGGATACAGCCTGCATCTTCGTTAGTGCTCAAGAGGCTCGAAACATGCAATGGCACTTCTTACCCAATTGAAATCCGAACCCTCGAGATGTAGGGTCTCCTCGAAGCTGCTCGGTTTGCCAGCTTGAAGCACGTTCACGAATCCCATGTTCGCCCGATCCAGGTACGCGAGGAAGTAGATGATACAACAAGGGAACAAGACTCGTGCATCAAGCTTCCTCACCAGCTTCCGCTCTTCGTCCTTATCCCAGTCCTGGACTGCTGCAACATGCTCAATCCTATCTTGACTGCTTGCTGTGGAGGGTAAGCTTTTCTTCATCAACATTCACGCAGCTTGAGGGGAGCTGACCATGGTGGCCATCAACCCGCTTTGGCCAAACAGCATTTCGCAGGCCCCAGCCTCCAATGTAGATACCCTCAGCCTCGACGGCTGCCTTCGCCTCTTTCCACCCAAACATTGTCAATATATGGATCACGTCCCTGGTTTAATTGCCACAAGAAGACGCCTCGACGATTTCTTGCAAGGGGCAGTTGCGAAACAAGGGTCACACCACAATCAGTCAGTCGGTCAACCCCCTCATATAAACCCCTGGGGAACGTGGCGGCGATAGCATCCATGCGGTCTCCATATGGGGCCCCAGATGCACAGGGTCCTGGCGACGGAATTTGACCGGCTAGTACCTTGTTTCCCCAACACTGTTCCCTCCGGGAGATTCTATTCGGGGATTGCCAACCTAGGAAATCGCAGACTCTCCAAGATAAATCGACCCCTCACGGAGATAGCTTTGATGTTTGTTCTAAGCCACAAGGCTGAAGGCCAAGAGAAAGGTGATACTCAAATACTGCATGGTTGATTGACACCAAAAACTCGAGACTGTCTCCTGACCTGTACCTGTGCAGCAGCGCCAACCCCGACTGAAGACAGACTCGTTCAATATCGCCAGGATGTCAATACGATCAGCTGATCCAGCAGAGATATCCTTGGATGGTGGTTCAGCCGTTATCGTTGATCGTGTCGACTATCCGGACGATCGAGCACAATGGGTACCAAAGCACCAAGGCCCGAAGGTCTTCCCGAACTTTTTCTTGTTCGGGCGCTTGTTACGTTGGTCCTATAGGCCAAACCTCGTCGCTGTCAAGGATACTACCTTCGGGTACACGGCCGACTACACTCAACTCCTAACAGATGTCCTCCATCTCCGAAACGTGCTGAGACAAACGCTGCCTCGTGCTGTTGTCCAGAAGATTGATCGAGATGAAGAAGTCTTCATCAATCTACTTGGTCCTGGCGGCTATGAATTTGTGGTGGGCTTCTTTGCCCTGATGGCACTGGGTGCCGTTATTGTACCTATCTGTAAGTGGCTTTTGCTCAACACAGGCGTGATTCTAGGCTAAATGATGCAGCCCCCGATCTTCCTACAAAGGAAGCGACATATTATGCGACCAAATCAAGATCTTCGGCTGTCCTTGTCGCACAGCGCAGCATACAGCTTGGACGAGACCTCGAATCTGCAGTCCGCAACCAGCAGAATGATGGCTTCCGCGCCATTCAGATCACTCCACATATTATGCAGAAGCCTTTGGATCCAAGCCAGATCCAAATCTCCTCCGATCCATACTTTGACTTGAATAAGTCAGGCTTGGTCATTTTCACTTCGGGCACCAGTGGGCCTCCCAAAGGAGGAGTCAAGCGAAGAGGCTTCTTCTACGACGTGGCGGCTTCTTTCAGTGACCAGCATGGGATCAGGGAAGGGGATGTGGTATTGCATGTATTGCCTGTGCATCATGCGACGGGAGTAACCGTCACTCTGATTCCTTTCCTGTACTGTGGAGGTTGCATCGAGTTCCGCAGCGGTGGTTTCAACGTTGAATGGACGTGGGAACGGATTCGACAGGGAGGATTGGCCTTCTTTTCAGGAGTGCCGACCATCTACATGCGTTTGATGGCATACTATGAGCAGCGGTTATCAAAACTGACACCGCAGGAACTGGGGGAGTACATCAAAGGCGTCAATGAAATCCGTGCTCTGCTGTGTGGGACTTCAGCCCTACCACGGCCCCTCCAGCAGAAGTGGACAAATTTAAGAGGAGGGCGAGCGATCTTGACACGCTACGGAGGTACAGAGTTTGGCAATGCTTTCACAGTGACTCCGCGGTCAGAAGGCGTGCCAGATGGCTCGGTCGGCGAGAAGGCACCAGGCGTCGACCTTAAACTATCCAACGGCGATGAAGGAGAAGTGCTCATGCGAAGCCCGATCTTATTCTCCAAGTACGCTGTTTATGTCCAGCCGTTTTCAGCGCTTCACTGACGGATACAGGTATTTGTTCGATAGGAAAGCGACGGAGAACGCGCTCGACGCTGATGGATACTTCAAGACAGGCGATATTGCCCGGCGTGAAGGAAAATACTACTTCATCCTGGGTCGAGCTTCAATCGACAGTAAGCAACTCTATGGGATACGCCGTACAAGCGCTAACCAATTCTCAGTAATCAAGAGCGGTGGCTATAAGATATCCGCTCTGGATATCGAACGGGAAATTTTGGGTCTCGGTTACGTTGCCGAGGCCATGGTGGTCGGCGTCGAGGATGAGGAATTTGGTCAGAGGGTTGCTGCAGCACTAGTCCTCCAACCAGATGTAAGACTCGACAGGTGAACCGTGTATGCAGAAGCTGACGAGTCTAGGCACCACGAGACTTGACTTTAGACAAGCTTAGGCATGACCTGAGAACGACGCTGACCGGGTACAAGATGCCGACGCTGCTTCGTGTCGTGAATGAGCTCAAGAAGAACGCCACGGGGAAGGTCGTTAAGAAGGTGCTTGTCCAGGAACTATTCCCTCCTGAAGGACATCCCGACGTGCAACGCTGGGACTCCAAAAAGCGTGAGAGTAGGCTCTAGAGTATAGAAGTTCCTGGGTGCTGGGGTGAAATCACTTGAGAAAATGTCGCTCGACTTTCGATTCCCTGAACCCGGACATTGTTTGAAGGCATCTTTACAACTTCACTTTTGGCTCTCTGGAGGTCTGCCTGGAATGGACGTAGCTCACTGCCTGATATGCAGAATGAGCTTGACCCCACAGTTCGTTTCTCAGAAGCCCATACACTCCCATTTTCGCCTTGCCTTTCCATTGCTCTGCGATCTTAATCGCTTCGTCGAGCATCTTATCCGGCGGGGCAACAACATCCACGATCCCATCCTCCAGTGCTTCCTTTCCGGTGTACCTGTGCGCCTCCAGCAGCACCTTTCTCGCAACCTTGGGAGCGAGCTTGAGTCGAATTAGTGAACCCATGCCATCATGGTGTAGACCAGCATTGACAGGAGGCATCTGCCAAAATCCGCGCTGCGAGTTCATCACCCGATAATCGTGAGCGAGGGTAAGAAGACAAGCACCACCCATGACGTGGCCTGTTATGCACGCTATAGTCGGGAATGGAAAGTCAAGTATGGTGGCCAGAAGCTGGCGTTCGCGTCAGAAGAATTGCCTTTGAGCAAGGGGGCGGTTCACTTACGGGATAGAAGCCGTCGCTTGAAGCAAAAATATTGCCTTCTCGTTCGTCAAGATCAAGTCCCTAGCAAGATGTTAGAGCTGTGCAGGGCAAGGGCATTTGATCCATGTTTGCTGACCGTGGTGAAGAACTTGGCGTCGCTGCCAGTCAATACTACCGCCCCTTCAGCATCTTGGCCCAGCTCCTTTTGAATCGAGTGATAGGCTCTGATAAGCTCTTGACAGCATGGAACATTGAGGCGATTCTCGGGAGGTTTTCTTAACGTAATTATGAATACGTCGCCTTTGCGCTCGACTGTGAGGTACTGGTAGCTCATACTGTCTCACGCTGAGAATTTGCTGTAAGCCCAAGTTACTCTGTCGTCTCCCATGCAGCTCTTTTCAGTCTCCGGTTACCAAATGCCACGGAGGGTTCTCCAGAGTGTCCGCAGATTACCCGAATCACTCTCTCGGTCCATCGTTGGAGTGCGGAGAACATCAAAATCGAAATATGCAAACGCCGAGGCAGGTTCTGGGTATTACCAAATTTGGATATCCCCGGTTCTCATACTCCACGGTAAACGGTCCAGGCGTCCAGTGTGAGGTAGTGGCGGGGACAATATCTCGCTAGCCAAAAAAGTACCAGGACTTTGGAGTCCGGCAGTAACCAGCATCAGGAAATGATATAATCTCATCTTGACTTGTAGTTTTTGTAGCCGGCAGTCCGAGTACAAACAGTCTCCCATTATGTCTCGAAGCATTCCAGTTCAGCCCGAAGATTCGGATTTCACATTATTCCTCTGGGGAGGGGAGGAAAAACTAGAGAGAAGGAAAGCCCTGCTGAAAGTCTTTATTGGCAATCCCATATTTGACAAGAAGATCGTCACTCCTCCATCGTTGGCCCGCAAAGATGCGTGGACTCGCGCGGCGTTGCAGAGTCGTGAGCTCATCAGACTCAAGTTCCAGAATAATTGGCCTCATCGCCATTTCATGGAAGCAATCAAAATGACAGACAATATGTTGCCAGTCCAACCACAATTTAGGAGTAAGCCCTGCAGAATATCACTTTCATCCGACCGACTAACGTACATCCCTAGTATTCATGTCAAATTTAGAGCGTCAAATGTCGGATGAACAAAAGAAAATCTGGATTCCCAAGGCGGAGCGATTCGAAATCTTCGGGTCGTATTGTCAGACCGAGCTAGGCCATGGGTCAAACGTCAAAGGCATTGAAACCACGGCAACTTTTGATCCAGAGGCCGACGAGTTCTTGATCAACTCGCCCACAATCAGTAGCACCAAGTACTGGATCGGCGCGACTGGTGTATGGGCTACACATGGCATCGTTGTGGCTCGCTTGATCCTCAAAGGCAAGGACTATGGCAACCATCTATTCTTGGTCCAGTTGCGTCACCTTGACACTCAAGAACTTATACCCGGCTGTGAGATTTATGAGCTCGGTCCAAAAGCGTTCCAGGGCATGCTCGGCACCGATAACGGTGCGCTTCAGTTTCACAATGTGCGCATTCCTCGCTCTCAAATGCTGGCCAGAAACGCCCAGGTTCTCCGAGATGGCACTTATGTCCCACCCAAGAATCTCAAACACTCCTATGGTTCGATGGTGACAGTACGTGCCCTTATGGCCGAGATCACAGGTTGGGATCTGCTCAAAGCCGTGGCTGTGGCGTATCACTATACCACCTTCAGGAAGCAGTTCTCGAAGAGCGGGGATGGTCGCGAAAACCCTGTCTTCGACTATGCGAGTGTGCGGTATAGGTTGCTTCCACTCCTTGCCAAGGTAAGATTCTGGATCGACAAGTGACAATATATGCTTGCTGACACCCCTCGAAGGCCACCGCACTCGTCGTCGTCGGGCAAGCTATCAAGCGCGCATATGATGACTATACAGCAAACTACTTGAGGACCGACGACACCTCTCAGTTAGAAGATCTCCACCTCCAAACGGTGGGGGCTAAAGTGTACTCGACCGAGATCACAGGATACGGGGTGGAAACATGTCGAATTGCTTGTGGCGGCCATGGTTACAGTGCTCTCTCGGGTTTCGGTCGGATGTACGCCAATTCCATCAACGCTGTGACCTATGAAGGAGACAACTACGTTGTGGCGCAGCAAGTCCCTAGAGCCATTCTGAAGCACTTCAAAGCGTACTCTAACCTCATTTGTATCCTTTCAAGATTTATACTGACCCGTCTACAGCGGCACTGAATCCTCGCTTCCCTCGCTCTCATACCTTTCCTTCCTGCGCGCCACCACAGCGCCGGAGCCACTCTGTATTAAGTCGCCTTTAGAATGGCTTGAGCGTGATGCACAGAGATTTATACTCGAACAGCGGGTTGTTGTGCTTGTGCGGCAACACATCGAAGACACAAACGCGGGTCGGGATACTAGCTACGCATGTCATGCATTGACAATGGCACATGGCGATTTCATATATTGGAAGGGGTTCTGGGAAGTGGTTGACGGTATCCCGAGTGGTGCAACTTACAAGGGAGCCATGACCGCCTTGGCCCAACTCGTATGTTTATCTTCTCCCAAAGACTTGGGAATGACACTGACTCCCTGTCCCTCTGTTAGTTCTCTCTCTCGATCATGACGTCGGCTCATGCAGTGCTATGTCCACCTCTCGCGTTGACATCTGATCAACGCTCTTCATTGCGTATGGCTTACGACGCAGTCATTGTTGAAGTGGCAGAAAAGCATGCGCAGAATATCATCAACGCGTACGGCTTCACAGAGTTTGAGCTCGACAGTGCGCTGGCAAGAAGCGACCAGACCCCGTACGAGGCACTGCTGGACGGTGCTCGAAAGAGTGAGATGAACCACATGCAACATCTCTGGCCCATGATGGTGAATACGAGGCAGATGTGGAAGCAGTTCCAGCCGAGCAGGGAGGAAGATGGACTCAAGGCAAAACTGTAAGGATACTTGTATCAAAAATTGTTCTCTGGAAGTACCTCTTTGTGTGACAGAGGAGATTGGGTATACATTCCCTCGCTGGCGTGTCTAGTGGAGCCACCCACCTGCGATCAACATTTTCTCTATGTTGAAAGTAATAACAGCCTCGGATACAAAGGTGGGTCCACGAACATAGGGGGCCGGGAAGGGTCTCCCTTAACACCGAGGTGAAAGAGTTGGCAAACTCCGCACGAGGCTGACTCAATCGACCAACTCCGCATCTTTGGTCTAGATCCGTTTCTCACTCGAGATTTTTCTTTCTTTGCCTCTATCCGTTGTTTCCGCCAGGCTCAAGAATATGACACTGTAATGACGGAAGTGTCTTGTCTTTAGGATATGGCTACGTTCAAAAACTATGACCCAACGAGTATCCATCCTCGTCCGCAACATGCTCGTGCGTGTGAAGCCTGTTATGCGCGAAAAGGTACGAAAGATTCCACACCTCGAGCCTAGAAAGATACCTTGGCCAAGCCCAGTGCTGACGCTGATAGTACGTTGTGATATAACCGGCACATCTGTTACATGTTCCAATTGTGCTGAGCATGGGTTCACTTGCAAGTCAGTGCGCCAGCATTGTCCACATGGGTCAGAACATAACCTTTCTTAGACCCCGTTTACGGCGGCGGAAAGATCACAGTCAGCAGCGACCACAGCCGGATAAAAGAGCCAGAATCTCGAGCCATGTTCGGAATTCTGTATCGAGTCCTGCGTACCAGCAGAATAACCCCCAACCGCAGAACTGGGACGTGGCCGCCCCGTCACCAGCACAGAGTCGTGCCGACACCGGCATGGCACCGCTTCTCTTCATCCACCACTGCGTCGCAGCTCCGAGCCCGATTGACTTAGTCGCAGCAGCCTCGTCTCCAAGAGTCGACGAATTCTACAACTCGTCGTACCTTTCGCGCCGCGCTGTCCTAGGAGACGATTTTCCGGGGATTGACCACTCTCACGGAGGTCGCCAGCCACATGAGCATACCTTGACTGAGAGCGACATGAAAGTCCTTGAACTCTACAACGCCTTCGAACTTCCGTCGATTCCCGTCCGTCAAGCATTGTTTGAAATCTTCTACAAAAAATGCTGGACTTGGATGCCGGTTGTCGATGATGGAACTGTCCCCGCCGACGCATCCTCGAGGGTACCCTCGTTGCTGGTTCTCCAGGCCGTTCTCCTAGCTGCTGCTTCAACCAAGCCCAAAAGTGACATGACCCTTCCAGCCCATCCACAATATCGTCGGATCAAAGCTATCATTGACACCGGTGCTGAGAGAAACCCGCTCAATTTGCTTGCAGCATTATGTTTGGTGCAGTTCTATGCGCCGGCCGCGCCAAAAGACATTTCCACTGACCACCCAAGATTCTGGGGAAACTATGCGCTGGGTCTCGCTCAGCAGATGGGCCTGAATATGAAGTCAACCAGGCGTAATAGCCAGGAGGGGCTCAGACGAAGAGTTTGGTGGACGTTATACGTGCGTTACATCGTCGGAAGAGTCGTTCACAAACTAACTGAGACTATTTCACACAGGCAAGGGACAGTATCATGTCATCCGCTCATGGCCGTCCACGAATCGTCAACCCTACCGATTGCGGTGTCGAACCGCCATCTATATACGACTTTCCGGACCCTAGTGATATTCGCGCGCAGATCTTTGTATCTTATGTTGCTATCACGGAGATCTTGTGTGATCTATGCCAGCTGCTGACTAGGCAGAACGATCCTCCACCGGCAGAAAAGAATAAAGTAGGCCTCCGACTGCTGGAATTCGTTCGATCTTTGCCGCCCGCCCTCCGACTTATTCAGGTAGATGGGACCGCAAAGCCATATTCTTTCGACTTGGCTCAGTTACATATACACCTGCTGACCACGATCATTATCCTTTATCGTCCACGATCAATCTTCTACGTCCCCCCGGCTAGTTCACCGGCTATTGTGGCATCAAACATCAGCTTCCGCATTTTTGAAGCAATGGAGCTGCGGGGGCATACCTGTTCTCTGAGTTCCGGCTTTGCATGGCATTTGCTTGTCACCACTATTCCGCAGCTCTCTTGTCTTGGAATTCCATCGCTGCGGGAAGAATCCAGGGGCAATCTCGACACACTCGAGCGTTGTTTTCGGACACTTGCGTCGACCAGACCATCTGCCGCAAATAACTTACGGAACATCCAGGAGATCCGCAAGGTATTGGTATCCAAGGAAGCACCTCCAATGCCGCGGCTCAACGCCAACACATCGGCAGATGCTTTGTCCTTTTCCCCTCTGGATTTGTTCGATTCGTACGGAGCGGACATTGCAGAAAACTATAACCGCATTACTACCGCGCTTGAACCCTCGGCGAGCACAGCATTGCGGCCTGGCCCGACTGCCGAGAATGTATACTCTGCAGATCTGAATATGTCACACATGGTCTATGTCCAAACGCAATCGTTCACGCCAACACCAAGCAACCTAGGCGCCGGGGCTATACTGGATGACATTCCAGACTTTGAACTTCTTGGGAATAATTTTCCTGAGGACGGCTGGATGCGGAACTGGGTCAACGACTTGCATCTCTTTAGCGAGTGAACTTGGAAGCCATGAGAGAACGGATCCAGGGCGGGCGCTCAGACGCCACCCAAGATCATCTTTACCTGCATACACGTTTACCGGCGTCATCGATATCCAATGATACCTGTACCTCTTCCTCCACCGCGCTCTCTGGCTTGTTTGAGTTCACTTCGCTTTGCATGATCACTCGTTGACAGACACATTCCTCGATATTAACCGAGAGATACAGCCAAGGTGACCTCAATGACGATAGATGCCATTTACAACTCTCCAGCTTCTTGAGGCAGGCTCAGGTCTGTATTGTGAGATTGGTTTCCGCTACCTCTGGAGAGACCAGGAGTTTTTATGGGTCATCTGAGAAAACATCCCTGCCCTCTATGCTTGCGCCAACCTCCTTACCACCCACTACAGGTTTCTCAGAATCAATGTGCACAAGAAATATACGCGCCCACTCTGTGTCGCTCATGTTTCTCCATGAGTGGTTGGTAGCCCTCTGTATGCAAATGTCTCCTCTCCTCATCACCTGTTTCGTGGAAGAGTCCAGTTCAAGCTCCACCTCCCCTTCCATGACGATGGTGTACTCGACGCTTACGGTTCGATGCATGGGCGAGGAAATCCCAGGTCCTAGGTCCATCACCCGGAGAACCGTGCCGCCGGATATGGTCAACTTTGGCGTCGAGGCAAAAGCATTGGTGTAGTCGTCGAGGTCTGCGTCGCCTTTAAGGACGACGGGGAAGGTTTTGGTGGTGTAGGCGAGGAAGAATGACGCTTCTGGGGCGCCGCGCCAAAGAGCTTCGGACGGAATGGTGGTGTCGAGCAGAGACTCGCCCGAGGTTGAGTGTGTGGTAATAAAGCGATGTATGGTCGGGAGTGAATCTCTGGTGGACATTGCGAAGACCAACACGGATCTATGCTCCTTTCGACTTCACATTTGATAAATCACATACACCAAGGTGAATCAAGGGGTAGTTTTATCAAGGATGGGGATCTTGTGTAATCTCGCGACTTCGAATATCAAATTAGGATCAAAATGGGGATGCTGATTTGTCCCATCTCGATAGTAAACGATCCCTTCAGAAGCCTTTTTTCAGAAAGCGGGAAAACTAGATCCGCCGGATGTCCGCCGGATAGTGTTTAACCTTACGATGAACCCCTGATGACAGCCGAAGTTTAAAGATAATCTCCCGCGATATCTGGTCACTCCAGGGGTTATCCAGGAGAGTAATGGATAGAGACCTTACGCAACGGCGATGGAAACATACATGGCTTCTCCAGAATAGCATCCACGCAAAAGTACGGCTGTGAAAACAATCGCTGGCCCTATGACATTTATAGCTTACGGCCCAGGTGATACTATATTGCGGAAGAATGCCAAAAAAGTCCTATCTCGGTAGATCTTTTCCACTTTCTCTTCGCGCGTTCATTTTTAAGAACATATTGTCTGAAAACATATCAGACACGCTGCCAAATCATTACCAGACCTGGTGTTCCAACTAGTGCCGAAATTTCTATCCCAACGGACCCATTATACAAGCAATGGATGACTCTGTCGATGACGCTCATAGAGGGCTTATCGCTCCTTTCAGCTTCAGCGATATACGTGGACCTGACGGTAAAGTGATCTGGAAATCCGCTGACTACGATTTTCTCTCGGAGACGAACTGTCCCTCCACGGCAAACCCCAAACTCTGGAAGCAGGCCCAGTTGTGCGGCCTTCAGGGCATTTTCAAAGTCAGCGAAGGTATCTACCAGATCAGGGGTCTGGACGTCTCCAACATGACCTTGATCGAAGGTGAACGAGGCGTAGTAGTCATCGATCCCCTCACCTCCGTTGAATGTGCGAAAGCCGCCCTGCAGACTTATCGAGAGCAGCGCGGACCACGAGCCGTGACCGGGCTGATCTACACTCACCCTCATGCGGATCATTTTGGAGGAGCGCGAGGTGTCCTGGAAGATGAGCGGCCAGAGATCCCCATTCTTGCGCCCGCCGGCTTCATGGAGCATGCTGTGGAAGAGAATGTCATGGCGGGGCCAGCAATGTCCCGACGGGCCGTCTACATGTACGGCGACGGCTTAGAAGCAGGACCACGAGGGAAACTTGGATGTGGACTCGGTATTCAACCAGTTATCGGAACCTCCTCGCTCGTCGCACCGACTCAATATGTGACTGCAACAGGCCAGAAAGAGACGATAGATGGAGTTGTGTTTATCTTCCAACTCACACCGGGCACGGAGGCACCGGCCGAAATGAATTTCTATCTCCCTGCGTCCCGTGCATTGTGTATGGCCGAGAATGCCACTCACACTCTTCACAATATTCTTACTCTCCGAGGGGCAGTCGTGCGAGATGCACAGGCCTGGTCTAAGTATATCGACGAGGCCATTGTCCTCTTTGCTCAACAGTCTGACGTGGTGTTTGCATCGCACCATTGGCCTACATGGGGTCAGACTGACATTGCTCGGTTTCTGTCGGAGCAGAGAGATCTGTATGGATACATGCACGACCAAACCATAAGGATGATGAACTGTGGACTGACGGGCGCGGAGATCGCTGAGCAATTCGAGCTGCCGCCTAGTCTGAGAGACGCGGGCCACGCACAGGGGTTTTACGGGTCGATAAGCCACAACGTCAAAGCGATTTACCAACGCCACATGGGATGGTACGATGGAAATCCCAGCCATCTATACGAACACCCTCCCGCGGCAGCTGCGCGCCGATATGTGGCTTGCATGGGCGGCATCGATAACGTCGTCAAGCAGGCTCGGAACCTTACAGAGGCCGAAGGTGACTACCGATTTGCCGCAACCCTACTTAATCACGCGGTGTTTGCGGATCCAGATCACAAGGAGGCAAAAGAATGTTTGGCGTCCGTCTACAATCACCTTGCTTACGGGGCGGAGAATGCGACATGGCGGAACAGTTTCCTGATGGCGGCCAAGGAGCTGCAAAATCCGCCTTTGCCATCACAGTTCTCGTCACACAACAGATTGCCAGAGGCATTGACGGTCGATCAACTGCTAACCTCGCTCGCCGTTCAAGTTGACGGCCCAAAGGCACAGGCAGAAGTCTTGACAGTTGACCTGCGCATTGAAGACGAAAGCCAAGAGCGCCGCCTCATTCTCAGCAACGGCGTGCTCGTCCACAGAAAGTTACCGTACGAAGGATGTACAAGAGAATCGGCGGACGGAGAGGTCACGCTGAACAAGGAACAGTTGCTGGAGTTCGTATTTCGTCGCATCCCTCCTGGATTGAAGAGCGATGACTCTGCGCAAGTCATGCGCGAGCTTGGTTCAGTCTTGGCGACGCCCACGCCTGCATTCAATATTGTAACGCCATAACGCTTTGAGCCAACAAGGAACCGAGAACAATGGAAAAGGCACAAAAGAACAGTGCCAAAGAATTTTTGGGCTGCATAACTCAGGCTGGAATTCCTGGCATGATGTATCCAAGGCTAAGCCTCCTTACGAATACTTCCTTACTCTGTTCCAATCCAGCTCTTGACGTGAATCAAGAAATGCTCGGCTCAAAATATAAAGCCTGCTAAGAATCGAGGTGGCAGAAGAAGATCCAAAATATTTGTCTAACCATTTAAGCCATATATCAGTGAGTGTTACAGATGCCACCTCCAGTAGTAGGTGCTTCCCATCCCTCATTTCGAGCCTTATCGTTGTGGTGTTCACTAAAATATTGAGTACTTTTGTCTTTCCTTTTCTTGCCGAACGTAATCTATCCGCCTCTCCCCGGGTATATGTGTCACTATGGCACTTTTTGAACTCAGTTTCATCCTTCAGCACACCGCCCGAACATATCATTGGCTGCGTCCGCATGAGAGCCAACAGTCTCTGAGCACCCTACAGCTCAGTCAGCGCCACGTTGGGCCGGGAGGTCGTTTTGGACGGGGTGATGGCCTGAGTCTCCAAGTCGTCGTAGTCTTGGCCAGGGTTGGCCGTTTTCCAGTTGAGAACTTCGAGAAGGAAAAAGAAAACTGCCGAGAGTAAGGAGCCAAGGAACGGACCAACCCAGTAGATCCAGTGGTAGCCCGGAAAGCTATGGGTGATAACGTCTGGGCCGAATGCTCGAGCAGGGTTGATGCCTGCACCGGTGTAGTAAATGCCTAGGCGAAATTAGCGGCACTGGGGGTCATTTGCTCACTTATCGGAGCATCAGATGGCACTCACTGAAGAGATGGCCGATGAAGAGAGCTATGCCGATGCCGATGGGTGCGAGGTAAGTTGCCTTGTGTTTGACCGCGGCTAGCATAATGACGGCAAAGTTGAGTTGAGTCGTTGCAAACATCTCGATAAACAACCCTCGAGCAACGGTCGTGTCTCCTCCCAGCCTCACGTTCACCGCCATCGGCCCGGGCAACGTCGCAGACACAGCACCAGCTGCAGCAATGCCGCCGATAATTTGAGCCGGAAAGACCACCACGCAGCGTGAAGTAGGCACGGCGCGAATGAGCCAAAGTGTCAAAGTGACCTGGTGAGTTAGTCATGGCTGTTGGAACTGTTCGCTCGAGCACGCGGACCTACCGCTGGATTGAACATGCCACCACTGACTCTGTAGAACAGCCACACGTTCACGGCCACAGAACAGCCGAACCCAAGCGCAATGAAGAAAATGACCAAGAGGTTTGGTGGTGAGTCCGCATCAGAAGGTGGTGGGGTATGCGCCACCTGGGCAATGGCAAAAGAGAAAAAGAGGAAGAGAAAGGTCCCTGCGAGCTCCGACAAGAAGGCGGTGGTATGATTTCTGTGGCTGTCGCGCAGGAACCCCATAGCTACATTAGCATCATGGGTGCCGAAACGAGATTTGAACCCCATGGTGATGTGACGAGGACGGAAAAGTTGAGAGAGTATTGTAAAACAGAATTATTGCAGAAAAGCGACATATGTAGACTCCAAAGGTGAAGCCCCCTACTCTGCCTCCTTCTCCTTTTCCCCTTATATTTCCGATGTGGCGTTATTGAAGGAATATGCTTCTAGGAAAATCCCAGTACAATAGTCAGTTGAACCTTGACTACAACGCAAAATTCTCAGTGAGGACTGCTGACAGGACCCGCGGATATTGATCTATTGAGTTTGAGCTCAGCTCGGTCTACCTCGGAATGTGCTTGATTGTGGGGAATGCTAGCCGCTGAGCACCCGCGACTGGCCGACTGGATTTTTATGACCCCACAATTCAAAGACATTCTTCAGCCTCAAAGTCTCATAGGAAGACGCCGAATCCGCGTTTATAGCCAAGAGAGAGAGAGAGTACTTGGGAGTCTCAATCAGGACATTATCCCCGCAGCATCTCGGAACCGCCGTCACCAGGTTTCCCGTAGACTTGAGCTTGGACAATTAGGAGGCGAATGTCAATATTGCACGCCAGATACCCGTCAATGAAGCTACTCATCAGATGCTCTCCTTGTGGGAAGCACGGAGATTTGTTTCACAGCGAGCCTGATGAAAATGCAGCTCTTGGAGCGACGAAAGAAGGCCAACATAGACATGGTTAAGTTTGAAGGTGGCTTCAGCGAAAGCTATCCAATGTAGGAGTATAGTATACCAGAATTGCATCTCAGTGTGAGCGCACTAGGTGCATATATGTGCAGCTTCTGGCTTTGCCAGACTGTAGCTCAAGAATGAATCAATCCTTGTACGACAGACCGGACAGGAAAGTGGAATTCGGTTGAACGGCAGTCCCAATTGGCCGAGCGCTGTCACTCCAAACCTGGGATCCTCTTGAGCCTGCAGTTTCCGTCGAATCCACTCGTCGCAGCAGTGCTGGTGAAAGAAATGCCTGCATTGAGGCAGCCTCCTTATAGGATCTTCCAACTGGATTGTCTCGAGACAAAAGGGGCTGCGGATATGTTCCTAGCATGAGCAACCTGGAGATACACATCCTCATAACGTCTGGCCTAAGGGCGACTTACCAGATTGTTTCTTCTTCCGGGATTGTTGAGCAGTCGGGTTTTGCAAGAAGATGGCTAGCTAGGCCCCCGGATTCCCAATACTCTCTAAGACTTGTGACACAAGGAAGTGTAGCGAGAAACTCTTCTTCCCATTGTCTCCTCTTCGTAGATATGTGGACTTGCAGTCGCTTTTCCTTTCTGCTTCTGAAATACTCTTTTGCCCTGAACGCCATCAGCCCCGAATTCAACGAGCGACGTGGAAGTACCACCACCAAGCCTTGAACTGTTTGATGCATCATAGACTTGTGACGGTAGGTATTTATCACTGAGCTTACCCGATCGCTAAGAGCAATATAACCAATGCTGCACTGACATATACCGGCGCTAAGTTGCCTGCGCGAGTAAGATCTGCTGGAGGGTCTCCCGCTGAATCCGTGCTAGACGAATCTGCTCCGATATCGCCTCTTCTTATATGAATCCCATAGCGTAGGAGACTGATCGGCGCCATCAAGGAGCATTATAGAAGCGACAGATGCACATGCAGCGATCGTCGTCTCAACAGCGGCTTCTAGTGCTTTTGCATCATCGCGTGGAGGCGAATTGTCCTAAAGCGTTTCACCGCCCGCAATAGAAATGTGGAGCCTCCTACTCGCTTACAGTCACTCCACGTCCCAGAACCGCCTCTTATGGCCACCCCTGGATCTGAGCGTCGCTCACCGGAGCAAGGCGGGGGTGTGTGCGTTATGAGAACTCTTTTGGAGTGCGTGGTTCGCATGACTTCTTCGGCCTGTTCTCTGATAGGCTGCAAGGCTTTAGAAAGGTAGAATATTTTGACTTCCACCCGGCTCGGACTGGAGCGGGCGAGAAGTCGTGTTGATAACACAGTGCATCTGGCCTCTTGTCTCCCGTATCCCATCGATACATGTGATCCTGGCTCCCGGATATCCCAGGGAACGCGGGGTTGTGGGAGTTGAGAACGATCTTGGTATAAGATACCTCTCCTTGCACTTCCCGCAGAGAAGAAGAAAGAATCAACCAACTTCCCTTGCGCCTCGAAATCTTCTCGAGGTTCAGTTTTCCTACTTCTTTTAAACCCTCGGAAGTGAGGAAGGGCTCCCATTTCGTTCCCAAAGAAGACTATATCACATCCTGAATGCTACATCATGGGTGCAGGATCCCAGGTCGCTTCATTTTGTCTTCGCATTGGCGAGGTCATCAGCGCTGCAATTGTAGCCGGTATACTTGGCTACTACCTACATCTACTTGACGATGCGAACGCTCACGCCAATGGCCGAATCATATATGCGCAAGTTATTGCCGGCATCAGCATCCTTGCCGCCCTCATCTTCATGCCTCCACTGAAATACTCTTTCTGGGCGTGGCCCTTGGACTTTGCCCTGTTTATATGCTGGATCGTCGCCTTTGGATTATTGGTTGATGTGAGTCTCTTCTATAGAACCCACCGTCTGTCACCTGGTGTACATAGGATTAACACATCTCGACAGCTCACATCATCGGGAGGATGTAATTCCAGGTGGTACTGGAGTAGCTGGGGCTACTACTGGGGACACTGGTATCGCGTGGTTCCCATCACCAGTGCAAACAGAGCCCTCATTGGCACCGCCAATTGTGCAACTTGGAGGACAAGCAACGCCTTTATCTTCATATCAGCTTTCCTCTTCCTTGGGAGTGGCCTCTGCGTAGGTGAATGGTGTTGTCTTCCAGAAGAGGATGTTCTAACGGTTGAGCAGGGTCTGTACGTGTGCACAAGAGATCGCCATGTTCATAAAGAAGAGGTGGTCAGGCCCGAAGTCCGGTAAGTGCTCCAGTGTGCCGGTCCTAACTGAGATTTTCCGTCCATTTGGTAATCCTGGGACAGAACAACGGAAGTCTGAGAGCAGACGGAACCGAGAGTATTGCTCCCTACTTGTTGCTCTCAAGTCTAGCTTCGATCCTACCACGTCGCTGGCATAATACTGATTCAGTTGCGGGGATTATGTTGCTGGTTGCTGGTTGCTGATAACTTGAGCATTCAAACAATGCATGTTGCAGCTGAATCAGATAGGAAAATCTATATGTCCTAGTCTTTTGAAATCAGTACTAAAATAGTTAGCCGTTGGCGCTTTTGCTGCACGTCTTCATTTCTGCTTGCAGGTTTTCGTCTCCTTTCCAGAGCAGATTCTACTGAAACGCGATTCTTTCTGACAGGGAGTTTGTAAATTTTCATACACGAACTTGCACCCTAGATTTGAACGCCTGGTCACACCACATTACCATAATTACAAGTCGCGTTAATGGTGTAACTTGTAGTTTTCGCTATCTCGGTACATGACTCTACCTATTCCGCTGATCCACAGCATTTGTGGTGGGAATGGCGATCGATCCAAAGCCGTGTTGAATCGACTCTGTGCTGGCCGGTATGAGCATGTTCTGATCTGAGGGAGATCTCGAGTGTTGCTGGTGGAAGGTATCTGTAGGGATGACAGTGCCTCTACCATAGATCGCGGGCGGCTGAGAAATGCCAAACGCCACCGTCGCCTCGGCAGATAGCAATTCCCCAGCGGGCTCATCAAGCCTCATGGTAGAATCGTAATCCCATAGGAATGCCGTGTCAGAATGTTGGCTTGATGGCGTCAGTTGGACTTTCGGCGTGGCATGGTGGAGTTCGAAGAATGTAGCGTACTGATCGCCACGGGGCGGAAACAAAATCCTATCGGTGGGTGGAGGTGCAAAAGTATGATAGCACGATCCATCTTCAAGGTTGTCAAACGTCACAATTTGACTATCACCGGGATCATTCTTGGGGGAATAAAGTGTCGCCTCGTACATCTCGTCAGAATTTTCGCATATATGCTGTCTCAAGCTCGCTACTATTCCCGGGTCTGGGGGAGAGCAATGATGATTCTCTTCCAAGACCCCCAACTGCTCCAGAATGTGATGCACTGAAGGAAGACCAGCCTTGCCGTCGGGAGGTGAGTCGCTTGAAGATCCGCAGCCGAGTTGAGTACGCCGGTACAGCTCAAGAAGGCCGGACACGAGCCATTCCTGCTGCTGTAACAGCATTTCCACTGAGCTAGCAACCCGTCAGTCTGGTTCTCGGTTATTTTACAGATGACAAACCCTTTTGGATGTACAACGTTGCGAAACTTCTTTGGCATCGCAAACGAGCAAACCGTGTCTTCGGCTTCACAGCGGCTGCAGGGCCTTTTGCCATCACACTGGCTCAGATATCAGCTCTGGTAGAGTCTGCAATGGTCGATATCGTCTAACCTTGGTCTTCTTCAATCGGCACCTATCACATGCTTTAAGCACACGATTCGGGGACGTCTGCGACTGTTTCATGTACCCCGGTGAATAAGAGAGCCTGGACTTGCCATTCATCTTGAACGGTCAGAACTTGGGAAGACGGAATTGAAGGAACAAGCAAAAGGTGGGGAACTTGAAGATGAATTTCAGAGTTGAGCAACAGAAGACACAGCGGGCGGTGATAAGTAGAACATTATCAACAAGGGCGCACGCCACCTTGAGAGGTCTAGACCAGGTGTGGGAGGGGTTGAGCCTCCAATCTCTACGAGGATAAGAAGAGGAGGACACTCTGCTTGCTCGTAATTATCCGAGCTTCACACCAATCTGTTACAGACGGCGACTGCCAACTCCCGTCCTTTGCCTTATGCCTAGCCCGAGATACGTGATGCTACTTGAGAAGAAATGGAGAATGCCCGGGCTGAATGAACTTATTGCATCCACTGATATCTGGAAGACAAGTGTCCAGCATGATATCCCCATATAACATGGACCCATACGTCCTGTATTGAAGTAGTTATGATCATCGGCCATCTTGGAAAAGGTACCTCTGCAATTCCGTGGATCCAGAGGAGTCTTGTCCAAGCGAGCGCCCAGCGCCATGTCAAAGTTAAAATTGCGTGATGCATGTCATGCCAACCCTCTTCTGGCTTGGTGATTCGGTTAAGTCGACCAACTGCATCAGCGGTAGCGGTTCCCACATTGCCCTCCATTAGAGTTCCTGTGGTGACGTGACATGGGGGCCATTGGCCAGTGCTCTGTATCTCGAGGCGCCTTTGGGCCGTGGACGCCTATACCTGCCCGCTGATTCACCTTCGCTAGCCGGGGGATATGCAAATGGCCTGACAATAACAGGAAAGCAAGGTACAGCCGAAAATCGGTTGCGTACTCTAGTGACAGCATCGTTCTAGCTAGGCGTCTATTTTGGTGGCGCATTGTCTAGAGCGGGGTTTCCGCGAATCTCTCCTCTTTCGGCCCCATTTACCGTCTATCGATCATTCTGCCCTTGCTTGATAGCTCTGTTGAAAACCTCTTCCGGGCGAAACTGCAGGGCAACGGCTTGACATCACTATCGTAGTGTTTGAACTGTCACATGGAAGTCCGAAGGTGGCGCAGCGGAGCGGATTATGATTCCATGGTAATCCGTTCGGCGTGAGAGAGGTCTCGAATATACGGGGCTGTCTGTGCGAGCTGGCGTTCTCCGACCTCAACTTCTCATACACGGGCCACTTACCGCACAGATATGTACGTAATGACCATGTGATTGCGTGTCAGGGAAGCTTGGATGGCTATTGGATATTGTTGGACGAATACAAAGGACTCCTGTGATGCGAGCTTCCCTCGTATACACCACCTTGCCGACGTGCGAGGTTTGCCACCCATGGTTTTGAAGAATTTGCCTTTGGATCAGGGATCCATTCCATTTCCGCCTATGACATGCAAGGTTGAGAACCCTTGGGCAACCAATCCTGCCAAATTACGGACGTCCTCAAATATGCGGACAAATCATATTTCCCACTCACGATCTCTTCGACGAAACTGTGCATTGGTGCGAAAGCATGAACATCTCAAAGCGAACCGCCCCCTTCCCAGATCGAGAGAACATATCGCCTTGGCACCAAGACGCTATTTAGTTTCCCCAGGCGTATTCCAACAGTGTGTAAGTTCAAGAGGCGATTTTGGTAGTCTGGTGCACGTGAAACGCTCTTCCGCGAGGTATTCTCGTATGGGCTGAAGAGTTCTGATTTATTGACAACTCGAGGTCGGCTGACATTAAGCATATCTTGGTGCTTTGAGCAAATTGTGTTCGATGGATCATGCTTCTGAAGGGAGTGATTGGCGTTTAGAAGTTCAGCTCAGTCGATGCCAAATGGCAAATTGCCCACCAAATACCTGATTTAGAAAGCGTAAGCCACTGGGGTGCCGCTTTCCATCAGGGAACGATCATCATCGATTTGTTGCTCGGACGAACTGTGGAACGCAAATTGAGGGGGTTTGTCACATCACAATCTCTGTCTCCGCTGAGTGCGAAGGGCCAGGGTTGGCAGGTCCACAGGACGCAAGGTGACAAGGTCGGATAGAGTTCACTCAATGCATTATTTGACTAATTGGATGGATTCTATCCTCCCCACAGCACCGAGCAAGCCGCCCGGAGTTTCTTACTTTGATTGCCCATCCCCGCGGCCTGCCAACCATTTGATCCAATGATGATGCTGCATAGTGCAAGCAACACTCCGACTACGTAGGAAGAAGACGTGTTGAAGCCGTGCAGTGAGTCGCAAATACCTTGCGTTCAAAATGGAGACCTTGAACCGTGATGGTGAACATCACAAGATATCACAAGTGCGACACGAGCTTTCTTGCCGGCAGAGACTGTTAACGCTGGCAAAGCATACGATAATAGGTGCAACTGGATAGTCCAATACTGGCCCCTTCGATTTGAGCTCATGTCGTCCAACCACAACGAAAGCCTTCCAGGCAGCTGCTGGTATTACAAATCTACCCACCATGAGCCACACTTGAACACAGCGAGCGAAAATGGTGCTCTGTTTGTGCTGCCTGATCCCAATTTGAATCTCGGTCCTGTCGAGATCTCTGAGCATGCATACAAGGGAAATGGCTGGCACCTACAAGAACCACAGAAATCGCGGGTCGATCTGCTGTGCGACAGGATTCTTCTGCCAGTCTCCCCGTCCGAATGGGTCGATATGGACCATTTTATTTGGCTTTCCCAGCAACCCAACCACCACAATCACCCCAGTGCTACAACACCTATTCACATGACTTTGGGCCGTCAAACACGCCTCGAATGCACAACTCCAGAGCCCGGTGGACAAACGGAGGCAAAGCGTGGCTCAAAGACGAACAATCGGGAAAGGAAAAAGACCAGTGACGAAAGACGAGCCCACTCGATAATCGAACGAAGATACCGTGACAAGGTAAATAACAAGTTGAAGGAGCTTTATCACACGCTCCGCGAGGTCAGGTATCTGCAACAGTCGCGAAATGCGGCCTCGGATCGAACCATCATCAGTGAGCCTTCCGGTGGCATGAAGAAGTCTGATGTTATCAACGATGCAATCACCTACATTCACGAGTCCGAGATCAACTTCCGGCATATGGCCGACGAAATACAAAGCCTCAGAAACCAACTCAGCCATTTCAGGGATAAAGGTATCGCCTGACGTCTTTGCATGGCTTGCAGAAACCGAGCGCTGCCGATGGTAAAGACACTGGGTGACTGCTTTGCCGGTATCCATAGCGTTCAAGACATTTGGCTCACATGCCGCGCATGATGCGCATCTGTGCATAGTATAGCTGTATTTCAGCACCTGTGCCGGCATGCGCGCTCTGCCCGCGCTCAAAAATTTGCTGGCAGAAGCTCTTCCGCGAGTCGGCACCGTTTCGTTTTCATCTCCGCTGTAATGATATTGCCCAACAGAGTGTCTGTTGTTGGTGATCCTCCTGTTGATCACCTTTTGCGGAATCGCCAACCGCGGGCGATCGCCTGGCAGTGGTTTTTTGGGCAAGCTAACTTTGACGGCAGGGTCCAGAAAATCAAAAACATTCACACTCTTCATACCGCGATTTATTATACAAACAATCAGCAGAGTTTCGCACGGAAGCCACCGACAAGCACGGCAGAGGAAATTTTCGCAAAACTAGGGGGTCTAAGATTCGCATTCGCCAGTTTATTTGTATCGAATAGGTCACTCTCTGCCAATACACCTACACCACTACTTGCCTCCTCACTCGGCCTAGCGGGGCGTGCTAGTTCACGATCCTGGTTTCCGCGGATTGTCAAGAGCCTAGACCGCGCCGGGATGTGCAAGACTGTCTCCTCCTGGCGCAAACCTTCCAGACATGTGGGAGGGACACAGATTTCCGTCGCTAAACAACTCGCCCAGATGGCCGCAGCATGCATCTTACTCGGCAACGTCTGGCAACGTTCATCGGACTTTGCATGAAGTCGCAGACGGAAAGGGTCCGGGATTAGTTTTTCTCAAACCCCCCCCCCTCTTCACCCCCTCAACAGGTTTTCACTCGTATGAATACAGTCGAGTCGTGATTCCTTTTTTGGAGGGGCCTTTGGGTTGGTGGTTGGTTAGCTCGCTGCTAGCTTGCAATACAAGAGTAACCAATCAAATTGTATAAGTAGACTCCTCTCGTCTAAAGCGAGCTTGCTCAGGTGTCCCTTTTGAGCAGAGAGATCCGGCACTCGCCGATCGGATTGCCTCCACATCCCTGAGCTCACTCTTGTGCATATCTGGGCAAGAAGCCCAAACCATGGTTTTACAGTTTTCTCTAGGCATTCGCTGCTTCGGAGCATTGACATCCCGCCCCCCTCGTATCATACTTCCTCGCCCAACATCGTGCCCATTCTGAGTCGTTTGTAGAATCTCATCGCTGATGATATTGGTGGCTACTCTGCATAGACAAACGCCAATCGCACGGGGCAGGTACTGCGAGAACATGGGCCGAGACGATTGGCATTCAGCTTTCAGACCACCTGGTGGGCCTGAGGGTTGGTGTGTTGAGATGGTGGGTGGCATCCCTTGCAGGCACAGAGGCTCCAATCCCTGGACAACCCCGCTTTCTGTGGTGAGTTCGCCTACCGTCTATGCCAGGGGGAAGACATTCAAAGGAGCAACCCGACTTGGCATCGCATGGATGACCTCTTTTGCCCAGCAAATTCAGCTTCTCAAGTACGGCGAAGAGAGGGCCCATTTCAGCTATGACTGCTACGGCAGGCAATCCGACCTTGTATGTGACAACTATGGAGTAAGTGTTATCTTTCTCTTGTCCCTGGTCCACTTCCAGGTGAACACAACCCGATCACGGTGGCGCTACATCACACCCTCATTCAAGGTCGTCGGCAAGCTGAACACCCTCCTGCAGCCTTTTTGCGGGGGCTGGTGGGCCACCGAGCTCAGCTGCCAGGTGAGAGCTGGCGGTGGATATCAACTGAAACTCTGTTTTGCCTCGTTCAAAGAGGGGACCCTGGCAGATGTTGACGGGGATTGGCAGATGAAAATGGAGCAGGATGAGGCACTTTGCGCAGGAACTTCACCTTTTCATTCCTCCAGGGTTGCTGGCTCTTCACATGCCAGGTACTTCCAGCCGGGGTTCGACCAAACAGAAGTTGTCCGTCGGCATGCGTGGTGAATACGAGACGACAACCGAGCCACATTGCCTAAGCTGTTTTAGTTCCTGATTTTGGATGGGCATCCCGCTCTCTTTTGGGCTGCTGGGGGAGATGAGGCCGTCATTCAAGCTGCACAGAGATTTCAGAAGGCCAAGAGCACACGCGCAACAGTCGTATTGTGGGTTGCGACTATGCCTGGCAGTGCTCGCATCAGCTCTGCCGCGCACCCTTCACTAGATTACCCCGGGGCTCGTTTTCACTTGACCCCAGGAACTCATAATGATCCCAACTATTCAAAGGTAGTAGACAGTGGGGATCTCGTTCTGGTGCTGTATGCATATTACAATTGCCATTAAGTAGGATACCATCACTTTCTTGACCCCGAGGAAGAATCCCACACTTGCCATAAGACAAACCCACATGTCTTGTCTTAAGCAGAGATTGCATGGCCTTATCATTAGAGTCAGGAAAAGATGATGAGAAAAGGAATCTATTCATCCGCAGTGGACAACGCGAAGATCAATTTTCATGGACTGGTGAGGCTCCGGTGACGAAGACCAATTTTCATACCTTTATCTGTCCTGTCCTTGTGGAAGTAGGTTCTTGTCCAGACTGCCATCTAATATCCGAGGGCGAGTAAAGAAGGAAACATACCTTAATTCGTAGGAGGCACATCTGGTAGGAGTAGGCCCATCAACGTTCCGTTTCTAGCCTTGCCATCGACGTACATGAATCACCCTAATGTTTCGATAGGTACACCATGCAAAACGTGCAAAGGTGCCAGCAGAAGAGGCTTGTCTGAGAAGGGGGGGAGGAGCGCCGATACAGTGATGAGCGTGTTCCAGGTTGTTCCAGGATATGAACATGTCCTGTAAAGGTAGAATCTGACTCCCGGCGACTTCGTGGCGTTAGATCTGACAAGCAAGTAGATGAATCCAGAGCAGGCTCAGGAAGCAGGCCAAGGTACGTATTCAATCAATCTGCAGCGACAACCATGCACGAGGGGAGACGAAGTTTAATGCTTCACTTCGATTTCGGGCTCACCTGCACTTCACTGGTCATCTGTTTGCTTGCCTGCTTAGGCTCCGAGCCCTGTCAGCTAGGCATATCAATTCAGACGCTATGCCTCTGCATCCTCTCGAGAGCTCTCAGGGAGCGGCCCCTAAAACAAATGAGGGAAAGATGGGTGATGATATCCGGGTTCTCTGTTGGAATCGGAGTTGTGAATTCCATCTCAAACAATGAGATTTCCATGACTCCTTTATACACGCTATGATACCCTTCTGTTGATGTTCGAATAGCCAGTGTGATCGGCATTTCTCGCCGGAGACTTGTCGATAGTTCGTAGGGACAAGTTTGCGACCATTTGAAAAGATGCTTTGCGATAGCTATGGCGACCTTCTTGCGGCTATGTGAGGGTGATGTGCTCTTGTACTTGGAAGGGGAGACGGTGTAGCCACTGACTGAAAAGCGATTGAAAAGTTTTGGAGCAGGTGGTTGTACGGGAGGATGGCAGATAGTGGACGCAGAGAATTGCTTCTGAGGGGATGCTCGCCTGCCGTCGCGAGTGGAAAGGGGCAGCGGCTTCTTGGGCAAGGAATATCAGAGACGAGTTGATTGGTGCGAGTGCAAGGATACGAGACGTACAGAAGGTGATATGATATATCGGTCTCTGGGAAGTAGGACAAGCACTCGAGGCTGAGGCAGTCGGGACGGGTGTGGTATTCCATGACTTCAAAGACACGTTTTCCCGGTGTCACATAATGTAGCCATCTCGAACTCTTGTGCATATCTCTTTGTTTTCTTTTCATGTCCTCAGTTGGCCAATAGTCGGAAATCGAGAGTACCTTCTCGCGCTGAGCGCAGGATGGTGACAGGAGTGTCAGTCGAGCTTAGGCTCTGGAAGAATAAAAGGGACGTTCAGAAGTGGGTGGCATCTTTGGTTTCAGTAGTGAGAAAGGACGGCACCGAAGAGCCATGGTACCGTTTGAGGGAAGAGAGCATCTCAAGCTGAATAAACTGCCCGATTCTGGGTTATAGGCAAACAAATACCTGTAGGTAGGCGGGTAAAGGGCGTCGACTGGCGGCGAGCTCATCCCAACGAGCGGTGGCTGCGTCGCAAGGTACGTGTCATTTTGCTCCCTGCCCTACATAGGGCCTTATCATTAGTTGCTGTCTTCATCTCCTCAATTATGAACGAGATGATCAGTCGTTTCGGAATGCAGATCGCAGTTGTTGTTGTCCAGAGCAGATTTGTTATCATTGGTCAATTATTATCTTCGGGTAACCTTCCGCATGCCATTCTAGTGAGAAAAACTATCTTGTCTGACATAGTCAAATGACAGGCACTTTAATTTCAATTGGTGTCGATGCAACTACTGAGGAACAACTTGAGAACATCGAGAAATCCGAGGAAGTGCTCGGTGATATCAGCTCGGCGGAGCATACTTTCAACCTCAGAGATTTTCCAAAACAGACTGTATATATTCTATATTTTCTGCGGTCTCGGATCAACAAACAGCGACTTTGCACCTGCGAGGAGGTTACCCTTGCCGTCCTCGATCCTTGCCTTAACCCACGTTTTCCTTCCCTGTCGCTCTACTGCCCACGCGCGACATAGTACAACCCCTGGCGTGTCAATCGGCGCTTTATAGTCCACTGTCATGGTGGCTGTCGCCGGTGCGAAGCTCCCCGACACCATCGACGCCACCGTGCCTGTGATCTGATCCAAGACTAAAGCATTGAATCCTCCGTGTGCGCGACCTGATTTGCCGTCGATCCCGGAGCCCAGTGACATGAGATAGCAGTATTCCCAAGGAATGATGGAATCGGGTTCAGTCGTAGGCCGCTTGAAACTTATCTGAGCGCGAATGGCATCGGCGCTATAGAGGGTTTTTCTGAACATACTGTTGGAGACACCTTTGTTCAAGGGAGTGTCATTTCGGGATGGGTGTTGAAAGGGTACTTCGACAATGGAGATGTCGGAGCGCAGGAGGCTCTCGCACCAGGGAATATCGAAGTCGGGGTGGAATTTGGATGCCATGCTTGCTGGAAATATCCTGCCAAGTGATCCTCCGGTCGTAGGTCTTCGAAGAATTGATCCCGATCATGAGATGGCTTGTGGAAATCGTTGCCGAGACACCAGCAATCCCGTCTATTGTGCTGTACGCATTGTTCTAAAGGTAGCGGAGAGATGCAAGATGAAATTTGGGGCCGTCAAAAGTCTATCGTTTTTCCAGAATGCCCCTGAGTAAGAAATAAGGAGTTAAAGGCGAAGGTAATGGGACAATCCTCGGTGCTCCAAGTAAGTATCGATAACGGTTTGGAAGCTTTTGTAACTCGTAGCACGCCGATGATGAACCTCGGTAAGTTGACGTCGAACAGGATGTCTCGCCTTGGCAAGTTTGCGGCAGGATTCCGCCTCCCGCAACATCTTTCCACTTCTGTGATTCGTTGTTCACGTACTGGACCATCTTCCTCTCTATCCTGTTTCCCTGCTGGCCAGGATTTTGCGAGGAGAACAAAATCTCCCCAGTCCCGGGCTCTCAAGACAGTGTTACACCCACTTCGCCAAAGACCACTACGCTCGAGGAATCCCCTCACCGTTCCGGTAGCAAAGATAGCCACGTCAGTTCTTTGATTGAACATATCGATCTCTTGCGAAGCCGGTCAGCGAAATGGCAAAACACCTTCTTTGGTATATGTCCAATCTAACTATCATCCCATAGGAACCGAACCCGAGCGGACGGAGTCAGACGCTGAAGACAGAAATTAAGGCCAGCAACTCCCAAGGTCTGAGAACTTCGATCGAAGGTACCTCCAGAAGACAATCATGCTAACCTTAGGAAAGATAGCTGGATATTGGACTTGGCAGAGTCAGGGCTAATGGCGATTTGGTGCAAATAAATGCAAAGCGAATGGTTGAACTCTACATATCTCGAGCTGTTCAAACCCCCTTGGAGATATTCTCCGGTAGAGACAGGCGCATGAGCTTGCGATATCATGGTCTTCGTCGAGTCTATCTACCAATATCCATCCATTCCCAGAGTTGGGAATGAATTTGGCTATTATCTCATCTGAGTGGGCATCTCACTATGGAGTTCCCTCGTTACTAATCAATAAGAAAGCCGAAGATATCAGCAGATGGTGCCACACTCACTTAGCCTCCCAGGAAGATATTCAAGGCCCATTCTGCGGACTATCAAGTCGGTGTGGACCACGGCTGGCCTGCACTGGAAGGATGGATGGCCTCGACTCGGCGATCGTGGTGACACGGTTGAGTTGTTTCGGTAGTCCCAGGTCTTTAAGAATACCAAGAACAAGGATCATCATGTCAGCACCGATCGCAAGGGTTATCTGGGATAATAAGCGCAAAATATCAACTCTTGGTGTTTAGGCGCTGAATGACGATGGTGGTGCTGTCGTAAGAGGGGCGTAAGAGGTATGTCGGAGGTAAAATGTGTGTAGTGTCAGACAGAGGTTATGTAGCAGGTGTAGATCGTAGTTGTCAGGCCTAACAACGCACTCTGTCGACTAACACAGGCAGACTTCAGCGTCTCCGGGAGATTAGATCGCCGCCGAATCGAACTCACAAAACCCAGAGTGACCATATCAACACCGTCTCTCATTTTACCCTCCTATGGTGGAAGACATTTATCCGTCTGCAATCTTCTCAATACATGAAACTTGATCTAGACACACTGAGTATAATTCAGCAACAATAGTCTCAACCGTGACCTGAACAAGACACGCTTCCCCGTGGTTATGCTGACCTTGCTCGTCCTCAAGCATAGCTACCTTCTCACAAAGCGACAACGAGTTACTCTCCAGAAAGATGCTTGTCTAGTGCGAATTCCCTTGTGGATTTATACGGCGCCCCGCCAGTCATTGAGCCGTCTCGACTCTCTCTCTGGATATTTTATCAGAGGGCCTCTAATGTCGCAATTCCGAGACAGGTCTGCAAGCCTACTACTGTATTGATTCTGGATTATGCCGCGCCAATCAGTTCCTCGTTAACCTGTGCAGACAGACCCCGGTACAAGAGTGTCTATTACCGAATCTACTCGATCTAACGGTGGCTTTCGCTGTGGCTCGCTGCGAACTATTCGTTGTACAGGGCAACCTCGCTCTCGCACCCCCAGAGATGTCCATGCCGCAGTGTCTTCGAGCCGCCTAGGCCACTGATTCGACCTGGAGCCACCCTGGCTTAGAAATTAGGCCGCATTTGTCCATGTGGGATGCGTGTTCTCATAAACATTTCCAGCTGTAGTCCCTGGTACAGACTCGATTGGGTCGTGCAAAGTCGAGAACACTCGCCTCCTAGGCGAGCTGAGCAGAAAGGCCGAACCGTCAGCCAGCCACCTGGAGACCCAATTATTAGCTAGAAGTTGAAAAGATATGCGCGAAGCTAAGTAAATTTGCTAAGCTTCAGGGACGTCACAGGTACACAAAGCCTAAATAGAGCTAGATTCAACGCTTTCCCAATGCCATACCAGATATACTTTTGACGACTCCAGTATGGGCAGCTTTGGGTTCGACACCTGCCAATTATGGCTGTAGCCTTGCCTATCCATTTAGCACCGTCTCAGAATTGGGGTTCTAGACCGTAGAGATCACCAGTTTCCACCCTATTCTGTCAGACCTCAAAGGGCCAGATGTGCTCGATACCTTCAATCATTTGGTTATAACCTTCGAATCTATAAAAGACGTCCCAGCCCTTGTATAGATTCAGTGTACAAGTCCATGCAACCTCCCCAAGTACCTACGAAAGACTCGATCATAAATTTCGGGAAACAGGCTCATCCTGTTACGAGTAGCAGTTTCCAACCCAACTCCTGCATTGCGTCTCACCAGATCCCAGACTCCTATATCTACTCGAGTCACAGCCCCAGCGGGAAATATGAAACTACTTTCTCTTTTGGTTTTGCTCGGTGTGGCTGCTGTTGCTGAAGCTGGAGTTTGCACCAGCGGGATCTATGCCATCGCCGTGCCGCTACTGGAAGGCTATCCCCCAGCGCAATCATTCTGTAGCGCAAAATATCCTTTGCCAGTCTCTACAGTCACGGTCAAAGTCAAACGTGGAAATACTCGACCATCGTCCACGACGACGACCAAACATTCGACCACCACCACGACGAAGCCCCCATCGACAACTCTCACCACTACAAGAAGCACGACGACTACCCAGGATGCTAAGGCTTCGCAATGGTCTGTTTTATCGTCTGAAGCCGGTGCTGCTTTGTCGAAATTCTGTTCCTGCATTCAAACGGCCAGCACAAAGACCGTAAGTTGAATTCTCGGAGCCGTGAAAGTGCCATAACTAAGGGCACGCTTTTAGATAACTCCGACTACAACTACAACCACCACCACAACTACAACTACAACTACAACCACAACCACAACCAGCACAGTGAGTAATCCGTGAACATTGTGATGGGTCTGAATCTGAGTTCGAACAGGCCACGACCAGTACCTGTGTCCCATTCGGGGGAGTCTGTAACGGGTACACTGATTGTTGCCAGGATCCCCCCCAGCTCTGCTTTGTCTCAGCTGAAGGTGCTATCGCAGCCTGCTCAACTATCGCGCCAACCACAGCCAAAAAGAGAGATGTACCGACCACAAGCAGCATCGGTGGAATGAGATACGGTTAGGTCTCAAGGCATGGGGAAATGGTTGGCGCAAAAACATTGGTGGCTCAAAATCGCTGGAAATCTTGAAGGATGCTGTACTAGGTATCTACAACGACATTATATAACACTACCAAAAGCTTCTGCTTTTGTCATTCGCTTGATTCTTTTACATCTCCTAGGCCGTAGGCAATAGAAGAAGTAGTAAAGGTACTGTAAGAAACCACTCTCATAAGTTAGATCTTTTTTTGTTCGCGTATTTTCACCAGCAACTCATCACTACTCGTCTCTTCGTTGTTCTTCCTGCTACTTATCTTCCAGTTTCGGAAGATGGTTTTATGGCCGAAACCGTCGTCTTACTTGACGCTGTGCCAAATCAAAGTCAGTTTAGGAGCTTAAAGTCCATAAAAATGCCTCCATCTGTTCCGTCGACCATTATCACCAAGGGACCCGTGCATTAACCTGGACATTAACAGCCGCAACGAACCGGCTCCTATTCCGATATTACTTAATTGCCTAGCCAAGCCTTTTCGGATGCACATGTTAAAGGGCTACAGGCGAGTCCGTCAGCTCAAGGTCGTTTTCATCAAAGGATTCACTGATGAGGGTCAATATTTCGAGCTCTGACGCATCGTCAACAATGTGCCGCGGCTCTAGGTTTACCAGACCAAGCGTTCAATATGCCGAAGGCGCCCCAGCCCATACATGAACAGAGGGGGTGTCTACAAGATGCCACTGCTGTCAAGAGCACGATACGACGTACGCGCGCATGCCGTGGTCTACGCTGCCTCTCCCCGCGCATTCACACATTTCGAGAAGTCAAGCTGAGGTCTTGGAGACCTGGCGAGCCTACGATTGACACCGACACAATTGCATCTGGAAGGTCCTGCAGCAGACCAAGTTGGAAAGTGGACGGAAGAGCATCCGGCCGGCGTACAGCGTCCGCCCCACATATTCTGCTTATCGAACATCGGAGTTTTCCACGGTCGGAAGAACCAACCGAGTTCTCCTTACTCTACATTCACTGCTACATTTTCTGTCAGATATCTTCATTTGTGGTCCAGTCAAGCTGATTTTCTTTTTGTCTTTTGTTTGCAACATTCTAATTGTGGTCTTTGCTGTCTTTTTTGACAAGGGCTTAATCAAATCCGCCTGAAAACTTTGCACAAGCGCGTCGAGACAAGATGGCTCTTCAGGATGATGAGATCGTCTTGGGTATCATTGGATGTGGTCAGTCCCCCGAGGCTTGCTCTCCACTGATCCCTAGCTTACCTTCCTACCAGGAAAAATGGCAACGGCGGTGCTTGAAGCTGTGTTCCGATCAACGGGCACATCGCGAAGTCCACTGAGGAAAGTGCTAGCCAGCGTGAGGAGTCCAGAGTCCCAAGCGCGGTTGAAGACAAGATTTGCCGCACGAGGTGACGCCATGGAAGTCCTTGCTGGAAACAATACTCGGGTTGCTGAGGAAGCCAACGTGGTGCTTCTAGGTCATAAGCCGTACATGCTCGACAGTGTCCTCGGCGCAGCCGGCCTGTCGAATGCGTTGAGAGGCAAATTGATCATCAGTATCCTTGCAGGAATCTCAAAGGAGCAAATCCATGAAAGGCTTTACGGAGCAGGAGAGAAATCTCAAGCCTTCATCTTACTGGCTGTGCCTAATATGGGTGCTCAAGTCCAAGAGTCCATGA